TAAAATTTCATACAAAGTTTCATATAAACTGTCATCCCCTTGGGGGTAGAATTAATCAAAATCCTTTCTTAGCGGATGCCTACGTCATAACATCTACCTACATACCAAATTTCAGCCCGATCCGTCCAGTGGTTTGGGCTGTGCGTTGATAGATCACTATGTCAGTCACCTTCGAGTTATATATATTTAAATAATTAATTTTTTAATTTTTTAACTTAATTCTTTTTAACTTTCCTCTTGAATCACCCTATCTATTAAAACCGATTGAAAAATCCGTTGCGTAGTTTTAAAGATTTAAACATACATAGGGACGGACAGACAGCGACAGCGAGTTTGTTTATACTATGTAGTGATGATGATAATGATTTCCAACGATTACATCCACGCACCTCGCTGAGATCCACACATCACGTGTGATAAAATCATTGTCTAGTGTAAATCTGCGTTGAGAAGCCGCGCCGCACTCGTATCAGTAAGGCTTACGTCTTCTCGTGATGTTTGTTTAATATTCAGGTTAGGTTAATACTAGCTCACTCGGAATTTTCCAGAGGCGTATATCTATACAACTATACATATAAATAAAATTGGAGTGTCTGTTTGTAATATTGAATTAACCGTTTTTTAATACATGCATATGAATATTGATACGGTACATACACCAAAATAACATTTTTACAATTTTTGTCTGTCTGTTTGTTTGTTCTGGATAATCTCTGAAATAGCTGGACCGATTTTGACGGGACTTTTATTGACAAATAGCTGATGTAATCTATACATCTATACATATAACTAAAATTGGAGTGTCTGTTTGTAATATTGAAATAACCGTTTTTTTTTACTGCATGCATATTAATATAATTTTTTGTCTGTCTGTCTATTTTGTTCCGGCTAATCTCTGAAACGGCTGGGCCGATTTTGACGGAACTTTTATTTGCAGGTTGCTGATGTAATAAGCACTAACTTAGGCTACTTTATTTTAGAAAAATGTAGTTAAATTCCACGCGGGCGAAGTCGCTAGTGCAGCTAGTATATACATATAACCGATGCGAACCAAACAACACTCTTTCCCACAATGATACGGCACAGATTTTCTATTTCCTCTGCTCACGTTATTATGAACAGGTCGTGCCTCTACATCGGTGGCCGGTATTGTTGTTATTATTTCTGAATACCAATGCGCTTTAAATAGCTCGCCATATGATATGTATAATGTTGAATTTAACTTCAGCTGTAGGTCGTCCAGCATTATGAAAGTCAAAAGATGAAATAATTGCACGGCATGTAATTCACTCCCTTACTTTACTTTCATAATTATTGTCTTCACACGTTTCGACTTGTAAATGTAAACTTACAAGGATTATTTAAAAGAACAACACGCAAGTTTCTTGCTCGTTCTTCTTGTGATGAGACAGTGTTCCGAATGAGCTGTAGATTAAAAAAAATGTTATAACTATTCAAAAGTGCTTAATTAAGTTTATTTGAATAAATGATTTTCTATTCTATCTACGCAAATAAATAAAATTAAATTTCAAATTAACACCTTTTCACTAAATGCACACCTATATATATATACGGTACACACATTAAAAAAATAATTAAATCTTTGTACGTCTGTCTGTTTGTTAGTGTTATTTTAGAAATGGCTGTACCGATTTCGACGGAACATTCACTCGCAGATAGCTAGATAGATAGGATGTTATAAATACTACTTACTTTAATTTTAGAAAAAATATTTATACCAATAAGATCTATTTATAAAATATATAAAATAATAGCAACCCTCCAAACTCTAATTCTCACGAATGAAATACACTGGATGTTACTCGCTGATCATGTAACATAGCAAAATATAATTAAAAAAAAATAGTACTCGCCATTGTGTTACCATTACAAAAAAAACGTCTTTGTAATCTTTGCTCTGTATAATATTACTTTAGATATAAGTACATCAATATAAGCAATGTTCATTTCGTTAATGAGAACAGAAGCAATGATTGCGCGTGGGCACACCGGGCGGGCCGGCGGGCCTCCACTCCGAGACGGGAGGAGAGAGGATGTAACCAATGCTGCGTGTGTGGACGACTGCCGCGTACCCGCTGCCTACATCACTCTACATCATTTATTCATTATCCGGGCAGGAAGTCCAAATGAGGGGAACATTAACGGAGCCAGACCAAATTAAACAATTTACTTATCTTTAGCCGGAGAAACGTTATGATTTTCAGGTTTATCTAAACCTGCACTAGCAGGCTCCTACCAGATGTATCTGGGCAGGGTGAGAAATACGAGAAGTGAAGGTGAGTGTCGACGTACGCCGGCAAGGGCCCTCTTAAATCTACACCTGGGAACTGCTCGGAGTTTCCCTCTCTGCCACGCAATGGACTCTGCTCGGGAGCGGAGCCGGACGGGTCCGGTAAATCCATGGAGTGATAAGAAGTTCGCCTTTCTCTAGTACACATTATTCGTTCGTGTTTTTGACTTCCCCAGGGGAAGGGACCTGTTTATTTAGTATGTTTTGATTCTCACGTTTATCTAAAGCTGTCCTAGAAGGCCCTCTCTGTCAACACAAACGGCTTGCAACACAATGGACTTGGCTCCCTAAGATGTTCGTCTCTGTCTAGTAGATGTTATTTGATCGTGTTTTTGACTTCCCCAGGAGAAGGGACTTGTTTATTTGGTATGTGAGCAGTATCGAAAAAAATGTTATAGTTTTTATACTGTGTTGCCGTTGTTATATAGCTATATCAGATATGTGATAATTTATTATTAATAGTTTCAAAATATATTTATTTTCTACAAATCTTAAAATCTATATTATTATAATAAAAATGTAAAATCGAAGAGGTGAGAACTATCTGTTTGTGTGTTAAGATGTTAAGTAAGAACAGCTGGATGAATTCTTTGATGCAATGTGAGACATACTCTGATGCAGACTGACTCCTGATGACAAAGGTGTCATGTCTCTGCTCACTGCAAGACCCCATACACTCACTGGCACATCCAAACAATATAGTTAACAAGCTAGGAGCTTCAGAAGCTGTATTCGTATTCTTAGTTAGTTCATGAAATTATTTCTAAATCTATATTTTTTTTATAGGGGGGTTTGGGCTATTGTTCAGTGTTAAGACCTGTAACACTGCTATCTGTATAAATCTATTGTGCTCACCCTCATTCAAAGTTCGCTATATAAACCCATAAGGGATAAGAATTGTAGGATATTCTTAGGAGCAATTTTAATTTATTACAAAGTAAAGTGTTTCTATTAAAGAGTATGAAACATACATACATGTATAGTATTATGGAGACATCTACTAGGAAAAGATTTCATGATATTGATACAGAAACACCAAATGGATACAACAGTATTGTACAAGTTACTTAAAAACAGTGTAGAAAACATATATTTTCTTTTAAATAAAAAGAAAGTGCTCTGGTTATGGACAAACATACACATTGCATTATATGTACTCACCCGCAGTAAATCTATGCCATTAAATAAATTTGAAGTATCTGCTTGTTATTTAAAATTAACTTCTCACAAAATGTGTATGAAAGTATATACAGTATTTACATCACACAATAATTTTAAAAAAATTGTCTGTATGTCTGTTTTATATGCTAATCTCTGGACCATTTTGATGGGACTTTCACTCGCAATTAGTTAATGTAATAAGGAGTCATTTTGCTACCTTTATTTTAGAAATTTTATTTATATTTAAATAGAAAATTAAAAGTTAATTTTCACACAGACAACAAGTGAACAACTGCTACAAAATAATATTAATTGAATGGACAGAGGTGACTCAGTGTATCATTCATGGCAGTGATATAATTCACAAGTTATTTTACGTACTTGGTTGATTTTGCACTGCAGTAGGTACAATACAATAATATGTACAAAACTAGTTAATATTTATTATATATTTTCATACACTATTTATATGGTAAATCCGACTGAAATGCTGGTCAGTGGGTAATTGCACACCGTACTGGTTTAAGACGACATTCAAGCATAGCTACAAGAATGCACCCCGTACTATTTAGATCGCATTTATTTAGGAATGTTGAGTGAAACTTACTGCTGAAAGCTGCAAGCTTCCTAGTGGAGCCGAGCCGCTTCATGGGCGTGCGCGGCTCCATATCGCGCTCGTCGAGGGCGGGCAGCGCTGCCGGAGCCTCCGTCGCCGTTGGAGTCGTCGCTTCAGACATTTTCGTCAATTTCCAGTAATTTTTTAAATGAAGTTATGGAAATCCTTTGTCACATTATTTAATAAGATTTGTATCAATAATATTACATAGCCAATTCAAAAATTTTTGAATTAAATTTTAGCATTCTTTCATTTATAAGTAACTCCGATCGAAAATAACGACTGTCGTACGTCTTGGATTAAATTCAAGATCTCTTTTCACCAACAAACACTTATCAATAAATTTAGAACTCACAAGTGGTCCACGTTTTATTTAAAATTGAATAAAACTTATGGAATTGTATCCATTTATACATAAATTTATTTTCAAAAAGAACTAAAAAAACGACTAACAAGAAAGAAGTAGCGTCCACAAACTAAAACACAGAGCACTCACTACTCAGTTCTGTAAGTACCTGTGCAATTATAATTCGAAACGTCACTGTCATTGCGGTACGTCAGTAACTGTTGACGTTGAGAATTATAGTAGCACAGATAACATATGATAGTAGTAATTTGTCTTTTGGTCATAGATAAAATACGTATAGTTCAAGTATCTTTTCTTTAAATATTCTTCATTGCGAGCTGCGAAAATCAATCGGTTGAAGACGTGTTTGTAATTTATTCTTTGATAAAGGCTTTTTTTCTGTGCTTTAATTTTTGTTATCGTATGATATGGCGATTTACAAATGTGTGTAATAAATATCATTACAAGTATTTATTACACACATTTATAAATTGCATTAAAAAATGTAGAATGGTTTTTTAATACAATAAGATATATGGTATAGGAATAAAACAAGGTTCGACTGAATAGATGGTTTATTGTCTAGGTGTAGAGGCGCAGAGTGGAGTCTGCGCAGGCGGCCAACAGCCACGGCTGCGTGGGGTGGAAGCGCACCTGCAGCACGCACAGCCCCTCGCGCACCGCGCCGCCCGGCAGCTGCTTCAGAGGCACCAGCAGCGGGTTCTGCAGCAGGTCGCTGTACCGACACATGCACAGTTACGCGGACGTACGCCAATACTCATATATTCTCTTTATATTTCATTTGCATGCCAAAGTTAATGTTTCATCGTCTTCAATAGTTCGACGACGAAGTATAATTTGTATTTTTTTAAATTTATCATGATATTAATTATGAATCTTGTTGAACAGTGAGCAGAAGAGAAAATAGGGTATAAGATTTCACTTATAATTGTAATAGTATCCAAGCCGACGGCCTACCAGATGATAACTGGTGACCGGTATGCATACACAAAGACGTGAGGTGGATGTAGGGGCGCGACGTCCGTACCTGTAGACCATGCCGTGCGAGACGACGATGTGGGGGTCGTCCCCGGCGGAGGCGAACAGCGGGTACCGCGGGTGGAACGCCACCGACCGCACCGCGCCGCCGTGCAGCCGCAGCGTCTGGTACGGCCGCGCCGACAGCTGCAGGTCGAACCTGCGCACGCGCACTCTCTTACACCACGCACACACCGTCCTCGTCGCCTACGGGACGTGTGTACGCAGGCAACTCGTTACCGAATTACCAGTCGCTACACACTACTTGCGGTCACATTATACAGCATATATACGGAGCGCAAGAAACTGTATCTCAATATAAATCAATAGTATAAAAAAATCATTCATTCATAGTGTGCGTTGTGTTTGGATGTGTGTATGTGGGTTTTGTTCGCGCGTATTCGTGTGCGTGCATCAGTATATTGTATTGTGATATTTGTACTATGCATATAAGAATGCGGGTGCACTGACCACATGCATTTGCGGTCGTAGGAGGCGACCAGCAGGTTGTCTCCGGCGGGGTGCATGGCGATGGCGCTGATCCACTGCGCGCCGGGCTCCAGCTTGCGGACTAGCTCCTGCTTCACCAGGTCGTACACGCGCACCGCGCGCTGCGTCTGTAACACACATACTGTCGCTATAGATACTACATAGGTACACTCGATACATACGGGGGCGGTACTCACGGCCACCAGCAGCAGCGGCCGCGCGGGGTGGAAGGCGGCGCACTGCACGAGCCCCCGCGCGCGCCGCAGCGGGAGCTGGGAGCGGGGGCGGGGGGCGGCGGGGGGCGGGGGCGGTACTCACGGCCACCAGCAGCAGCGGCCGCGCGGGGTGGAAGGCGGCGCACTGCACGAGCCCCCGCGCGCGCCGCAGCGGGAGCTGGGAGCGGGGGGCGGGGGGCGGCGGGGGGCGGGGGCGGTACTCACGGCCACCAGCAGCAGCGGCCGCGCGGGGTGGAAGGCGGCGCACTGCACGAGCCCCCGCGCGCGCCGCAGCGGGAGCTGGGAGCGGGGGGCGGGGGGCGGCGCGGGGGGGCGGGGGCGGTACTCACGGCCACCACCAGCAGCGGCCGCGCGGCGTGGAAGGCGGCGCACTGCACGAGCCCCCGCGCGCGCCGCAGCGGGAGCTGGGAGCTGGGGGCGGGGGGCGGCGGGGGGCCGGGGGCGGTACTCACGGCCACCAGCAGCAGCGGCCGCGCGGGGTGGAAGGCGGCGCACTGCACGAGCCCCCGCGCGCGCCGCAGCGGGAGCTGGGAGCGGGGGGGGGGGGCGGCGGGGGGCGGGGGCGGTACTCACGGCCACCAGCAGCAGCGGCCGCGCGGGGTGGAAGGCGGCGCACTGCACGAGCCCCCGCGCGCGCCGCAGCGGGAGCTGGGAGCGGGGGGCGGGGGGGCGGCGGGGGCGGGGGCGGTACTCACGGCCACCAGCAGCAGCGGCCGCGCGGGGTGGAAGGCGGCGCACTGCACGAGCCCCCGCGCGCGCCGCAGCGGGAGCTGGGAGCGGGGGGCGGGGGGGGGCGGGGGGGGGGGGGGGGGGGGGGGGGCGGGGGGGGGGCGGTACTCACGGCCACCAGCAGCAGCGGCCGCGCGGGGTGGAAGGCGGCGCACTGCACGAGCCCCCGCGCGCGCCGCAGCGGGAGCTGGGAGCGGGGGGCGGGGGGGGGCGGGGGCGGGGGCGGTACTCACGGCCACCAGCAGCAGCGGCCGCGCGGGGTGGAAGGCGGCGCACTGCACGAGCCCCCGCGCGCGCCGCAGCGGGAGCTGGGAGCGGGGGGCGGGGGGCGGCGGGGGGCTGGGGCGGTACTCACGGCCACCAGCAGCAGCGGCCGCGCGGGGTGGAAGGCGGCGCACTGCACGAGCCCCCGCGCGCGCCGCAGCGGGAGCTGGGAGCGGGCGGCGGGGGGCGGCGGGGGGCGGGGGCGGTACTCACGGCCACCAGCAGCAGCGGCCGCGCGGGGTGGAAGGCGGCGCACTGCACGAGCCCCCGCGCGCGCCGCAGCGGGAGCTGGGAGCGGGGGGCGGGGGGCGGCGGGGGGCGGGGGCGGTACTCACGGCCACCAGCAGCAGCGGCCGCGCGGGGTGGAAGGCGGCGCACTGCACGAGCCCCCGCGCGCGCCGCAGCGGGAGCTGGGAGCGGCGCCGCGACACTTGGTGCACGAGCACGGCGCGCGCGCCCGCGTCCCGCAGCGTGGCCGCCAGGTAGTCGCCGCGCGCGTGCCAGCACACCTGCGCACGCGCACACGCACTTTCACTCCAATGTTTCATTTTTAACGTCTCGTGGAATAAAATTAGGAAGTCGGTAGCCGATCACTCACGTGCACGAGAGGCTTGAAGTGCGTGACGAGGATGCGCACGCCGCGCTCCCAGTCTTCGGTCGTCACGGTCTCCCAGCGCACGCACGCCGCCGTACGCTCGTCCACTGTAACCAGTCACTATCGTCACCGACAATGCAGGAAATATATATATAGTAAGTGGTATTGTAAATGATAAACATTGCGAGGATAGATAATTATTTTAGAGTTCAGATATACTTTACGATGATGAAGAAAGATGGCAGAACTTAGAACCAATGAATGACTAAGTATTAAAAGTATTTCCTTGTTATTACGACATACATGCATGATGGTACAACTTACCAAAGATTTCCAATGTCATAAGTAACTTCAGAAGTATGTCCATACAAATTGTCATAATTCGGTGGAGTTTGGGAGTCTGCAGTGCAATCTGTAAAAGTTGTACACGACTGTACACGAGCGCGGTACTCACTGAGCACGTCGTGCGCGGGCGGCGCGGCGGCCAGCAGGCGGTCGGTGGCGGCGGCGGCGCGGCCGGCCCCCACGCGGCGGCCCGGCGCCAGCAGCGGCAGCCTGGCGCCGGCCGCGGCCGCCACCAGCGCCAGCCCGCGCGCCGGGCTCCACGCCACGCTCACCACCGGCTCGCCCGCCGCGTGCGTGTGCAGGCAGCGCCCCGTGCTCGTCTCCCACACTGTACGTAGTATTTGTTCGCCGTCATGATATCGACTCGAGCGTGGCATTCGACAATAGAATTCTCAAAATCAAAGTTTAAATAATAAAGTTAGCATTATTGCCACGGTTAGCCGCTCCAGTCGATAGCCATCAGTGAGAAACTCGATTAGTACATTTATTTTAAATTTATGTCAATGCTATAGTAAATAGTGTAATGTGAAGTTCCAGATCACGCAGTGATCCACACACGCCTTTCACTACTGACGTATATATATTTATATTAAATTATTAGTCCGCGATGGACTCCCTAAACTATAGAACCGATTACAAATTTCATTTTGGTGCAATTTGATCCAACATCTTGATAGCTTACATCGGTTTATAGTCGTAATATTATTTTATTCAAAAACTTTAGGCACAGGTAGACGTGGCCGGGTCCGGTAGTGCGGGTGCATGGGGTATGCTGACCTCTGAGGGTGGCGTCGTCGCCGCCGGAGACGGCGTACTGTCCGCTGGGGTCGAGGTCCACACAGCGCACGAGGCCGGCGTGGCCGCGCATCACCAGCGCCTCCCCCGTCGGGAACGGACGCAGCTCGCGCGGGGACGGCAGCTTCGGGACCAGGTCCGCCGCGCTGATCGTCAGCTGCGGACAGTTTTAACACAAAAAACTAATAAAATCCACACTACGATAAAGTTTACTATTTAATCTCGCTAGAGGTCGTAATCGTAACATTATATGAAAATTTGACATTTACAACCTGTCAATATAGTAGCTCTGAGGTCAAAAATCAGACTACATCCCGCGTCCGGAAGACGCGTGGCGACTCACCTGCATCACTATCCCGCTAGAGGTCGTAATCGTAGCATCATATGAAAATTGGATATTTACACGTAACAATTGACACGTAAGAGTTTAGATGGTATGAGCGGCGAGTAGTGCTCACCCGCATCTTGAGGGCGCGCGGCGCGAGGTAGAGGTCGAGGCAGCGCAGGAACCGCTCCCGCAGGAACCGCTCGTATGCGGGCACGGCGCGCAGGCTGGCGTGCCGCGTGGGCAGGAACGTGTACTTGCGCTTCCACGGCGTCTCGCTCAGCGCACACCACTCCTTCATCTGCGACCGCACCCCATCACATTAACGACGCGGAATTCATTACTGAGCGACTCGTACCCGCGATTACTGTAACTCGTCCTTAATCAGGATATAATTAAAGGAATTGAATATTTATTACAATTAAATGTGTATAAGATTGTATTGTGCGCTTTTCCTTACACAAAAGGACATCTTCATAAAAAAATTAACAGTAAGGTACATTACCTGAACAACTTATTACATACATTGACATGTCGTCATAGTGACATTTTTACATTTTTTGATACTAATAGTTTTATTAGTGATTTTTATTGGACAAAAGATACAATGTATCTCTCTAAATTATCTAAAAATAAAATAGCCACTTTAGTGGCTTATAATATTGACTACATGAACAGTTTACATGGTAAACTTAAACATAAAAATACTGACATAACAAATAATTCTATTAATATTTGTGACATAAATACTATGACTGCAGATTTAAACTGCTCACAAAGACAAAGGGAAAGCAATCAGAATTAATAATTGTTCATCAGAACATACAAAGTTTTCCCGGCAGCGAGTTAATTATACAATTATTTTTAGAAAAGTATAATATTGATATTGTCTGTTTCACAGAACATTGGCTTAAAGAGAGCAATATGAGAGATAAATAATATTAAAGTAAAGGAACGTGCTGACATTGTTAGACTTTCTATTGAGTGTTGTATAGAATTATCTTGTATAGAACTAGAAAATTATATCCTTATATGTGTGTACAGGCCTCCTAATAGTGATTACAATGTATTTGAAGGGGTGATGGAGGATATATTAAAAAAAATATTTAATAGTATTAAAAAAATTATTGTATGTGGAGATTTTAACGTTGATATTCTTTGTAACACACCCACATGTACAAACATTATTAGTTTATTTCAATCATTTGATTTAAGTCATGTCTTTCATGAACCCACTCGTGTAACTGCCACGTCTGCTACTTGTTTTTTGTAACTGTGAGTATACAGAAAAATTCATAATAAATAAACTTCCTTCAGATCACTGTGGTCAAGTTGTTAAGTTTAACAGTCAGATCAATAAAGTCAACAATAATAAAAAATCAAAAAGACAAATAAATGTTTACAATATTAATAAATACAAAAGCGCGATTAAAAATATATTGGATTTGCTGTTACAATCTAGTAATAATCCTGATCTAGACACGCGGCAGCGTGTCAAGCCGAGTTTCAAGTAAACTGGCAAGCAGCACCGTGTGTATATTTACACGAACCATTTGGAGCCACTTTTGACCCCCTCATAACTCTAAAACTCTATCACACAAACCTGTTAAATTTGGTTCATATATTGAGACTTGCGAGATAAATATGTGTTCCAAATTTCATAAACATATCTCAAACGGTTATTTAGATATTAATGTCCAAAAATCGTCATTTTTATCACTGATCAACTATAGATCAAAATTATAACCCACTTCCAGATGACCTAGGAAGTTCAAATTTGGTATGCAGATAGGTAATTAGGTGAATATAAAGGAAAAAATCTGAAACTGGTAAATTGTTATCATTTTACTACAATTTTTCACTTTAATTGATTCTATTTCAACTTATACTGGACGAATACTAAAATTCTATGAAAACGTCGATAGCCACCAATTGACATTGATCCCTGGCGAAAAATCTCATCTTGTACTGGACCGAAAGTAATATTGTATGAAAACGTCGATCATTACCAATTTACATTGACCCCTTCACATCAGTGTCGATAACTAGCAAACTTCAAATATTGCATTGAGCGGTAAACACTAGTTGCTATAATTTAGATTCTGTCTAAAATATACTCGTACTTATAACTAGGAGTATAGTCGAATTTCGTATTTATTATGTTATTAACTGAGATTTGGTATTAATTATTGTTTCAATATTTAGCGCACATCGATAGTGTAAAATCATTATTTTTATAAATAATTATTAAATAATAGGCATTTCGGTATAGGGCGCCGCGGTGGCGCCGTGTGGGAGCGGTACGATAAAACTCAATGTTTTGTTTCTGGATATCTAACCTATTAGGTTGCGATTTATGCTACGAAATTTATAGCTTTCTTAAATTATACTTATATATTTGTGATTATATTATTATTACATTATTTTAGTAAATACGTATGGTATAGACAGTAGTTTAAACCAAAAATTAATAACAATTTTAGTATAGTTATAAGTAGGAATGTATAGTTAACTCGAGAATGAGAACTCATTGGTAACAAATTGTTTTCTTGAGAATTCAATAGATAACAGTCAATTTGTTACATAATCGTCTTTACGAACTATAACGTGTCAATACGAAGTTTCAGATATTAAATAATGTATATGTTGAAAGAGAACAATTCCGTATTTGCTTAACATATGCTATTACTATCCACAAATCACAAGGCCTTAGTTTTGGCAGTCCTCTTCTCAACATAGGCTCCTCCATATTTAATAAAGGGCAGGTTTACGTTGGACTCTCCAGAGTTAAAACCTTAGATAGGGTACGTCTTAACAATTTAGATCCAAGTCACGAGAGCTCTATTGTAGAGAGAGTACAACCATCTGTGGACGTTATACCGCCCCGATTTGCCCAAAAATTCCTGATACTGAATTGGCTTTGGACTTCAACATTTAAAAGTTACAAGAAAATATAGAAAATAACACAAAAAAAAGAGAATTATACCCCGTAAATATACGAAAATACAGTAATTTATCAAAAATAATTTGGTATTAATTTAGTTATAAATATGTACCTAGTATAATTTATGTACAAAAAGTAATGATATCCCATCAAAAACATAAATGTGAAATGATAGCCGAGTTTAATATTATGATATATGCCTTGATTGTTGACTTCTACGACAAAAGAGATGAGATCTAAATGGGTGCCAAGTTCAATGGTCTGTCCTGAAATGTATTTATAACAATATAAAATATCATTTCTTCTTATAACTTAGGATAATATACTGTAGCCTAAGGTCTAACTTGGCTAGTTTTCATATACGAAATATACTGTAGCCTTCGCAAGTTCTAAACATGTTACTTGTCGGTTCCTATTTTAATATTAATAGTAACTAGCAATCGAAAGTAATAATTGGTATATGAGAACTGGCCAAGTTAGACCTTAGGCTACAGTATATTATCCTAAGTTATAAGAAGAAATGATATTTTATATTGTTATAAATACATTTCAGGACAGACCATTGAACTTGGCACCCATTTAGATCTCATCTCTTTTGTCGTAGAAGTCAACAATCAAGGCATATATCATAATATTAAACTCGGCTATCATTTCACATTTATGTTTTTGATGGGATTATCTTTACACCAAGCTAATTACTATTCTATCAGGAGAATATGAACAATTTTTCAAGAAAAAAGAAGTTTATGTTAAATCTAAATTCACGGAATGGGCAACAGTAGGTATACTTAAAAGTAGAAATACTTTGTTTGATTTATACGATCAAAAAAAATATCGATTTGATGACAAATTCACCACTTATGTGAAAAATTATTCAAAAATTTTTAAAAAAGTTTGTATTACGGCTAAATCTAATTATATTAATAAACAAATTAACCAGTCTTCTGACAAAATTAAAACCATCTGGGGCATTATAAATAAAGAAACCGGAAGATCTAAATTAACCTATAATCAATTTGCATTAAATTATGATAATAAATTAATAACAGCAACAAAAGATGTAGTTAATGTTTTTGAAGATTTTTTTGCTAACATTCCGATTAACATTACATCTTCTCTGGACTCATCTCCATCTCGAGCAAAAATATTACTAGAGTCTAATATCGGTTGTTGTGCTTTAAGATTTAAATTTTCACATGTTAGCCCCGTTCATATCATAAAAATATTCAAACATCTAAATCTAAAAAATACAGAAGACCTTTGGGGCATGTCTGTAAAAGTAGTTAGTTCTTTCATAGATATTGTTGCTCCATATCTAGCTACTATTTTTAATAAATGTATTGATAATGGCACTTTTCCACAATTAATGAAATTTAGCAAATTAATCCCACTATTTAAATCAGGTGATAAATTTGAGCCAGGGAACTATAGACCTATATCTATTTTGCCAGTTCTAAGTAAGGTGTTTGAAAAGATAATGTTAAATCAAATGTTACAACACTTCAGGGATAACCGACTGCTTCACAGTCAACAATATGGTTTCACCGCCGGCAAGTCTACCACTGACGCAGGTGTAGCGCTGATAACACATATTTTCCAATCATGGGAGAAGTCACAGGATGCACTCGGAGTTTTTTGTGACCTATCAAAGGCATTTGATTGCGTGGATCATAAAATACTTTTGTACAAGCTCGAACATTATGGTATAAAAGATAATGATCTAAAATTAATGAGAACTTATTTAGAGGATAGGGTCCAAACTGTAGATATTGACGGTATAAAATCTAAGGGAGCTAATATTGGGATGGGCGTTCCACAAGGGTCAATCTTAGGCCCCTTTCTCTTTTTAATTTACTTAAATGACCTTCCCTTTATGGTAGAGAAAATTGCAGATATAGTGCTGTTTGCGGATGATACTTCGTTAGTGTTTAAAATTGGACGTCAAACTAATCAATTAGACGATGTAAATTGTGCTATGTCTGCTATATTAAATTGGTTTACATGTAATAACCTATTATTAAATTCCAGCAAAACAAAGTGTATAAAATTTACACTTCCTAATGTAAGACCAATAAATACACAGTTATTGCTTAATGATGAAATAGTAAATTTTGTTAATGATACAGTTTTTTTAGGTATAACAGTGGACTCGAAATTACAATGGGGGCCCCATATTTCAAAATTGGCCAATAGACTCAGTTCAGCTGCATATGCAATTAGAAGAATTAAGCAAGTAACAGACGTGGCGACGGCTAAACTTGTATACTTTAGTTATTTCCATAGCATTATGTCATATGGTATACTACTGTGGGGTAAAGCAGCCGATATAAATACTATATTTATTTTACAAAAGAGAGCCATACGTTCTATTTATGGTATGGGTTCAAGAGAGTCATTACGTCAGTGTTTTAAAGATTCAAATATCCTCACCGTTACTTCACAATACATTTATGAGAATATCATGTATACACGGAAGAATTTAGAGAGTTTTAGAAAACTTAAAGACTACAAATAGAAACTTACGCAATAAAAATAATTTTACCTAAATGCCGCCTGCACAAAGTCAGTAATTCATTCTATGGTAATTGCGTAAGATTTTATAATAAACTGCCAGAATCTGCACTAAATCTGACAGAGAGGCAATTCAAATCTTATATTAAACAATTTTTGTGTAAGAAAGCCTATTACAGGATAGACGAATTCATATACGACAACATATCAAGTAAATAATTACATAGTTTATTAGCCTACAACATTATAATTTATTTTTCTCATTGCTTTCTTGATTTAATTATTTTAAAAATATGAAAGCGTAGCGGTTTTTGTATTGATTACCGCATGCATTCTTATGTAAAATGTGTATACTATAACCAGTGGCAATCCGTGAGGAAGTAGCCATTATTATTGCTAAAAGTTGCATATAGATGGCGTGATTGGTATCGATGGAATTCTTCATAGTTTTGCAAACGTTTTAAAAAACAAAACTGTGTTTACAAAAATGTTTAATCAATTTTTAAAAAGTTATATATACATGTTAAAATGAAATAATGCGTTTAGAAAAGTAATTTTCATATATTTACTCATTTTGTTATTTTCCAGTACTTAATTAATTTAATCAGTGCTAATATGGGGCTCAATGTTTTCAAAATGCTTTCATAGATGGCATTGTTGTCATTTGTATCGGCCTAATTAAATGTCTTTTTTATATTTTCCAATAATAAGCACTTAATATATCATTATTGTAAATTAAACATATAAAAAAAATTTAAGTAAATTAAAAATAGCCGAACAAGCAAGTAATACTATTTCCAATAATACTTATGTATGAAGTGTTGTCATATTAAAAATAAATACATGTATTATCGATTTTTTTGAATAATCGATAACAGGATTTTATTACAGCGCATTATTCGATGATGCTTTTAATGAGTCGTTGTGAACAGTAAATTTTCATTATTTTGTATTATAGCAGTGTTCCGTTTCAAAGAACGGAATATAGTAGTACATTATTAGTGTCGTTGGTTATTTACATTTGTACTAAAAATCGATTACATAATAATTTAAAATATCGAGTACGAATCGTAGTTGTCTTTGAATACTGGCAAGATTAAAATAGTATTTAAAAAAAGAGAAATCGACCCTAACTCGAATACCATAAAGTTGATTTTCCTTTCTCATTAATATCATAGCAGTTTGTTTTTAACTTGCGTATGACTCTGTGGTATGATGTTTAACGTGTATTGTTATTGTACGGTGCATACATTTCAAAAATTATATTTTAATGTAGGTACATACATTTCATACATGTCAAAAATTATCTTTTAATGTAGGTACATACATTTCTTTCATACATCAAAGATATTATTATTGTAGATATCGAAAGTTATGTATACAAGTAATTCTGAATATTATCAAGTTCAAAATAAGCACACATTACTGGCTTAGATAATAGAGTAATATTACTTGTAATAAAAACATTTGTGACACCCATATGTATACATATTACATAGTAAGTACTTACGCCCGTGCCGTGAGACTCATCTAAGCGTACAGCGCATGCGCGTCGTGCGGTAACCGCACTGACGGACCAATAGGAGCGCGCCTCTCGCGCATCCAGAAAGTTCGCGACTAATGGACGGTATAGTAGTAAAGCAATGAGTGTTCCAGTGACATCATTATAATATTTTCTCGTTAAGTTTTATTGTAATATACATAATTTCGTACTAAGTAACGTGTTCCCCCGTTACACATTTCTAACGTGTAACGGGCGTGAAAGCAAGACAAACAGACAGAGTTACTTTAGCATTTATAATATTTGTAAGAACATCGCTATTAAAAATAGGGGTTGGTGAAAGACGGGCCAAAATTTAGGCGGTATGTAACATTATAAATAAATAAAAAATTGTCCATAATACAAAAAAAAAAATCAGGGTAGACCACCCCTATGAGTCAGGGGTATAAAAAATAGATAACAACCCTACCTCAGACCTAGCAAGTATACATATCAAATTTCATCAAAATGTGGGAGAAATATGGCAACTAACACTGTGATACGAAGTTTATATATAAGATATAGCGGAATTCTCATTAGGGAAAAGAGGGGTACATCGTAGAATACATGAGGTATATACCAGTAAATTCATTGTAGCTAAAACCAGTCTCTTACACATAACGATTGAAATAAAAAATCATATAGCCCGATGTTGATACGTACGAGTATAAACGTATCAAAATCGGGCTATACGTATAGCGCAGACGCGTTACAACATATCTTCGTCGAGAGAAAAAAATAGGCATGGAATGTAGAATAAACTATAACATAATATATACATTGGCACATAAGCCATATCTGCAGGGTATCGGCTAACGATATTATACCTACACATTTACATTGAATCTTGAATCGTCCCTAATGAGGTACACGATACAGTTACCTACATATCTTGTATATACCTATCTTTGCAAAACAGATGTCATGTAGACTGAATTGACCGCCATCTATTTTCGTGCTTTGTTACTAAGCACCCACTAGTAATCCGAACTGCTTCAGATCTAGAGACGTCTAGCAGCTACGGCGGCGAAATAAAATAGCCCGAAGAATAGCCCGAGTTAGGAAGGAACCATTTTATTGTATGGGATGGGGTATCTGTATGTAATATTATGTTATCTGTGCTATAACTATCAGACAGCAATTGTAAGTAGCTTTGACGTAGTCTAGTGTTTTGAGTAGTCATGCTCACTAAAATGTTCAGACTTGTGGCGGCGTGGTGGGCCGGGTCATTGGGCTCCCTAAAATATGGTCGAGCGCAGTGATGGCTGGCTCATCCGTCATACTCGTGAACGGGTGCTGCTTGTAGGGACTGGTCTGCTCTAATCACTATGACTGATTTCCTCTTATTAATTGTTTAACCAGTAGGTTATATATTCAATATTTTTTCTATTTGAGTATTTAATAGAATTAGTGCTAATTGGTGGTTTGTATTCACACACTTAAACTTAAAAATGTAAAGTAATAATAAAATTATTTAAAAGAGTAACACGCAAGTTTCTTGCTCGTTCTTCTTGTGATGAGACAGCTTTCCGAAATATTAAAAAATGTAATGACTATTCAAAAGTGCTTCAATGTAAGTTTATTTGAATAAATGATTTTCTATTCTATTCTATTCTATTCTAATCAAATATATAATGCTGGCTGCTCGCCCCGGCTCCGTCCCGATGTGCGTCCGTCCCGGACGGACGACGACGGCGACTTTATTTTATACTATGTAATGATGGTGTCTTTTATTGCTCTAAATATATATAATTAGTATAAGTAGAATTTGTATATAAGTTTATATAAGATCAATTTTGACACGATACCCCCGGTGTTTCAGGCGTCCATAGGCTACGGTGACCGTTTACCATCAAATGGGCCGTATGCTTGATTGCCACCATAGTATAAAAAGATACCTCTGCGTCGTCGAGCAGGTACTCGGGCGGCGGGTTGTAGCTCTCTGCGTGCGTGGGCAGCGGTCTCTTGGGCGCCGGGATGTGCTTGTGTATGCCGCGCAGCTTCTCCTCCTCCTCGTTCGTCGTCGATCCCCATAGATTATAGAATTTCTTTTCCTATACATAAATGTATTGAAAGGATGATCAGTAAAATAATTTAATTATGAAAGATTTCATTAAAATTTTAATTGTTACCCGATCGAAATATGGTGTCGAAAATCGAAATGATATGTAAAAAATTTACAATAATCAAAGAACATATTGAAATTACCCTTAAATAAATTCAAAACATCTGTTAAATCATATTTACTGAGCAAATCCTATTACTCACTAATGACTACTTGGTAGACGGTAGAAAAAAATTAAAATTGTAATGTAAAAATTTGATCTTCATAAGCGCCTAAAATGTCCTACATCAGTAAATGATTTTGAATTTGAATTTGAATTTGATCATTAAAAAAGCTTGCCTTAAATTAACTTATATAGAAAACCCGCCCACATAAGTTCCATTGTAAGCCACTCACTTTCCTCTTTCTCCTCTCCTTGGCGAGTTCTCTTCTGGTCTTGGTCCAGCCCATCTTGAGCGCGTGCACGATCTTGGAGATCTGCAGCTGCTCGCTGCGGGACGGCAGGAAGGAGCTCTTGGGCTCCGGGAAGGCGCGCACGGGCGCGGCCAGCACCTCGCGACTGAACCACTCGACCCAGGGCTGGTAGTCGTCGCGGCCGGGGTCGGGCAGCATGGAGTCCTTCAGTCGCTGCAGCAGGCGGAGGTCGTCGGGCGCCAGCCGCACGTCCTGTCCGGTGCGAGGGTCCCGCACCGTGCGCCAGAACTCGGGGTCCGAGCACCGCCTGCATCCACACACATACCAACTCTCCACTCTATACATGTCGTAGGCTCTCGCTCCCGTAGACTCGGGATCATTATTATTATTATGTATAAAATAAAGTCGCGGAAGCTGTCTGTCCGTCCCTAGTATGCTTAAATCTTTAAACTATGCAACGAATTTAGAAGCCGTGGCTAGTAGCTAGTATACAATATTCTATTTTGTTACACACTTATTTACATTCCAATCACATTTGGAATCTTTCTTTCCAATGGATTCACTGTAGGCACTGCTTAGAAATCTTGCAGTGCATATGTTTTAAATCCATTTATGTTACTAAACATTTAAATACATGTAAATTAAAGTAAGTAGTAAGATAAAGTATAAAAGATAGTAGAATGGTGTGGTACTGACTGCAGGAACTGGTCGATGTGGTCCCGCTGGGGCGGCTTGATGATGCGGCGGCCGTCGAGGTCGTACCCGAGGTGCGGGTACTCCCGGTACCACCAGGCCGGCACCGCGCCCGTCGTCACCACGCCGCCCTCCTCGTCGGACGAGTCGCCCTCCTCGTACTCATCTGCCAAATTGCACCGCCACACTTATCGCTTTCTCCAGTTCTTAAAAACTATATTAACTATTAATAATTTAAGTAAGATTATAATATGAAAATAATATAGAACACTAATCCAAAACGTCAATCATTTGAACGAGTTTAAATTAAAAATATTCTTGTAAAGAAAGACAATAATCATAATACTAGTATCTCATAAAAAATGGATAAACCTGTTGGTTTCTGTGCCTAACTTATTGATGCCAACAGAACACAAAACATTCATATTACTACTAGCTGTCTCGTGCAACTTTGTCTACGTATTTCATTACCGTTTTGCTCTTATTGGTTGTAGCGTAATATTATATAGCTTTTTCAGCAAATGGACTATCCAACACAAAAATATTTTTTATATCAAACCAGTACTTAGCACATTCAAACAAACTTTTCAGCTTTATAGTATTAGTATACGTATGTCATGTAAATGTGTATGTGTGTGTGACACTATAATTATTAATAAATGCTACAAAATGGTTTTCACTCATAACTATAATGGAACGTTCAAACATACCTTTCTGTTCGACAGGTTTAATAGTAACAGATGTCTCCTTAATCTTGTCAGCTAATACATCTATGCTGCTTTTAGTAGTGTGTTTGTTTGCTTGCTTCACTTTTTGTTTCTGTTTGTGTTTTGTTTTTGTAACTTCTGTAGTTTTTTCAGGCTCATTGGTAGATTGCACAATGCCACTGGCTCCCGACTCTGCTCCACTGTCAACACTTTCTGTTTCAGTTTTATCACTATCTCCTTCCTCATCATCATCATCGTCATCTTGTTCACTTTCACTGGTCCCATCATCTTCCGAATCTGTCAGTTCCTAGAGAATCAGTAACGATATATGTATATACTGTAACATTGTTAGTGATATTCATAAAATTGCGAATAGCACCGACCCAGGCACCGACATTTCTAACCTCGCCACCAAGAACAACTAGTACACTCACTCTGAACATGATTTCACAGTCACCTTTCATTTAGTGTAGTGATAAAGATGTAGCAGAAATTGCTCTTACCGAGGATTCACCTGAGACACTGTCTGCGGACACATCTTCACCTAGAGTGGAGTCAGCACTATCGTTAAACAAAACTTCCTGAAAACATATAGATTCCAATTAAACTTACAACTATATTTATTACAGACAACTTATATTGTAATCTACCTTTGTATATAAAAATTACATGTTACATTGTTTATCTGTGATGGACTCCTAAACTATTGAACCGATTGCAAATTTGATTTGCACATTGTGTGCAATTTGTTTCAACTTGAAAGATATGATAGCTTACATCTCAATTTATAGTCGCAATATTATTGCCTTAGCCACAGCAATGTGTGGGGAGGTCTGCTAGTTTTTATATGAATAAATACAAAACAAGTACAATTTATAACATGCTTTACAATTTATAAATAACAGAATGGTACATTGACTTTTATATTATTAGAGTATTTTAAACAAGTTTAATAATGTGTACAGATTACATTATAATAAACCAAGTAAAAAATATGAATTTATAAACAATAAAATATATCTCATCAGTTCCATTAGTACTTGTGCCATTTAGCTTTGTAGTAGTTTAGTAGCCAATATATTTTTTCAGTGGTCAACAGTAAGCCCAAATTAAGCATTTTTTACTATAGATAATTATGGTCTAAAGCATAAATATTATGACAATTATCTGAGCTCATATTAAGTTTATTGAATAAAGATTATTTCTATTTCTTTTTCTATATTCACAGGATCAGCGACAGTGACTTCAACCAAAACTCACAAACTCAACATAAAGACTTTTATAAATAGATTCAAAAGTAAAGTGATTTGATAAAAACACCCTTACATCTTGTTCATTGTCGGAGGCGGTTCCCTGTTGCTCCTCGTGTTCAGAGTCCGTCGAGTCGCCGTCGTCGTCGTCGCCGTCTAACACGCCTCGGATTAGGTCCTCGTCGTTTTCAGACCCTCCATCCTAATTACACATGATTTCATAAACTTTAAACCATCACATCTGAATCGTTTGATAATACATATAATATTCATCAGAAAATAAGATGTTTACCTCATCTTTATCTTCAATTTTCGACGCAGACGATTTTGGTTTTTCAGACTCAATTTTTCTTTTAAGTCCTTCTTTATAAGGTGGCATTTTTAATAAAAGAACGTAATTACACTTAACAAGTAACCATTTGCCACTATTTTTTTTACGTAGGTTAGGAACAATATATTAAATTGTTTTAAGTTTCAAATTCAAATCAAAAACACACGTGGGACACTGTGGTACAAAATAAAGTTTTGACTGACACACCATCATGACATTCCGACACGGGCAAACCATAATGTTGCTAACATCAAAACTTAAAATTATCGTAACACAAAGAACACGATGACTATACTTCTGTGAATGACTTCTGAAGTTTTGACTGACACACTTTAGATGTCAAAAAGTAAAAGGCCATTTTCGTTTTTAGTCTACGTAGTGCAAGCAACCATATCGATAACGATTTCACAATATCAATATCAACATGAACTTTCTTTATATAATTTATTTATTTTTATTTCCTTTTTTTTTTGTTTATATATGAAAGAGAGGCGATACAAATTGAGCACGGATCCATCTCATGAGTTTTGGAATGATTATATTAAAGTAATTATAAATAATTTTTATTAGGTTCTTATCAACACAAAAAATCTGATATTGGTTTTCTAGGGTGATATATTCATTTTTAAATTCTATTTAAAAAAATCGAAGAAACGATCATGTCGATTGTCAGATGTCAGATTGTCAACCCCATTGTCATCTTAATCCTAACCTTATAATTTTTAAAATATTTTATTCTTACTAAAAACATTATTAATGTGTTTTTTATAATGTCAAAAAATTAGACTATTAAAAAAAATATCTGTACTCACTTAAACAAAACCATGTTTCGTACATTTTTCAAAACTTTAGAACCTGTAACTAATAAATTGGTAGGTCAGTTTTCTTTTGATCTATCTAAATTGTTTTCATTAGGAAGAAAGCAGAGAAAGCAAATTGATGTTATTATTATTAGAGGTTGTATTACTAGTAAAATATTTATCCTTTCTGATTAACCTCTTCGCGGACCTGTAATAGATTTCCTGCAGCAATGTTTTATAATATACTAGGAGAATTTTATTGGTTTATTTGGTAGGCACGAGCAGTGGGTGGTGCTGGTAGCAGTGGAACCAGTGCAGGGTCATCTGCATTTGAGCGAAATTGTGAGAGCAAAGAAGAACAGTTGTCAGCTGCCCTAAAGCGAACACTGCCTGGCATCACTTACATCAGTGTGGAGGACATATCTGGAGGATGTGGTGCAATGTTTGAGGTTTGTACTTACTTCAGAAGAATCAAACTGTGTTCATAAATGTTAGTTCATCAGTTAATTATATATATATTTTTTTTTTAATTATAACCTATGTCTCGTAGTGGACACAATGGAATTTGTCAATAATAAACTCTGATGCACATTTCATCAATACATTTAATTTCGCCTTTTGGTTTTTATAAAGAATAAATTTAGAATAGCAACTAGCCATGGAACAATTAGAAGCAGTAATAAAAGTACATAATAATATCGCCTAACTCTACTCAATTTAAAATATTACTAAGAGTAATCTCTACATGAACTTATTTATATATTCTGTCAAATTGAATGTTATTACAAATAATGTTGTAATAGTAACTTATAAAGTGGTGGGATACTTGGATGTGTACAAGTAACTAAGGGCAGCTAGATGTATCAGTCCATGTTGTAATGATGGTGGATATTCTGATATCAGTTGTCATAATTTAAACATTATACACTCAATTTATGTTTGTTGCAGATTAGTGTTGAAGCCAAAGAGTTTATAGGATTATCAACAGTGAAACAACATCGCTTGGTGACTGACTCGCTTAAGAGTGAAATAGCAGAAATGCACGGCATCCGTATCCACACAACCCCATCGAAGGCAACATGAAGTGTAGTTTTAATTTGTTATTAGCTTTAAATTTTGTAAATAAAAATTAGGCTGAATAATTAGTACATTTTAGAATTAAATATGAATAAATAACATTATCATATTTTTTTTAAAACTTACCCAATCCTGTGCCGTGGGTTTATCTTTTATTTTATTAAAAACATAAAATTTGTTAAATAGTAGTGGTAGTATTGTAAAGTAGTAGACTAAGTGGCTAATGCTTTTATACATTATTACGAGTAAAAGTCTAGTCAAAATCGGTCCTGCCATTTAGAACCGGAAGAAAAGATAGACAATTTTTTTATGTAAATACTGTATATACTTTAATATATATGTAGTGAAAGGATGTTAATTTAAAATTACAAACACATGTAATAACAAAAAAATATATATAATGGTAACACTTTCTTGACTTGTATCCAGAGCCTTAAAGCATAATAAATAAAATAAAAAACAAAAATCGGTCTTCCGGGCCAAAATGGCGCTTAACTTAGTTGTCAAGGTTCATCCTGTTGTTTTATTTCAAATTGTTGATGCATACGAACGGCGAAATGCAGATTCACACAGAGTCATTGGCACTTTGCTCGGTATATATTATTTTAATATACGTTTTGTAATATCAACAAATACATGATATTACGCCTACGTCATGCCACACAACTTTTTGAAACTCCTAACATCATTTGATTTAACCTGTCTTTTTTGTGTTTGAGAATAGTTTTGGATATAAAATTCCTTTAATAAGCATAATGCTTATATTTAAAGTTCTTTATTACAAAGTTCAAAAACATAACTTCGTGAATTGAAATTGTATTTATAGGTTATGTTGTTTTATTCATAGGCACGTCGGACAAGGGAGTCGTGGAAGTAACGAACTGCTTTTGCGTACCTCACAAGGAACATGCAGACCAAGTGGAAGCCGAGCTTAACTATGCCATGGATGTGTACGATCTAAATCGAAGGGTAAATGCTTCCGAAAATATTGTTGGTAAGTTTGACATTACAAACAAACATGATAAATATCCAGACTCCCGTTCACATATTATTTACATAGTATAAATATTTATTGTGAGCTTTGGTGGTCTAGCATATGCTAATGTATTTCATAGTAATATTCTATTACTGTTTAAACTTCTATATTGAACTGTTGTTATATCTTCAGCCTGCTAATTGTTCACAAATGAACGTTCATAATAATGCGTTCAATATGTTTATAGGCTGGTGGGCAACAGGTAATGAGGTGACAAACCATTCATCAGTGATCCACGAATACTACTCTCGCGAGTGCCGTGAGCCAGTGCATGTTACTCTGGATACGTCGCTGGCTGGCGGCCGCATGGGGCTGCGCGCTTATGTTTGTGTGGCGCTGGGAGTGCCTCGTGGCAAGCAGGGCTGTATGTTCACACCCATTGATGTCTCACTCACAAGCTATGAGCCTGAGGTAAGTACATTCTTAGAAGTCACTAACAAATATCAATATATTAAGGTTGTCTATGTATGACTTTATTCATTATTTACTACTGGGTAGCACTATAATTGTACTACATGTAGTAAGTCATTTCCCTTCTTTTTAATAAACTTATGTTTGCATAACTTCTACTATTTGGGTGACAAAGAGAAAAAATAATAAAATATAAAAGTAATTTAATTAAAAGTTTAAAAGATAAAAGAAATATTACTTATATTTATATACTTTTGATTCTGCACATCAGTATCTGAGTCAACATGTACTTTAGACACAAAGGCCTTCTCCAGAGTTTTCCATGTGTTCCTATTATGTGTCAATCGGAGCCACAGTGGGCTGATAATCTTTCTAAGGTTGTACAGATCACTGTACTGTTGCTCTTTTCACTTCGTTTTATAACATTTTATAAAAGTTACTTTATGGGGACATTTGCAGATTGTAGGACTACAATTATGTCAGAAAACTATGGGGCCTGGTGGACGGTCACGGCAAGTACAACCAATGATGGATCTCGCGCAGGTAGCTGAAGCTGCGTCCAGACTGTCAGTTCTACTTGATCAGGTACTTTTCACTATTCTTTGTAATAAAAAAAATTTAATTAAATTATCGAATCAACTATCACTTGGCAATTTTAACTGAGAAATAGCCAAGAAACTTCAGTTTTAAAAGAATGTCCTACATAGTTATAATTCAGCAAAATACTAATAGCATTATGTTAATAAAAATTTAATTAGTAATAAAAATTTAATTAACATAATGTAAAAAGAAAACCTGATGAAAAATTAATTTTCAATGTAATCGGTGGAAAGTTATGAAAATATATGAACAGAATCCCAATTATCTGTTTATTGAACGTCTGTTCCTTTTCTACTGTCTCTGTGGTGCTCTGAAACTAATGCTCTATCTATCAGACAGAAATCAGACTCTCCATAAGTTCTTTTGCTTGTCTGGTAAAGCTGGATAGGGCAGTTGGAATAGAAGCATTAGAATACTTATTTTTAAAATTCCGCGTTTATAGCTCATTATTAATATAGTTAAACGGGTTTTAACAGGAATAATTTTATGGTAAATAAAGGTATTTACCTCGACATTTCAACTAGGTTGCATTAGCTGTGGTCATAAACTGACTGGAGTACTAAGCAGCTTGGTCAACTACCATCATTAGATCGTCGCGATAAGATAAAATCACAGCACACAGAACTCACGGTATCCTTGTCTAGTAGTAAAAATATGCAGTGATGAGCGGAGCGTGTGATGGTGCTGCAGTACGTGGAGGACGTGCTGGCGGAGCGTGTGATGTGTGAGTGGTGTGTGTGCAGGTGCTGCAGTACGTGGAGGACGTGCTGGCGGAGCGTGTGATGTGTGAGTGGTGTGTGTGTGCAGGTGCTGCAGTACGTGGAGGACGTGCTGGCGGAGCGTGTGATGTGTGAGTGGTGTGTGTGCAGGTGCTGCAGTACGTGGAGGACGTGCTGGCGGAGCGTGTGATGTGTGAGTGGTGTGTGTGCAGGTGCTGCAGTACGTGGAGGACGTGCTGGCGGAGCGTGTGATGTGTGAGTGGTGTGTGTGCAGGTGCTGCAGTACGTGGAGGACGTGCTGGCGGAGCGTGTGATGTGTGAGTGGTGTGTGTGCAGGTGCTGCAGTACGTGGAGGACGTGCTGGCGGAGCGTGTGATGTGTGAGTGGTGTGTGTGCAGGTGCTGCAGTACGTGGAGGACGTGCTGGCGGAGCGTGTGATGTGTGAGTGGTGTGTGTGCAGGTGCTGCAGTACGTGGAGGACGTGCTGGCGGAGCGTGTGATGTGTGAGTGGTGTGTGTGCAGGTGCTGCAGTACGTGGAGGACGTGCTGGCGGAGCGTGTGATGTGTGAGTGGTGTGTGTGCAGGTGCTGCAGTACGTGGAGGACGTGCTGGCGGAGCGTGTGATGTGTGAGTGGTGTGTGTGCAGGTGCTGCAGTACGTGGAGGACGTGCTGGCGGAGCGTGTGATGTGTGAGTGGTGTGTGTGCAGGTGCTGCAGTACGTGGAGGACGTGCTGGCGGAGCGTGTGATGTGTGAGTGGTGTGTGTGCAGGTGCTGCAGTACGTGGAGGACGTGCTGGCGGAGCGTGTGATGTGTGAGTGGTGTGTGTGCAGGTGCTGCAGTACGTGGAGGACGTGCTGGCGGAGCGTGTGATGTGTGAGTGGTGTGTGTGCAGGTGCTGCAGTACGTGGAGGACGTGCTGGCGGAGCGTGTGATGTGTGAGTGGTGTGTGTGCAGGTGCTGCAGTACGTGGAGGACGTGGTGGCGGAGCGTGTGATGTGTGAGTGGTGTGTGTGCAGGTGCTGCAGTACGTGGAGGACGTGGTGGCGGAGCGTGTGATGTGTGAGTGGTGTGTGTGCAGGTGCTGCAGTACGTGGAGGACGTGCTGGCGGAGCGTGTGATGTGTGAGTGGTGTGTGTGCAGGTGCTGCAGTACGTGGAGGACGTGCTGGCGGAGCGTGTGATGTGTGAGTGGTGTGTGTGCAGGTGCTGCAGTACGTGGAGGACGTGCTGGCGGAGCGTGTGATGTGTGAGTGGTGTGTGTGCAGGTGCTGCAGTACGTGGAGGACGTGCTGGCGGAGCGTGTGATGTGTGAGTGGTGTGTGTGCAGGTGCTGCAGTACGTGGAGGACGTGCTGGCGGAGCGTGTGATGTGTGAGTGGTGTGTGTGCAGGTGCTGCAGTACGTGGAGGACGTGCTGGCGGAGCGTGTGATGTGTGAGTGGTGTGTGTGCAGGTGCTGCAGTACGTGGAGGACGTGCTGGCGGAGCGTGTGATGTGTGAGTGGTGTGTGTGCAGGTGCTGCAGTACGTGGAGGACGTGCTGGCGGAGCGTGTGATGTGTGAGTGGTGTGTGTGCAGGTGCTGCAGTACGTGGAGGACGTGCTGGCGGAGCGTGTGATGTGTGAGTGGTGTGTGTGCAGGTGCTGCAGTACGTGGAGGACGTGCTGGCGGAGCGTGTGATGTGTGAGTGGTGTGTGTGCAGGTGCTGCAGTACGTGGAGGACGTGCTGGCGGAGCGTGTGATGTGTGAGTGGTGTGTGTGCAGGTGCTGCAGTACGTGGAGGACGTGCTGGCGGAGCGTGTGATGTGTGAGTGGTGTGTGTGCAGGTGCTGCAGTACGTGGAGGACGTGCTGGCGGAGCGTGTGATGTGTGAGTGGTGTGTGTGCAGGTGCTGCAGTACGTGGAGGACGTGCTGGCGGAGCGTGTGATGTGTGAGTGGTGTGTGTGCAGGTGCTGCAGTACGTGGAGGACGTGCTGGCGGAGCGTGTGATGTGTGAGTGGTGTGTGTGCAGGTGCTGCAGTACGTGGAGGACGTGCTGGCGGAGCGTGTGATGTGTGAGTGGTGTGTGTGCAGGTGCTGCAGTACGTGGAGGACGTGCTGGCGGAGCGTGTGATGTGTGAGTGGTGTGTGTGCAGGTGCTGCAGTACGTGGAGGACGTGCTGGCGGAGCGTGTGATGTGTGAGTGGTGTGTGTGCAGGTGCTGCAGTACGTGGAGGACGTGCTGGCGGAGCGTGTGATGTGTGAGTGGTGTGTGTGCAGGTGCTGCAGTACGTGGAGGACGTGCTGGCGGAGCGTGTGATGTGTGAGTGGTGTGTGTGCAGGTGCTGCAGTACGTGGAGGACGTGCTGGCGGAGCGTGTGATGTGTGAGTGGTGTGTGTGCAGGTGCTGCAGTACGTGGAGGACGTGCTGGCGGAGCGTGTGATGTGTGAGTGGTGTGTGTGCAGGTGCTGCAGTACGTGGAGGACGTGCTGGCGGAGCGTGTGATGTGTGAGTGGTGTGTGTGCAGGTGCTGCAGTACGTGGAGGACGTGCTGGCGGAGCGTGTGATGTGTGAGTGGTGTGTGTGCAGGTGCTGCAGTACGTGGAGGACGTGCTGGCGGAGCGTGTGATGTGTGAGTGGTGTGTGTGCAGGTGCTGCAGTACGTGGAGGACGTGCTGGCGGAGCGTGTGATGTGTGAGTGGTGTGTGTGCAGGTGCTGCAGTACGTGGAGGACGTGCTGGCGGAGCGTGTGATGTGTGAGTGGTGTGTGTGCAGGTGCTGCAGTACGTGGAGGACGTGCTGGCGGAGCGCGTGGCGGCGGACAACGCGGCCGGGCGGCAGCTGCTGCAGCTGGTGCACGCCGTGCCCAACCTCGCCGCAGACACCTTCGCGGACGCCTTCGCCTCCAGCGTCAAGGACCTCCTCATGGTACGGACACTATGACACTAACAGCTGCTGCAGCTGGTGCACTGGTTTCCGCTCCACCAGACTGCTGAATGGTTTATAATAATGTTAATTTATTTTGGCCAACAACGTACTTGCAATTCCCCTGGTGTTGCGGGTGCTCATAGGCGGCGGTAATCACTTACCATCAAGAGCTCGTTTGTCCCGTGTTGTAAAAAAAAAAACTTCTGAGGGCCTCGGGAGTCTAGCGGTTTAGCATACAAATTTTCTTCCTATGGTCACTGGTTCAATTCCTCATACGGTACAAACATTTATATCAAGAGTACAATATTTTATATTGGTCTGGGTGTTTTCTATATATGTATTTACAAAATAATATCACTTGTCTAGTTTCAATAACACAAGCTCTGCTTAACTTGAATCTAGACGGCACTGTGTTGATTGGCCATGGTTATTTAGTCATCATCATTGCCTTGCCTTTATCCCATTATTTGTGGTCGGCGCAGTATGTCATTCTCTTCCACTGCTCTCTATCGGCCGTTATATCTGAGCATACTCTTGTTTTATTCATATCATCTTTCACACAATCCATCCATCTTTTTTTAGGGCGTCCTCTCCCTTTCCATCCATCTACATTCATATTATACACTTTCCACAAGACATGATCGTCGCTCCTCCGCATAATATGCTTATTTAGTCTCGATATTATTTATATTTCTAACATATAGTTAGATGCTGAGGTAACTACAACTTCATTTACGTTTCACAGGTGGTGACACTCGCGCAGTTGATCAAAACACAGTTGCAGCTGAACGAGAAGTTGACGCTGCTTACGTCACAATAAAGTCAGCAGTACAGTGCAGTGCAGTGCAGTGGTGCAGTGCTCCGTTTCCCATCAATGATAATACATCTATACCATTTGTCCAACATAAACATGTGACACAAGTGATTCAGTTGGATAATATTCCGTATTGCATATTATAAGATTATTTTGATTAAAATGGTCAGAAATCTTAATTATCTTTTATTTAGTACTAGTTATGCCCGCAACTTCGTCTGTGTGGAATAGTGACCTTCACCAAATAAAGAAAGTATACCTAGTAACCTAACCCAAAAAACAAATTTCAAAATTTTTTTAGCCTGCTTCAGAAAAGGAGATATTCCATAAAAACTTTTGTCTTCTTTTTTATTTTACCCCCAAAGTTTTTAAAAAGTTAGGCTTAAGGTAAACTCTCTAAAAATTTTGAATGTCTTATTTATGTATATTTAATCTACAGCCTAGAGAATATGTTTCAAGTTTCTAGCTTTAAAAATGACGATAGTTCTATACAACCTTTCATATCCCCTTTTTCAATCCTTTTTTGCATTATAAAATGAGGCAGGGTCTAGACTGAGTATAAAGTTTAAATTTCATTTAAATCGGTTTTTTAGTTTTAGACTGAAAGCGAGACATACAGTTACTTTCACATTTAAGCTGTTACCCACGGCTTTGTCAGCTTTTTGAAACAAAAAATTGCTAAAGTCTCGTGATACGATATATCATCACATCATACATTAAGATTTGTCGTTACACGCTATAGCGTGTTTGACTACAATTTCACTTGAGGTTAAGTGATAATGTGGTCTAAACACGCTCACATACCAGCTCAAATAGTGCCTATTCACTTTTGACTTGAAAGAACCAATGTCGTAAGAGGCAGAAAACACTAGGAGAGAGTTCCACTCCTTAGCCGTTCACATATGGAAAGATGGTGCAAATCGGTTGGTACGAGCAGCAGGGATGTGAACTGTAAATGGTAGAGCTGCTCCCTATGTCCTGTTGCACGGTGGCGGAACGATGGAGCAATTAAATTACGCTGCACACGGCCAGCAGCCGCCGCAGGAACGACTCCAGCGCAGCCGAGACATACGAGTGGAGGCAGAGTACCTTGCGGAAGAAGGGCGAGACATACGAGTGGAGGCAGAGTACCTTGCGGAAGAAGGGCGAGACATACGAGTGGAGGCAGAGTACCTTGCGGAAGAAGGGCGAGACATACGAGTGGAGGCAGAGTACCTTGCGGAAGAAGGGCGAGACATACGAGTGGAGGCAGAGTACCTTGCGGAAGAAGGGCGAGACATACGAGTGGAGGCAGAGTACCTTGCGGAAGAAGGGCGAGACATACGAGTGGAGGCAGAGTACCTTGCGGAAGAAGGGCGAGACATACGAGTGGAGGCAGAGTACCTTGCGGAAGAAGGGCGAGACATACGAGTGGAGGCAGAGTACCTTGCGGAAGAAGGGCGAGACATACGAGTGGAGGCAGAGTACCTTGCGGAAGAAGGGCGAGACATACGAGTGGAGGCAGAGTACCTTGCGGAAGAAGGGCGAGACATACGAGTGGAGGCAGAGTACCTTGCGGAAGAAGGGCGAGACATACGAGTGGAGGCAGAGTACCTTGCGGAAGAAGGGCGAGACATACGAGTGGAGGCAGAGTACCTTGCGGAAGAAGGGCGAGACATACGAGTGGAGGCAGAGTACCTTGCGGAAGAAGGTCGAGAAGGCGACGAGCGTGTCCCTGGTGAGCGGCGGTCGGCGGCCGGCCACACACGGACAGCAGCCGCCGCAGGCACCACTATACACTTACTGACAACATTCGACGAAATGCAACATATAGCACACCTGATTGAAATGACCCTTCCTTTCCTCTCGGTATCGTTTATTATTTTTATATTTTATAATTTTTGTTACAATGGTACAAAATGATGTTGCGTTTATTTGAATTGTGTCGAAGTGAAGCCGTTTGTTGCCAACATCACGCCGTTAACTTTATTTGCGCCCAGTCGTCAATAGATGGCGCGAACATACCGCCCGCCTTGGAAGCCGCTGCTTTCAATTCATTATTGAAATATATATCAATTATCAGAATTTGTCGTATAGGTTGTAGACGATGTTGTAGGAGCTGATGATTTATTTTCATCAGTAGATAGTGGCAGCGGGCAAATTTTTGTAAATGCACGCTGTATTTGGCCAGTCGCCGTGCGAATGTCAGCAACTCGTGAGATTCCGTCTTTGCCTGGATAAACTCGTATAATCCTTCCCAAACGCCATTTAAGAGGGGGTTGATTATCTTCCTTCACTAAGATAAGAGTTCCCAATTTTATATCGCCTTTATTTTCTTTCCATTTGATTCTGTTCTGTAGCTGTGTCACATACTCCGTCGACCACCTTCTCCAGAAATGTTGTCTCATCTGTTCCACCCGGTTGTATCGAATGAGTTGACTGCTCTGCGTGTTGGTGAAGTCGTGGCAAGCAGGAGCGGTCAGAGGTCGGCCGATGAGGAAATGAGCAGGAGTTAAAGGTGAATAATCGGCGGGATCTGTGGACATAGCTGAGAGGGGACGGGAGTTCAGGACGGCCTCTATTTGTGTCAATACCGTGCTGAACTCCTCATAATTTAAATTAGCATTGCCTACTATTCGTCTAAGATGATTCTTACACAATTTGACGCAAATTTCCCAACAACCCCCGAAATGAGGTGCATATGGAGGGATGAAGGTGAACTTTATACTATCATTAGCCAAGAAATCATTTATCGTATTTAATCCGTTTTGTAAGATTGAAGAAAATTCTCTCTCAGCACCCACAAAATTTTTCCCGTTATCGGAAAATATTTCCGCTGGCTTTCCACGTCGGGAAATAAAACGTTTTAATGCTAAAATATAATCGCTTGTAGATAAACCAGTTACTAATTCCAAATGAATGCATCGCGTAGCAAGACATGTAAATAAACAAATATAACCTTTAATTAATTTAGCACCCCTACCTTTACGATTTAATATGAAAACTGGTCCAGCATAATCTACTCCCGTGCGCATGAAAGGAAAACTAGCCTCCAGACGCTCTGCGGGTAAATTCCCCATTATCGGCTTCCAAGTTTTACCTCTCATACGAACACAAGTCACGCATTGATGTACTGTTCTCCTAGCGAGATTTCTACCAGCCAGCGGCCACCAACTCTCTCGTATAGTGCACAGCAGGAGCTGAGGTCCAGCGTGAAGTAAATTCTTATGTTCCTGTTCGAATAATAAAATTGTATATCTACTTTTACTACACAACAAAATCGGATGAATTTTATTATAGGTAAAATTAGAATTATTAAGTCTCCCGCCAACCCTAATTAATTTATTATTATCTAAAAATACGTTTAAACCTAAAACCTTATTCATTTCTTTACACCTTTTTATAGGAATCGCATTAACTAAACTATTATATAAGGACGGGAATGAATGCATTTGTGCAATCCTCGATAACACCTGTACGGATGACGTTAGTTCATCAGCTGTGAGAGAACCGGTTTTACGTTGTTGTTTACTCCGAATATTGTGAATGAACCTAAGCACATACGCTCCCGTTCGCTTTAATTTGTTAAATGTCGAAAACCTAGTAAAATCTATGATTATTTCCGAATTTATGCAAACTGTATTTATCGTTTTATTTTTCAATTCAGGTAAATCATTTGAAATACTTACATTTTGTTTGTTTAACCATTCATTACAGTGTAAAAATGACGGCCCGTCCCACCACAGACGATTGTCCTTAAGCGCATCTATATAAAGACCCCTCGACACTAGGTCCGCTGGATTATTATTACCGTCTATATGTAACCATAACAAATCACCTGTTAATTCGTTTATCTCTATTACTCGGTTCTGTACAAAAGGTTTTAATAAATGCGGAGACATACGTAACCAACCCATCACGATTGTCGAGTCAGTCCAGAAGTAACTGCAATTAATTTGTAATCTAAGTGAATTAATTATTTTTTTATATAATCGTGCACCTATTAAAGCGGCGCAGAGTTCTAATTTTGGAATAGTAATTATTTTTAAAGGAGCAACTTTACTTTTGGCGCATAATAATTTAACTGAAACTACTGAATCCCTATTTATTGTCCGTATGTATGCACAAGCCCCGTATGCATCTTGTGACGCATCACAAAAAATATGTAACTCTGTACGGCAAGCGTGAGTACATCTTACAAATCGCGGGATTTTTATCTTATGTAAGTGTTGTTGTATAGAATTTATAAATTTAAAAAATAGTTTTGTGACGTCACTAGAAACAGGATCGTCCCAATCGATTTTACATAGCCACAACTTTTGTAAAATAATTTTAGCCACTATTATTGCGGGAGCTAGGAGACCCAGAGGATCGTATATTTGAGATATAACCGACAATATCTTTCGTTTACTTAACGGTTCAGCAGATGTATTCCTCATCTCCAGTTTGGTCGTGAAATGTAGTTCATCGCTTTTATTATACCACCCTAAACCGAGTGTTTTACTTTGCGCATGTTCACCTATTGCCAGCTCCTTTGAAGAAAACGTAGCCGTGACGTCATAGTTAAACGTCCATTTACGCAAAGGGTAACAATAACTTTCAAGTATACGCGACGTCTTTGCACAAATATTTAATAACGTTTCAGGGTTGTCATGACCTGTAATTAGGTCATCCACGTAAAAATCGTCATTAATAACGAGCGCGACATTTTCATCATTACATTCTTTAGCAACTTGTTTTAAACAGCGTATACTGAGATATGGCGCTGACGCGGTGCCATATGTCACTGTGTTTAACTGATAAATACCTACAGGATCTGATGGATTTTCTCGCCAGAGTATAAGTTGTAAATGACGCTGATCCGAATGAATTAATGTTTGTCGAAACATTTTTTCAATATCAGCGCACGCTACGAACTGATACTGCCTAAAACGTAATAGGATTGACAATATATCGTTTTGAAGACTGGCTCCTGTATATTGAATGTCGTTTAATGACTTATTTGTTGTCGTAACGCAACTAGCATCAAACACAACTCGTAATTTAGTTGTGGTACTATCCTCACGGAATACCCCGTGATGTGGAAGAAAATAATGTGGCCAACTGTACTTTTTAATTAGGGACATATGACCAAGTTCGCGATATTCCCGCATAAAATCACTGTACATTACTTTATAACGTGGCATACGCTCTAATCTGCGTTCTAAAGAAATAAATCGTTTATAAGCTGTCGTGTATGAGTCACCTAATAAATCAGCTGATTCCTTTAACGGTATACGAACAGAAAATCTACCATCACATTCGCGTTTTGTTGTGTTGGCAAATATTTCTTCACACTTACGGTCGTCAAAAGTTAGAATATTCCCTACATGAGGAATCTCCTCTATTTCCCAAAATTTCCTTAGTTCCAAATCGTTTAAATTCTGTGTAAAATTACACAAAACATTGTTATTATAATGCGGATTATTACAATTAATAGGACCGGATATCAACCATCCCAATTGCGAATTTTGTAAATAAGGACCGCATTTTAATTTAATTTTATTATCGATTAATAATTCCCAAAATATCTCCGCGCCTATTAATAAATCGATTTCGGAGGGTGTATAATAAGTCGGATCGGCCAGTTGAATATTATTCGGAATCGATATGCAACCAACGTCGATACTCACAGACGGTAAGTTTGAAGTGATGCAAGGTAAAACATAACATTTAATATTCGTATAATAATCGTTTAATATAGATCGTATAGTTAAATCGCATAATTTATTAGAGTGTGAGACCGATTGTCCTACACCTAATATTTGAATAGTGGACTGTATAAAATTCGTATAATTTAATCGTTTACATAACGCTTCGGACATAAAACAATGTTGACTGCCGTTGTCTAAGAGAGCGCGAACCGTGTGTAGTCTGTTATTACTATCGAGTACTTCGACTTGTGCAGTAGATAGCAAAACCGGTCGCGCGGTCAGGTGAGCCCGTGACGTACTTGTGAAGTTGTTATCGCTGCTATGTATATCTATAGGTAGCGATGAATGCAACACAGTAGATGTTGTATGGTGCGTATTATTTACTGCGGAGAGCTCATTATTACTCGGCAACGATTCGCCGTTAGAGTGCACATCGGTGTGCAACAAACTATTATGTTTGCGTTTACATTGCTGGCAAGGGCCAAAGAAACAATCACTGACCGAGTGTCCAGCACGCAAGCAATTACAACAAAGATTGTTATCGTTTACTAATTTAATGCGATCTTTGACAGGTAGATTTAAAAACATACTACATAAGTACAATGCATGATTTGAATTGCACAAAATACAAGATCGTATACGTTTAATAGGCTTACTTTTATTAGCTAAATAACTATGTGTGTGTGTTTGTAACCTTTGAATTTTACTGTCGTGAACATATTTATTATTTAATTTAGTGACATTAGTATTTTTATTCGAATTATTTGCGTTTATCATTTCTAATAGATCTGCACGGTTTTTAAGAAAAGTTAACAAATCATCCAGTTTTAATTTACGTTTATTGCAGTCATCATTACGTATATTAGAAATAAGAGAACCTTTGTAATTCTCCCACTCGCGTTCGGTACAAGGATCGAGTTTTGATACTATTAAGTACATTATAAGTGTATCCCATGATTCGGTCGGCTCATCTAACGTCTTTAAAGCGCGTAAATTACGTAATATGCAATCTATTAATTTTCTGATTTGCGAAGGCGACTCTTTATTAATAGATGGCATAGAAAATAAAGACTTAACATGGTTGTGTACTAAAAGTCGATCATTTTGAAATCGATTAAGAAGCAATTCCCACGCATGTGTGTAATTTTCAGCTGTGAATTCTAATGCACTGATCACCTGCAATGCACTACCGCTGAGTGACGACCGCAGGTAATGGAATTTTTGTATAGGATCCAAATCAGTACGTTTATGAATCATAGTACAGTAGGAATTTTTGAATTCTAGCCACTGATCATAAAATCCTTCAAAGGATACTAATTTTAGGTCGGGTAATTTTATTTGGGAGCCTTCTCGGTTACGATGTAAATGAGAATCACAACTATGACTATCATCAACAACTAAAGACTTAGCTACCGCAATGCATCCATAATACTGTTCATCAAAATTCTCACGATATGTTATTTGATTAGAAAGATCATCATCATCTGTTAATTGTTCGATTTTACTTTGAATGTCATCAAAATCTTTATATACCGATTCTAATGTGGATATCCTTAAGTTTAATTCTATTTTAAGAGTTTTATCTAAAGGAATATTATCGAATTTGGATATATATTTTTCAAATGATGTTAATCTAGCCTTTAAAATACCTCTTTGTTTGTTAAGGTTCGAAATACTAGCAGTTTTAAATTCAAAATTACCGTTACTTTTTTTGGATGGCGATCTACTACCACCCTGAATTTCAGACGAAACACGCATTTTTAAAGTGTCACCTTTATCTTTATCACTCATTTCGGAAAGTAAATGGAAAATAAAGCGTACTTACAATCGTTTAAGATCACCCCGACCTTTGAACCCTGACTCGGTAATAGCACTGTGACCGCTTTTGCAACTGGAATTTCACACAAATAACACAGTATTAACACAAATAGAATAGTCCTGTAGGAGAGGAATGGAACGAATAGGCCTGACCGTATAATCTGAGCTGATTCTTCTTCTCGATATCGTCTTCTTGATACACACCGGCGATCGACTTCCGTGGTATCTTGAAGAATTATTGTAGTCGATTTTATTATTTCTTGATATCTTGAAGTATTATTCCGGCGAAGAAGGTCCAAATGATTGAAATGACCCTTCCTTTCCTCTCGGTATCGTTTATTATTTTTATATTTTATAATTTTTGTTACAATGGTACAAAATGATGTTGCGTTTATTTGAATTGTGTCGAAGTGAAGCCGTTTGTTGCCAACATCACGCCGTTAACTTTATTTGCGCCCAGTCGTCAATAGATGGCGCGAACAACACCGATAGAAACAAAATTAACATTACTACGCACCCAACGGCAACTACGGCCGGTGGCGGACACCGGCATCGATACTTACCGCTTCACTAATAATCATCCCCCATTCTAAGTTTAATGTGCATCTGTCTGTATTTCATAATAGTTTTTATATTATATCTATTAAACACAGTCCACTAGTTTCTTTGGCTATCCAGGACTATACAAACACCTTCGAATGTATAATATTAGCATGGATGTAGTAGGCTTTTACTTTAACATCAAAAATTGTATAAATGTTGTAAATCAAGTGATAATAGGGTTGTAACATTAATAATGCGATTGTCATAAGAAAAAATAAAGAGATTTTAGAGTCGCCAAAATGCACGTGACACGTCTGGTGTTTTAGTCGTTTATAATCACAAGGGCCGTACGTCTGTTTGCCAATCGGTCGGTATAATTGTAAAGATGATCGGTAGAAATAGGGTTTATTTTTGTTCAATAACACCACACATTATAGAACGTAAAAAATAATATATTTTGTACTTTATCATTTGACAAATTGTTGAAACTGGTTCCTTTGTAGTGGACCTCCTCCGCCACTACCCGAGTAGTGTTTGCGCGTGGTGGCAGCGCCACACCCAGTCGGCCCGGACCCGTCGCCCCCCGCCCCCCTCCAGCGCCCCACCCCCGCCCCCCTGCACCCCCCCGCCCCCCGCACCGCCGCACACCACGTAGTCCACGTCGCTCTCCGATTCCATGTGCGACATCTGCAGACACGTACCACAATGTTAACACTAGTATGGACAAAAAGTAGATACATTCGTAATTATGATGATGGCATAGTATCATTTTACCATTTAAGAATACTTATTTGTTTAATAAAAACATAATTTCATATCAATCATAATCTTAACTAGTTTGTTACTTTTTCACGCAAAAACTACTAAACGGATTTTGATGAAATTTTACAGTAATATAATTTATGCATCAGAATGACACAGGCTATATTTTTTATTGAAATTTAATGCGACTACATAGAAATACTGGTGCACTGAAATTAACACAGATGCTATTAGGATGGGTGGATTAGTCTTCGTTTCCAAGATAGCCTATGCTGTGAGTCGGGGACTTGGAGAGGCCGTTTAAACATCTTTTAAATTTCACAGTATACTATACCACTGAACAGCTAATTGTAAACACAGGATCCTTACCTCCACAATGACTCCGCCGTACGCTTGTATGTATCTGCTCAGTAGAGTTTTGTCGAACTCCTTCGCTTCCACGTCGTCCGCGAACGCGAACGTGAACCCGTCGAAGAAGTTGGGCAGCGCGCCGCGCGGGGCCGCCCCCGCCCCCGCCTCCCCCGCCTCCCCCGCCGCGGGGGGCGAGCCGGGCCACGTGCCGTCACTGTCCGCCCCCTGCTCCTCCTCCGTCTCCCCGCCCTCCTCAGAAGTGGCCGTAGGGGAGGTGCGGGGGCTATTGGATTTACTTTTCTGAGCTTTCTTCTGTTGCAGCACCCTCTCAATTTCGTCGTCAGTGTCATCGTCATCTACAACCGAATCAATACTGATTTACTTTCTAATATTCTGGTGAGAGAGAGATCGAATTCACGTCTTTTTGGGAAAGAAGGGGGAAGTAGTGTATTTTGATTTACGAGGGAACTTGCAGAGATGGTCCCCATGGGGTCTACTGCTAAAATGGGTTGCAGTGCACTCGTATCGATCTCGCGACTCCGGTATATAGTATTGGATGGAGGACATCTTGGAATTTTTGCCGAGTGGAAGTCTCAAAGTATTCGCTTATTTTTTTCGTCGTGGAGGGGGGTTTACGACTTTATCTTTTTTCTTCGAGTGAATGTGAATGAAAGTGGGGAGCGGGTCTATGAGGATTTCGTCCGTGTAAAAAAAAAGTGTGTCAGGTGAATGCGTGCGGCTGCGACCTGGTGTGGCGGCGGGCGGCGCTGCCGGCAGCCAGGCGGCGTCCCCGGGCGGCGGCGGCGCGCGGCGCCTGTGCGGCTCCGACGCGAACCAGCGCCACGGCAGCGCGCGGCCCGCGCGGGACATCGCCTCCAACCACTCGCCCGTCGCCGCCGGGGCGCGCGCCCCCCGCGCCCCCTGCGCCCGCACCTCGCGCAGCTTGGGCGTGTCCGGGAACGCGCACCTGCGACGTACGCCCGACGCTGTACACGAGCCGTAACCGAAGTCGTTATAGTTTCGTTCGCCACCCCAGAAAGGGGAGAGTGCGACAAAGGTCAAGAGTATAGCGACACGGTTTCTACACGTGCCACTGTCCACTTCCTAGAATCTTTATCACAGGGCACGTGTAACATTAGAAACGCAGCTGCGCGACCTTCGAACCGCTGCACCACAACAGCGCAGTTGCGGCTGTGCTGCAACTGCGCTGTATTAAAAAAAAAATGTATCGCCCATTGTTTTTGAATAAAAGGCCAGTGATGTCCAAACGTTTATAACCTACTTTGTTGAGAACCTAGGAGTTTGCAATGATACAGTCGAGAGACAGAATATAAGTGTTTTTCTTGTAAAAATATTCGAGCCTTATATACCATTTTATACGTGTCGCTCTTAAGCGCAGCTGCAGGTAACGACGACTCGAAGGTCGCACAGCTGCGCTTCTAATGTTACACGTGCCCTCACCGTGCGATAAGAATTCTAGGAAGTGGACAGTGGCACATGTAGAAGCTGTTACTACAAGAAAATGCGTGCTCTTCAGCGCGCATTCCTTTTAGATTCGATCAGTGTAACCGAGACGTTAGAATGGCCGTCGGCTGGTGACGATGGCACGTACACGAGGTGGGTGGCGGCGGGCCCCGGGCCGGCCGCGCTGGCTGTACGTACACGAGGTGGGTGGCGGCGGGCCCCGGGCCGGCCGCGCTGGCTGTACGTACACGAGGTGGGTGGCGGCGGGCCCCGGGCCGGCCGCGCTGGCTGTACGTACACGAGGTGGGTGGCGGCGGGCCCCGGGCCGGCCGCGCTGGCTGTACGTACACGAGGTGGGTGGCGGCGGGCCCCGGGCCGGCCGCGCTGGCTGTACGTACACGAGGTGGGTGGCGGCGGGCCCCGGGCCGGCCGCGCTGGCTGTACGTACACGAGGTGGGTGGCGGCGGGCCCCGGGCCGGCCGCGCTGGCTGTACGTACACGAGGTGGGTGGCGGCGGGCCCCGGGCCGGCCGCGCTGGCTGTACGTACACGAGGTGGGTGGCGGCGGGCCCCGGGCCGGCCGCGCTGGCTGTACGTACACGAGGTGGGTGGCGGCGGGCCCCGGGCCGGCCGCGCTGGCTGTACGTACACGAGGTGGGTGGCGGCGGGCCCCGGGCCGGCCGCGCTGGCTGTACGTACACGAGGTGGGTGGCGGCGGGCCCCGGGCCGGCCGCGCTGGCTGTACGTACACGAGGTGGGTGGCGGCGGGCCCCGGGCCGGCCGCGCTGGCTGTACGTACACGAGGTGGGTGGCGGCGGGCCCCGGGCCGGCCGCGCTGGCTGTACGTACACGAGGTGGGTGGCGGCGGGCCCCGGGCCGGCCGCGCTGGCTGTACGTACACGAGGTGGGTGGCGGCGGGCCCCGGGCCGGCCGCGCTGGCTGTACGTACACGAGGTGGGTGGCGGCGGGCCCCGGGCCGGCCGCGCTGGCTGTACGTACACGAGGTGGGTGGCGGCGGGCCCCGGGCCGGCCGCGCTGGCTGTACGTACACGAGGTGGGTGGCGGCGGGCCCCGGGCCGGCCGCGCTGGCTGTACGTACACGAGGTGGGTGGCGGCGGGCCCCGGGCCGGCCGCGCTGGCTGTACGTACACGAGGTGGGTGGCGGCGGGCCCCGGGCCGGCCGCGCTGGCTGTACGTACACGAGGTGGGTGGCGGCGGGCCCCCAGGCGGGCAGCACCCGGGCCCCGAGGGCGGCGGCGGCTCGCTGCAGTAGTCCGCGCCGCGGATGCACGTATCCGCTGAACACCACGCCCGCCCCCGCCAGCGGCGCGCCCGCTACACCACAATAAATATATTATGTTCTAATGATTACTTAAGACACCCCGATAACTCTGTTACTAGACCGTCAGTCCTACGACAAGAAATTAATTTAAGTAAAAAAAAATGTTCTGTAATATAAACTATTCACAAACTTCAAGAGCGAAATATGAAGTCAATATTAATACATGTATATGTTGAATATTTAACGATATTTTAGTGGAATGTTTCAATTCTTGTCGGAATACTTTTTTATAGCACAGGGGACAAACAAGCTTGTGGCTCACTTGAGCAACTCAAGAGGAATTGCAAGTGCGTTATCAGCGTTTTAAAAAGGAATAAGCTTTTTTCTAGACGGTTTCAATATCGTATCGATACAGAAATACCACTGCGGGTGATTCCACAATATTTGTATAGTAATCGTTCGTTGTGTATTATTTTTCATAAATGACAGATATGATATACGATAATGATATAGGATAATCCGGCTCGAAGGACCAGTTTGTACTTTTTTGACTCGTAAATAAAATGAGTAGTGGACTGTAAATTATTATATTTAATACGAGGAGTTATAATATTACAAGGAACATTATCTAATTAATAAGGTACGCGTGCGGTGACGTCGTAGGCGCAAGGCAAAGTGAAAGGTGTCCCGGCCTAGCGGCTGTCAATAGCTCATGTTCGATAGCGCTCGAACAGATGTAGCGAAAATTCAATAGAAAAAGCTCGTAAAAGTTGGTCACTACACACTTTCGAATTTAGCATATAATGAGAGGCCTAGTGGTTTATACCTCTACAAGTCAAAGAAGCTGATTTTGTGAGAATTTCATTCCAATTCTGCATAAATATTTACATACCATTATTTGAAAATTTAATATTTACACTTATCAATTTAATCTCCAAGATTAAAAAATAGTCTTAATTTATCTTAATAATATTATAAACGGGAAAGTTTGTGAGTATGGGTATTTGATACTCTTTCACGCAAAACTACTGAACGGATTTTGATGAAACTACCATATACCATTCAAATTAACAGTTGTCTGTTGCATGTCAGAAATTACTAAACGTGCGGAAGTAAATTTAAGATTTAAAAATACCACAACGAATGTACTACATTTTATGCAATAAAATTTCATTTATGCATCTGAATAACACATAGGCTATTTTTTATTGAAATTTGACGCAGGTGAAACCGCGGGCACAGCTACCTACCTAGCCCAAGTATATGATAAAATAACATTGGCCAATACCCAGTATAAATTAATAAAAAATATGAATACTTACCATTGTTATCTTTAGTCGACGGTCTGTGTTTATCAGAGGCATCTGTTTCTCTTCTCTTAGCAGATGAATTATCTCTACCTGTCTTATGATGTGTCGTTGTATTAGATTCATCATCGTCATGTTTTCTTTTCTTCGTCTCACGTTTACTGTGACTAGACTCTTTCTCTTTACTGCGATGCGCATCCTGTATATTTCTTTTACTATTTTCATTTGCATCACTATCATTCTTATTATGTTTCTTGTCACCATCTCTCAAATTAGTTTTGGTTGAACTTTCTCCACTATCTCTAACATTAGGTTTACTTGCATCTTTTTCTTTCTTTTCATGTCGGTGTCGTTCTACAACTTGGTCTATTTTAGTGTGCGGTTTGTCTTCATCGGTGTACATGAGAATGTCTCTGTCTCGACTGGCGCCAGGTGAGTCATTGGCGGCATTTTGTTTTTTAGAACTATTCTTAATTATAGGTGACTTCACTATCTTTGAGGAATCTGATATATTTTTTAATATTTGTGAGGTAGCTTTTCTTATTTGTGCACCTGGAAATAAACAATATTATACTAATCGTTTCGTCTCGCTTCCAACGGTCGCAGGTTTGATCCCTCGCAAGACATAAACATTTGTATTTAGTACATACGATACACATACTTCATTACACGATGCGACAGTGCCTCAGCTATTTGCTACTTAGTCTGACTCATTGTCTTGATTAAAAGAATTGACATATTAATACAGTCGAAATATTGTTGATAAATCAAGAAAATCACTTATATTTAATTTCTAGGGATAACATTTCCTTTTATATATTTATATAAAAGACAATTTTTGTATATCAGTGTCTCGTTTTTACTCTATATTAGTTATATATCAAAGCAAATATTTATTTATATGCATTTGAGTAAAATGACAATGGTAGCGACCTGTGTCGGTGTTGGGCTGCGAGGAGGCCGCGAACAGCTGCCCGGGGCGGTACTCGTCTTCAGAGGAGGAGGAGGGGCTCGCGGGGGCGGCGGGGGCGGAGGGGGCGGCGGGGGAGGGGGCGGCGGGGGCACCCTCCGGCTCGTACACGTGCACGAACGTCAGCCCGTACTGTGCACGTTAACGTGTCGATTAATGACTAATTAATTTGACTGAATCGTCATCCTATCATTGTTCACTGCTCTGACAGAATGTACCGTTTTTTAGAACTACATAATCTATTGATGTATGGCGCGACCTTTACAGTTTCACCAAAGAGGAGAAGGGGGTTGTTAGTAATGTGGATAAACAAACCCATAGCTAGCAATGTACCATGTCAGGTTGTCCAATGCGATGCGATTCCCCTGACAACTATCACGATTAATTCGTGATGTATTTGCTACGATAGGGCTAACTGACCTGACCTCATAGTCATCTTATAATCCACCGTTGGTGTCCGGCAAAGAATATCGTTAGCGCAGGCAATAGTGTCATTATCATCCATTATAAAATAAATAAAAAGCTTCACCAAAGGAAATATCTCCTTTGGAAAGTTTACACTCTTTCCCGAGAGGATAATATCGCTCCTAAGAATATCCTTCAATTCTTGTCCCTGACGGGTCTAGGTAGCGAACTTTGAAAAAGGGCGAGCACAATAGATCTATGTAGGTCGCAGTGCTACAGGTGCTACAAACATCTGACAATAGCCCAAACAACCCAATAAAAAAAAACTCCAAAGGACTGGTGACACTTCTAACTGGACGTAGGACTTATGGAGAGACTAAAAACTAACTGACTGACAGTCTGCATCTCGACGCGGGCCGACGTAAGTTAGATCCCTATATGGAACTAGACAAGGGATCGATCGAAGGATCAGAGTATACTGTTAGTGCGTTTACTGTTCACCGTCTTGTGAAAGGAATGTGCATTTTCTTTTAGTATTTTCTTACTCAGGAAAGTGCGAGTTCAACCTTTTCGTGCTAACCAGTCGGGCCTGAGCGATCGGAAGGTGAAGAGACAGCGTGGAATACCTTGCAGTGCTTGTTGTAGGGCTGCGAGCAGACGACCCGCACGCGGTCCCAGCGCTGGGCGGCGGCGGCCGCGAGGTGGTCGGCTGTGAAGCTCCGCACGCGGCCGGCGCCGGGATCCCGCCGGGACTCAGCGGGCGATAGGAACACGCAGCTCGGCACCAACACCTAACCACATTATGACCATCACTCCTAACAATATTATGGGACACAGTTACCTAAATACATCAAAATAATAATTGCATTTAATAATGTCTAGTAAGACAAATCCAATATTGTGTACTAAGCACTGCCGTGTCTAAACTGTGTCACCCCACCTTACATTTTCCTATTGTCATTTAGTATATAAGATCAATATTTTTATGTACATATTGGCAGTCTATTATCATGTATAATATACATCGTCTCAACCAACAACATCGTATTATTATCCCACAACAAATATCCTTCAATTGTTGTCCTTACGAGCCTTGATAGCGCACTCTAAAATAAAGGGTGAGCACAATACAGCTATGCAGGTTGTGTTTCGCTTCAGAGCTAATTGGCCCAAATCCTTTAATTAAAACAAATGATACTATTATAAAATATACATGGCAGAAAGTCTCATTGCCTATTTGTTTATTACGCGACTTAGACCTAAAAGCCGGTGGTCTAGTAATTTAGCATACCAGCATACTTCAGATAGAGGGGTTCAATTCCATGTATGGAATACAAATGTTTGTATTCATGAATTTGATTACAGGTATTGCTCTGGGTGTTTTCTATATATATTCTGTTATGTTTTCTATGTATTTACTAAAAAATATATTTAACTTTTTCTATTATTTGCCCAGCACCCATTAGACAAGCTCTGCTTAACTTGCTCGACTAGAGGGCATTGTATGCATTGTTCAGGATTAATATCATTATTTTGATACTGGTTGACTCGAAAAACTTTGTATGAGTTGTCTACTTGGAACAGAATCAGTGAATGATTTTTGTTATGGATGTTAATGGAATGATGCATCCATCTGCACTAATGGGTTATGAGGTCAGGTCAGTTAGCATATTGGGACAATTTCACCAGGAATTTATCATGATGGTTTCCAGGGGAACCGAGTGAAGGTCAACGTGACATGGTTCATTGCTAGTAATGGGCTCATGAGTCCACATTACTAACAATCGCCTTTCCCCCCCAGTGAATGATTTATCTGCTCCGAGTAGGCACTAATATGTTTCTAATAAATATTACACAATCTATATATCATAATAATATTAGTGTTACCAGGACAAAGAATATTTTTGTGATATACAGGGATTGTCCCCATAGAATATACTTTCTTGTTTCTTGTGTTAAATTAGAAAAAAAATAAGACTCACTTGGAATGGTTCGTTGGGCGTCTCAGATCTACCGACCAAGACTTCCACTAATGCTGCATGATGTGCCCCTATGTGTATTGCTGATATCTATGTGACAATATTAAACAATACAATCTTAGAAGTCATGAACAATCCAAAAAGTAAATATTTATATAATTTTATAAAAAAATAATTAAAAAAGATAATTTTAAAAAGTAAGTTTATTTTATTTTTTTATTTTTTTTAAATCTACTTTGGGTTCTAACATTAAGCATTAGAATACAGATTCCATTTTCTATAATTATTTATAACTATTTGTGCCCGCGACATCGTTCGCGTGGATTTTAAGATTATTTTTCTAAAATAAAAGTAGCCTAAGTTACTTTTTAGTACATCAGCTACCTGCCAACAAAAGTCCCGTCAAAATCAGTCCAGCCATTTCAGAAATTAGCTGGAATAAACAGACAGACAGACAAAAATTGTAAAAAATATTATTTACATATATTCATATGCATGTAGTAAAAAACGGTTATTTCAATATTACTGTTGGCGACCGACCGCCAAACTCTTTTGATATTTTTATTATTTTTAAATTTATATTTTTGAAGAGTTTTTTTTTATATGTCATGTTATTTGATATACTTCAATTTATTTTATTATTCTATCATTGTCTTTCATATAGTTCACAATTGTACATATTAATATATTATTATTCCAAACTACGTGTTTTCATCATTCATATATTTTGGTCCTTTCGTCGCCGTAATACTGAAATTTCATACTTTTGGTTGTTTTCGCTACCGTAAGTTGAAATTTATCGACCTAAATTATTTTCCAAATTTTCATTTTCATATTGCATTACATTCTATCTTCTATCATTTCTATTTTCCGTCATAATTTTTCATTGTTTAACATGGTGGAAACACGTAGCAAAACCAATTCAGTTGCGAACCTAATGGCTGTAGAAGTCGGACGGCCGTATTACGATCACTCCGAACAATCGCGCCGCGTATGGCCGGCTTCTACAACCACAGTTGAGGATGTTTCGGCATCATTGGCTAGAACAGTTGCACATACGGCGGACGCCTCCATTTCGGTACAAGCATCTTCTTGCTGTACCAAGCGTTCTAGCGACACCACTAGCTCATGTCGAGTCGATGCCGATATACCTCTCTCTCATAAGACAAAAAGCTGTTACAGAAACGAGCGATCGCGATCTTCGCGGTCGTCTGCGACTCTCCGCGCTCAGAAGCTCGCCGTCGAAGCAGAACTCCTGCGATGCAGAGTGGCACGGCAACGTGAACTCGTACGTCTACAGGCAGAACGCGAGCAGAAAATAGCTCGTTTGGAGTTCGAGGCTGAGCAGAGAGAGTTGGAAGCGAAGCTCGCCGCACTGGATGCCAAAGATAAGTCTGCACATCGTAGTTCTCGTCCTTCTATTCGCGATACTAAAAAACGTACTGCGACATGGGTTTCGGAACACAATGCAACCATGACCATGGTAACGCATGTGAACATACCTGGTAAGGAACCGACTGTCACCTTGGATGATTTCCAAGGCACCCCATTACAGCCGGCCATCCTTTCCAACACGGTCCCGTCACATGTACCACATGTCAACCATGCAAACGAACTGAAACCTACACGTATCATTGAAGATGATAACTGCGCAACCTTAGTGCGACTTCCGGCAGTTGAGCTTCCACTAGCGAACCCGGCACCACAGCTTACTCCCAAAATCAGTAGTAGTTCTAACTACTCAAAAAAGCCCAACCAGAATAGTTACGAGACAATTAAACGTAATTATTCCACAGCCGAAAACTTAACACGTTTATACAACGCTTTTCGGGGACCGGCGTACGAGATCGTGGCGTCACTCCTGCGGACCTCCCGAGAGCCTTGGGTCGTCATGAGCGCACTGGAGCAGGCATACGTCCGATCACAATATATCACCACCCACGTGATCGGGAAGTTACGCAAAACCCCTGAGTTAAGTTCTCCTGAATCACGTAATTTTCAATCTGTGACAAAAATAAAGTTGCTATCTCAACTTTCATTACTAAATGAAAACAAGCAACTACTTTATAATGTTGTACAAGATTACCTTATTAAGTCTCACAGTACTATCAGACCAACCCATGAGCTTTGCCACAAAGATAGCATGCATTGGACAAAATACTTATATTTCAATGCCTTAAAACTATATGACCCATATGGCTTATTAAAGCTAATTGTCATTTCGAGTTGTATTGTATTGCAGAAAATGTGTGAAATAAGTATTTACAGGGACTCTTCTAAGATATCTCATAATTATAATTTTGAGAACAAAGAGAACTGGTTCACTCGATCACAGAGTGCCACCAACATTCCGCGTGCCAGTATAATTCCGCGTTGGTTACAAATTATACAAGCATTGGTTACAAATTACAAACCTGCGTTGCTTATGACTTATGACTATGGTTTTGACTGTACCTCCCTTGTAAGTACTGAGGTACGCATCGCACTACAACAACCACATTTTATACCTCAATTGAGATGGTTGGCTGGCGCACTATTCCTTTTAGTACCATCACTTTTTGGGTTGACTGAAAACGCCAGCAACACAGAGGAGACCGCGCTAGGATTAAAACCGGAACTAGTGGGGTTGTTCTCCTGCGTCCCCTTACCCGATCCTCCATGGCTCCGCGTTCTCCAAGGTGTAGGTCTATTTCGGCTTAAATTGTCTCGGCCAATAGCCCTAAATTCTAAATTGTTTTTAGATGGCACCACATTTCCCTCACGACTTTGTGCAAGAGACGTCACAGAAGCCGAGAAGATGCTGCTTCAACGAGCTGGAATAGACACCTATCCTGAAGAGCTGAAAGCCGTAGCCCGTGCCCAGCAACAGTTAAATTACAACACGCACCAGTACTGGAGGAAAGCGGGCTATCACAAGTAAATTATTACAAATACACCATTACTCACACTGCACTGCCCTTAGTCTACGCAGTAACCAGTGTCAACGTGTGACACAATTATACAGCGCCGACGATGGAAAGGCGGGTTTATCAAGCCAAAGACCAGCGACCTAGCCCTACAGCTTGATCACAGCAAAAGGCAACACACGTATAACTCAGTTACGTTGATGCTATTGCTATCACCGTACATCAACATTACCTCAGTACGAGACCAGAGGAGGTTGTTGCGACTGGCTGGTACACGACCAAACAAGGGTGTTGCGCCCGGCTGGCTGACTTAGCTGACTTCTGGGCACGGTAGCCGCACAAATACTTGCCGATATCTCGCCCAAGAGGACTACACAAAGTGACGTCGTCGACTGCAATAGAGGGCGATGTGGTGCTTATAGCTAGGTTAATTTTAATTACAATAGAAGCGCGGCCGGTCACCACCGGTAGTTAGTGTTCCACTGGGGGCCCGGTTTGTTGGCGACCGACCGCCGAACTCTTTTGATATTTTTATTATTTTTAAATTTATATTTTTGAAGAGTTCTTTTTTATATGTCATGTTATTTGATATACTTCAATTTATTTTATTATTCTATCATTGTCTTTCATATAGTTCACAATTGTACATATTAATATATTATTATTCCAAACTACGTGTTTTCATCATTTAGACACCCATACAGTCCACCGATCCGTTATAATTACAAACACTCTAATTTTATTTATATGTATAGATGATAACATTTATTAAAATAAAAACTAAAAGATTTGGTGGCATTAATTTTAAAATCATTACATAGTATAAAACAAAGTCACTGATGCTGTCTGTCCATCCCTATGTATGCTTCAATCTTTAAAGCTACACAACATATTTTGAAACAGTTTTTCTTAATAGATAGAGTGATTCTACACACACAACGGCCTAGATGAGAGGCCAATTGCGGAAAATGGAGTATATATATAATACATGTACACCCAAACGAAGCCGTGGAGGGTAGTTAGTAATTGAAAAATTTCAATGAAGAATGTTGGTCTAAATGTAAATTTCTGTGTTAATTTTGGAATGACTACTTAAAGTGATCGTAATTTGAGTCCTTCCAACAACAACAGTAATCTTATGGCTAAGTATATTGGTTTACTTTTAGTTCTCCTTCTTTGACATCATTCATGGTATGCTGGTGTTTTGATTTCTTTTTTATTACCTTATGATTCCTCATTACAATACTCCTTCTATTATATGGAAGTCAAACCTGAACAGCTCGAACAAGCTGCAGCACTACAGAACATGAAGATTCCCATTTGCCACACAGCCATCTCTTCTTGTCTACTTCCCAGCTGAGTAGGTTTGAAGCCTGGTTGTCCTATAATTAATATAAAATTTACCATTACGAATTCACATAGCTAATTCGTCATACTTGTGAACGGGTGCTGCTTGTGGGGACTGGTCTGTTTAGGTTGCTAACACTGATTTGATTTTTTGTTTTTTGCAAAAGTATATGCTGGTGGTCACTCTATTCTCCCAAATTTGAATTTAAATGAATCTGTATTATTGTAAATGAATATGAGCTGAGTTTCTAGTCAGTTCTTCTCATCTCAAAGTGGAGTAAGAACTATATGAACTCGACCATAGGTATTCTTGCCTCACCTTCTGGTAACAAACAGCTTGTTTTGTAATATGTATTTGAGTTTGATGTGGATAGGTAGATATGGCAATATAATGACTGGTCATAGACGTATGACATCTTAGTTATCAGGAATGACAACGCATGAGTGTGTGACGTCCTTGGTGCAGTTCTTGTCAGTAAGTTTGTTATTCCCTTTAATGATAAGATAAAAATTGTTGTTGCGTATGACATCTAGTTTTAGTGTACATCATACTGACTATCCAATGAAGGCTATCCAGTGACAGATTGAGTTTATTTGAATAAAGATTATTTCTATTTCTATTTCTAGATAAATTATATTTTGTTTGTTTATTGCATTAGTTTTCATTTAAACCTTACCGGATCTTCACTACTGAAACTCACGACATAGTCAATTTTCACTCGCGGCATGTTTTTTCCTTTTTATATTTTTCCTAAATATTACTGAGGTAGTACTGTGTGCAGATATATGTTTATAGTTAATTTAAAATTATAATTAGTTCGCATTACTTTCGTAATTATTTTAAACAAATCAAAATAATAACATAACCTAAAAATAAACTTGTATCAGACAGTTCAATGTCAATGTCAATATGACATTTCGAAACGTATTCGTAGTATGGCAGTATGGACACAATTCTCTTTACCTTTCCTTTAAAGGATAAACACAAACAAAAAAAATAGTCAGGAATAATAATGACTTTAATCTATTTTGAGTTCCTATTTTGTTTCTTAGGTTCTTCTATTTGGAGTAACAAGAAACCGGAAGAATTAGCTCGCCTAATAACTGTACTGCCAATGAAACATAAAAGAATAGCAATTTCAGACAGATGCTATAATAGAAATAAAGTAGTAGATTAAAAATAGTTGTGTATCATATAATAAAATATATTAGCGTATAGCGTCAGCACAGGCAGGAATATTTCACAGTCATCCACAAAAAAAATTGATTACAATAGTACACTATCCACTTTTACAATTACACACAGTCATTATTTTTTTAGGTAGTGAGGAAAAAATGAGACTACGCAATAATAATAAAAAATAAACTTTTGATTTTTGGCAAATAAATGTTTACAATGTTTTACAAGTTGAATAAAAATAATAAATGAATAAATATTTTGGACAAAGAGAAGTAGACTCCGCAACACTATGGTACACAGATGGTGCACGTACCAGACTTTTGAGTTTATGATCTGGAACAGTTTCTTTCAGTCTTTGGATGTCTTTTATGAACTGAATGACGTTAGGTTGCGAGGGCTTCATTCTCTTCGTGCATCTAATACTTATAGTTTACATAAACGCATCAACACAACTACCATAGCATTTATTAAATGCATTATGACTATGTAATTGCTTTTAATTAAGTATTTTAAGTATCTACTTGTTCTATAAACGTTATCGAATACTCGAATACCCAAATCGAAGTTGATTGAATTTGGAAAATTTACAATTGTCAAAAATATCACTCAGTTCCAACTTATATAGATTGCTTTACTGCATCTGCTTTTCGAGGCTGCTCTCCACGTTAGCGAAATAGAAATAATAATTTAACAAAATCCTATTAAAAGTTAGCCACCATTTTTAAAGCATGTAAGACAAATCTAGTTAGATTCTACCGTATTATTCACAATCTAAGAACGCACAAAAAACGCATTACAGCTTTCATTTCCACCGTGACCAGTAAGACACGATGAATGATAAAGTTTTCACAGGTTTATATACTGGTTCCGTTACAATTCTTAATCTCTGATAATTCTGTATTTATGCACCCTGATGATAACCGGCTCCTTCAGGGTATTGTTCTTGGGCGCGTTTCTTTTATGGACAGGTCGTCGGCGGTAGGTGTATCCACCGTTGGGATTGGGCCGCGCGTACAATATCGTCTCCGGGGTTAGAAACCCCTCATCTCTTTCTGGGAGAGGTGTGGCATAAATCTGATGGTTCATTGAAGACGCGTAAACGTGCTGGTGAGGTGGTGGTAAAGGTTTGTTGGCTGGCGCTCGGTGATGCTTGTACAGGGGCATTCTGAGCGGCGCTGGGGATAAGATGTGGAGGACAGGTAGCGGCGAATGCAGCGGGATGGCAGCGAACGCGATGGGCTCGTACTCGTCGGCGAATTCGCTCGCGTACACGCCGAACGGGCTGCTGCGACGCTGGATTGCCACGCTCAGATGTTCGCCGTGCGACCACGCGCTGATGATCAGTAGCAGCAATGGAGTCTGTAACGGTTACATTTTAGTACAATAAAAAGTTAGATATATTCCGAATATATCACGGAAAAAATATTCATGTGTGTTTGCAAAGACTTCCGCTTTCCGCCTTGTTTCAATGAGTAACCGTAGTAGTTTCTTAATTACATAACACTCAATCTATTCTCCCAAATTTAAATTTAAAAATGAATCGGTATTATTGTAAACATGTACAACATTTATTTGAAAAGAATACGAGCTGAGTTTCTTGTCAGTTCTTCTCATCTTAAATCATTCCGAATTGACGCTAGATTTGACATATCATAAGAGTCTGTAATAGACCTACATGAATAAAGATATTTTCAATTTGAATTTGTACTATTCCTAAATGTCCGTAGTTCGTGATAGGATAGTTATTCAATAGGATGTAATGGAAAGAATGGCATGTTAATGAACAGCAACACTCCTGATATGTGGCTCATTATAATAATGAAACGTGGGCAGAGGAAGGCCGAAAAAGAGATGGATGGACTATGTGAAAGATGGAATGAATGGAACAGCGAACAAGGATGAATGGAGGACATTACGCCGACCATAAATGAGATAAGGAAGAAGCAGATGATATAATAACGAAACGTGATTATAGTCAGAGGGCTGATAGTTAATAGACAAAAATAAAAAAAGGAAGTCGAAACCATTCCTCGCAATATTCACGCAATTGTATTAAAAACAATCGAGTGTTCATATATGGTTTCTACTTCTATATAGACTATTAACTACTACATATACAATGCAAAGAATATTATATTAATTGCCTTTTTTTTAAAAAGCGTTATTACTTTAAACTGTTAAAGATTGCAATTGCAAACAAAATTTGTATCATATATTCGAAACTTGTATTTAAAAGTGCAATAAATATTGCACCACACCTTTTCTTCAGAAATGGCCTATCTTTCCAATTCCACGCTTCCATTGCATCTCACAAGAGTTGAATAGACTATATCACTAGCTAATATGAGTGTATAACAATATTGGGACTCACAAGTGATTCCATGTCGGTGTCCGCGCGGCGCGTGGTTGTCGGAGCGACTGGCTGCCTGATGGTGGCGGGTGGTGGTCAACGGTGGCGCGTGGTGGCGCTCGACACACCTCAGCGGGCTGGTAATGCTGTGTCCGAAGACATGGCACGCGACTTCCGCCCCTGCATTGCCTGTCGCATTAGCTTCCGATAGTTCGATATTTATTCGTTAATATCATCACAGTGAAAAAAATTTGTGGTTCGCATTCCGCTTGGCAATTATCAATTAATGTTGGAGTTGCTAAAAATCATGTATGCCTGTTTAATCGCAGTCACGATCAGAATAAATAAGGTGACAACAACTAAATAAGTTTGCAAGACTGTAAGGCACACGAATACAACTTTACGTCTATACCTAGTTTAATTGACTGCAATCTAGACTAAATTAATATATCAACAAGAAAATCACTATCTATTGTTAAAATAATAATCAAAAGAAATAAAAAAAAATAATAATTAATACTCACAAAATACAAAATGATTCAGTGCTTTCTTATTTTTAACATGAATTATGAAAATAAAATATTATAAACAGATAAATAAATGTAAAAATATTAAATAATAATAATCAATGAAAAATATTTTTTTTCTTTGGTTTTGCCTATTATGCCACTAAATAAAATATTTTTTAAATTATATAAAACAAGAGTTAGCCACAGACTAAAGAATATTACACATTATTAGTCTATGAACGTAATAAGCTTTCGGGAGGTTATTAAATAATAATAAATAATAATCTGAGGACAATTCACACAGCGCCATCTAGACCCAAGTTAAGCTAACTAAATCTTGTGTTATGGGTACTAGACAACTGATACAAATATATAAATAATTTTTTTTCGTAAATACATATTATACATAGAAAACACCCAGACGGATACAAACAATCATACTCATGAATACAAATGTTTGTGCCGTGCGAGGAATCGAACCCATCGGATATTACAACCATCGGATAGTAAAGCGGTATGCTAAACCACTAGACCACCAAGGCTGTCTTATATTGTTTACTTTCTAGTTGTAATTAATTGCATCCCCTGAAAATTAGTAAAATAAACTTCGTAAGTCAGTCAGGCTGAGTGAACGGTTTGGTTTTGGTAAGTTTCTTAGAACCGGTCCAGCGCATTCAACGCGTTATGGTCTGATGGATATCATTCCAAATGATCCTAGTGTTGTCACAATATATAACAGGATGTGTCTCAGACAAATCCTTTATCCTTAATCTATACATCTATACATATAAATAAAATTGGACTGTATGTATTTAATATTGAAATAACCGTTTTTTGCTACATGCATATGAATAAAAAATGCGGTACATACACCAAAATAACATTTTTTACAATTTTTGTCTGTCTGTCTGTTTGTTCCAGCTAATCTCTGAAATGGCTGGACCGATTTTAACGGGACTTTTATTGGCAGGTAGCTGATGTAATAAGTAGTAACTTGGATTACTTTAAAGTTAAATTCCACGCAGACGAAGTCGCGAGTACAGCTAGTAATGTCAGTAAGGATGTTTGTGAATGTAATTGTTATGGATGAAAGTAGGGATGTTTGCTCCGCTGTCACGCAAAAACTACTGAACCGATCATTATCAAATTTTGTGCACATGTTCTTGCAGGAATTAGAATTAACATAGGATACTTTTTATTAAAAAAAAAAACAATTATTTTTGATTCAAAGCGAGCGAAGCCGCGGGTAAAAGCTAGTGTAAAATATTTCCAAAAACTGTACAGTACAAACATTGAATGACATTAAGGTAATAGTGTTTATTAATGAAGTTAATGATTGCTGTGTGCAGGCGTGCATGTTATCGTGCGCCGCGCCGTTGTCACCCACGCATGCATATACATATAGTCCGGTGCAGTGCGGAAACTCACAATGCATATGCCGTGCATCATTTACTATGCACAACATATACCTACGCATACCCACTCTAATGAATATACAGTATTTACATTTTACATTTCATTTTCTGTTGATAATAACCCCTAATATTAACAGGTAACAGAAGATACTAGAATTAAAGACAAACTTGCTGTCCCCAAGTATCGTTTAGACAAAGTCAATAGGTCTTTTATAATAATAATAATAATAATAATAATAATGTATTTATTATGAGGCTTACTTGCTCACTTTGTTAGTATTACCACAGATAACATAATTACAGATTTCTTATAATTAATGTTACGTACGTACCGACACAAAAAACACACACAAAAATAAAATACAAATAATATCAAAAATTAATATTAACATAAATTAAAATAAAATATAAATTAAAATACATTCACATATAAATGTAAAAACAATATACAAATCACCATTCCATTGGAAATAGTACAGCAGTATTTATGGGAATAGGTATAAAAATTTACAATAACTTTTTGTTCTACGATACTAAAGGATATATTGGAATTACCCTTAAATAAATTCCAAATATCTGTTTAATCATATTTATTGAGCAAAGCCTATTACTCACTAAACGATTACTTGAATGACGAGCGTGCATGGCAATAGTTGTTCATGCACGGGATTTTCATTCAATGTTAGACATAGACATCTATATAACTACTATACATTATAAATAAACTGGCTTTTAAAAGAAAAAGTAATTCAATTGAGTTTTTTGCCATTTCTTCTCAATTTAATGTATATATATATATATATATAACTGGACGGTATAAATCCTAATCTAATAAAAAAAAATGATTTTCATAAGCGGCTAAAATCTTCTATTTGATTTGAAAATTTTTATACCACTTACTTCTACAAGACGATTTGTATAATTTTGTATGTGCAAACTAAGCTCCAAATTTTAAATAATTATTTACACAGTAAAGTGTTTAATGACAACATTCACAGAATATATAGATATAGAAATAATATTTATTGAAATAAACTTAATATAAGCACTTTTGAATAGTCTCATTTTGTTTTCTTCGGAACGCAGACTCATTACAAGAAGAATGAGCAAGAAACTTGCGTGTTGCTCTTTTCTATTTGTTTAATATTTATTGTAACCTACAATCAACAACTCCAATTCACATAATGTGGTGTTATAACAAGCTAGAGTGTTTATTTATTAGTGAGATAAGTAATCGGATATATTACATTTCAACACCAATATCGATAACTTTAATGACTGCAATATCGTGATATGCTAGCAACTGATTCTGTTTATATTATGAACTAGCTGTACTCGCGACTTCGTCCGCGTCGAATTTAACATTATTTTTCTGGACTTTTTGGCGGGAAGTCAAATAGAGCGGCTGTTTTAAATATTTTTCCTTTATTTTATATTTTATTTATATTCAATAATTTGTATATATAGGTACAACTAACATAATTTGTAGTTAATTACAGTCCCAAAATGGGAAGTAAGCGCAAAAAGCGCAAATCCGATGATAATTGCTCCCCAGAAAATTCCAGGGATGTCGACAGTCCAGATTCTGACTCCTCAATGGATGAGGATAAGTATAAATTTTTAAAATTGATAATTACTGTCGCTAATATCCTGAGGATGGAGGAAATTTTGAATATATAGTTATTTATGAAAGTACCGATACGAGGCCTTTAGGCGACAGAGACCTTATGTCCCTTGGCGCCTGTCTTAAGCGCCAAAGCAAGGGTATAAAACGTTTCAAGAGAATTAATAAATATAAAGTTGGAGCCATTTTTGAAAGACCAGGTTTAGCCAACATAGCATTAAATAACACCAAAGTACATTATCTTTCTAAAATAAAAGTAACCTAAGTTACTCCTTATTATATCAGCTACCTGCCAAAACAAACAGACAGACAGACAAAAATTGTAAAAAATGTTATTTTGGTATATGTACCGTATTTATATTCATATGCAAGTAGTAACAAATGGTTATTTCAATATTACAAACCGATACTCCAATTTTTTGTACTCGTGGTATTCGGAATCATTATAGTTTGTAACTTTTTTGTTTATAAACGGATTGTAATAAATTGTTGTAGTTTTATTTTATTCATGTATAGGTAATAGGAAAAAAGACGAAGAAAAAATATATATTTGGATAGACTACTGATATAAACAGAATGAATTGAAGCTACAAAACAAGAAAAGTGTTAACTATCGTGTGACGCACCATTAATTAAAAATGGTAAAGTCAATAATCATGTAACCTGAAACGGAACGTCAGAGGCCAGAGCCAAAGTAATCTATGTGACATTGACAGATAGATTGATGGATGATTGAACGTAGACAGCAGGAGTTTTTGGAGCGAAAACGTTGGAGTGTTTATCTTATATATAAAATTCTCGTGTCACAGTTTTCGTTCCCATACTCCTCCGAAACGGCTTGACCGATTCTCATGATATTTTGTGAGCGTATTGAGTAGGTCTGAGAATCGGCCTACATCTATTTTTCATCCCCCTAAATGTTAGGGGTAGTCCTAGGGGTACCCCTAATTTTTTTATCTATTTTAAGGCAAAAGAACGTTTGCCGGGACAGCTAGTATTATTATAAAAACAAATAAGAGATAGGTAATTGTGAATATTGTAGGCATTGAGGTGTTTCTCTCCCTGACCAACCGGCATTACGCCTAAGTCATCAAGATACTAGTGATTTTAATAAAAGGAAATATAAATGTAAATACAAATTTAGAATATAAAACACATTTCTTCAGTAGCCAGTTACAACATAAATAAACACTATACCTACATTAGTAAATCCGCGCTTAAGTTAGTTAAACCATTTCTGAGTTTAGAGAGGTCAAACGCATGTGTTTATAGTTTTTATATATACGTTCCATGTACAGACAGCGATTAGTTACATATTTATTATGAGTATAGTGTAAGCTAGACAAACTGGAAGCTTTTAAAATGTGGTAGTGGTGGTGAGAAGGATAAAGTAAGAAATGACGAAGTCGAGCGCAGTGATGGCTGGCTCATCCGTCATACTCGTGAACGAGTGCTGTCTGTAGGTACTGGTCTGCTCTTATCACTACGACTGATTTAATCTTATTGTATATTTATATTTGACCCAAAAAAATTAGTGCTGGTTGGTAGTTTGTATTCTAACTTGTGTGTTGCTCTTTTTAATAATTTATAAAGATTATTTAAAAGAGCAACACACAAGTTTCTTGCTCGTTCTTCTTGTGATGAGAAAGCTTTCCGAACGAGCGGTAGATAAAAAAAATGTTATGACTATTCAAAAGTGCTTAAATAAAGTTTATTTAATAAATGATTTTCTATTCTATTCTATTCTACTGCATAGGGTGAAAGAAAAAAGGCAGATATTGAATGCTATAGAAAGTAGAAGAGCAAAAATGTTAGGGCACTTGATACGGCGCGATGAATTTATGAAAGTAATTATTGAGGGAGAGATAGAAGGAAAGACCGAGGCACAGCTACATCAAGCAAATTAAAGACAGAATTGGAGTCGTGTAGTATCAAGGCTTAAAGAGTGTGATGGAAGATCGTAGAAAGTGGCAAGAGCTCCACCGACAAGAGCGTTACTCTTAAGTTTATGAATAAATGATAGTCTAAGCATGGTATTAGACATTTTCTATGATTTTGATTTTTTTTTAAATAGATATAGGATTATTAAATATATATTACCGGCTTCGCACGGTTGTACATGTATTATATATATAACCCTTCCTCTTGAATCACTCTACTATTAAAAAAGACAGCTTTTTTTTTTTTTATATCATAATTTGAGCGCGTTTGACCGCAATCTCACCTGATGTTAAGTGATTTAAGCTTTAAGCATATATAGGGATGGACAGACAGCGACTTTGTTTTAAACTATGTAATAATGTACACCCGCGCGAACCCGGGGCGAGTAGCCAGTACTATATAAATATTACTAATAAGCAGAGATTTGGAAAATTAAATATAATTCTGTCACAAATCAGTTCGCAGAAATCGATTATGCGATCAAATTTTGTAAACATATTTTGATCTAACAAAAATCTAAATGACCTCAACTTGTAGTATGCATTTCCTAAAGCATAACGTAATACATTTGATCTATACATCTATACATATAAATAAAATTGTAGTGTCTGTTTGTAACATTGAAATAACCGTTTTATACTTTTTATACTACATGCATATGAATATAAATACGATACATACACCAAAATAATATTTTTTACAATTTTAGTCTGTCTGTCCGTCTACTTGTTCCGGTTAATCAACGAAATGGGTGGACTGATTTTTTTGGCAGGTAGCTGATGTAATAAGGAGTAACTTAGGCTACTTTTATTTTAGAAAATAATGTTATTTTCCACGCGGACCAAGTCGCGGGTACAGCTAGTTTATAATATATTTGATGTTAAGGAATTACTTCATATATAATATAATTAACATATTTGAAGTAAACAGAACCGCTTAGTAGATAACTGACATAATCCTTAGTCTGCAAATTTGGCTTGAACTTTATTGATTTTGTTTTATTATTGTACAGCTTGTTTTCAAGTTATTAATAAAGAAAGAAACATATAAATTACTGACTGTAATCCATGTTTATTTTTGTAATAATAACTGTAACAATAAGATTTATTGTCACTGGGATATTGCACATCAAGCACTTTTTTGTTGTTGCCAATTGTTATTTAAAACTATTTCTACACAGTGATTTTTCTGACGGACCCGGTGGTCTAGCGGTTTAGCACACCACCTTACTTCCGATGGTCACGGGTTCGATTCCTCGCACGGCACATACATTTGATTCATGATTGTTTGTATCGGTCTGGGTGTTTTCTATATATAATATGTATGTTTTAACGAAAAATATATCTATGTATTTGTAGCAGTTGTCTAGTACCCATCACATAAGCTTTAGCTGGCATAACTTGGGTCTAGATGGCGCTGTGTGAATTGTCCTGAGATTATTATTATATTAATATTTGGGGTATAAAGTTGCTAAATAATATAATTGAATAAATAAACAATGCTCTCCTATATTTGGGATAAATATACGACCAAATATGTACATGTCACGTCTGTAACATATTAACAGTTTTACATATGAACAGATACGATTTGGTCGCCGCTCTGGGAACTAGTCCACACCTGTTTGTGAATATGAACATCTAAATATATATAACTCAAAGGTGACTGACATAGTGATCTATCAACGCACAGCCCAAACACTGGACGGATCAGGCTGAAATTTGGCATGCAGGTAGATGCTATGGCGTAGGCATCCGCTAAGAAAGGATTTTGATTATTTCTACCCTCAAGGTGTTAAAATAGGGCATGAAAATTTGTATGAAACTTTGTCAATTTTAAACCGATCGGGCTGAGACTTTGCATGCATAAATCTACTATGACGTAGGCATCCCCTAAGCAAGGATTTTCATAAATTCCACCCCTAAGAGGATAAATTAACACGAGCGAAGCCGCGGGCAAAAGCTAGTTTGTAATATAAATAATTACCTGTGAGAATTTAATGCTCTAGATCAGAGGTTCCCAAACCTTTTTGTGTCGTAGACCCCTTGCCATATTTTATGGTTTTAGGTAGAACCCTCATTCTTTCCTGTACCTATACTGTAGTAAAGTTTAGTGTTAAAAACATAAAGTAAAAACAACAAGATGACCGTTGTCGTAGACCCCTTGCAGTTTGTCATAGCCCCTGCGGGTCGATATAGACCGCTTTGGGAAAAAAATTTCATCAAAATCTGTTCGGTAGTTTTTGCGTACAAGAGTAACAAACATCCATACTTACAAACTTTCGTGGTTATACATATATTACTAGCTGTACACGCGACTTCGTCCGCGTGGAACTTACTTTATTTTTCTAAAATGAAAGTAGTCTAAGTTAGTCTGTATTACATCAGCTACCTGCCAATAAAAGTCCCGTCAAAATCGATCCAACTATTTCAGAGATTAGCCAGAACAAGCAGACAGACAGACAAAAATTGTAAGAAATGTTATTTTGGTATGTACTGTATTTATATTCATATGTATGTTATCATTCCACTGACGTAAAAAAATTGCAAACTGAATCATATTAATTATACAGTTTGATAACATAATAACGAAGGCCGAATGAGTTCATTAAAAAATCACATTTATGTGAAGAAATAGTGTTCTTGTTCGACCATCATGGCTGACATTGAGACAGTTTTAAATTAAATTAACCGATTAATGGTTACAAATTGCGTAAAGTCAGCGCGGTCCTCACGGACGGGCCGAAAAACAGCAGTTTTGACACTAATTAACACTAAAAAAAACATTCAAATTTCAAAATATCTTTATTCATGTAGGTCTATTACAGACTCTTATGATATGTCGAATCTACCGTCAGTTCGGAATGATTTCGAGATGAGAAGAACTGACGAGACACTTTCGTATAACACAACTGAATGGTAATTTAAATATTTCAGACATGTAACTCTAACATACGATGACAATATTGAGATGTTCAAGATTTCAGATGTAGACGCAAGATTTAAAATGGATTCTGCATATAAAAGTTCAAAACTTGGGTGTTAGTTATGGTTTAATTTATCTAAATTAAGCCATAACTAACAACCAAGTTTTCGGTCCGTCTTTTATAAATTTCGTTAGAGAGTTTTTGAAAAAATAATGGTTGAATATTTTACAATATATTCATATATTTGAGTAAATCGTAAAAGATCACCGTAAGCAGTGAAAAGATTGGGTTGCAGTCTCGATTCTTAGTAACGAGGAACAAAATTATATAATTTAAGCATAATTACTATGCACTATTGATACTGTTACCACACGGCATGGTACCATATGTGTTTTGGACACAGGAGCCCGCACACCGAGTTTAAGATGTGTTTGCAGAATGGTGCTCTCGTGATTTTCTTTGAGAGATCTCTTTTTGTTATTGTTTAATGATTTTGTTAATATAAAGTGTAAATTAAATTGTTATTCGCCAATTAACCATTTAATTTATTTGCAGTTAATTTGTATTTAATAGTTTCTACACTACTTCTAGTAGATTTGTGTACTTGTTACTTAGCATAACTCTTTTTGGTTAATTTTGATATTTTTGGGAAATCTCAAAATATTTAATTAAAAATTAATTAGTAAATAACTGGTTCTTTGATTTAAATCAATAAGATTTTCATATTAAGTTTATATACCTAATCATTTCATGGTACAACGACGATGTATAGGTATTATTATAGCAAAAAATACAAGAAGGATTTATATCAAATCATATATATTAATAATGCATGTACAAAAATAAAACTTAAATAAACCATAAGTTTAAATGTAGATAATTATCTATATAGTGACTAGCTTCGAGCATCTCTGGCTGTTCACCACCAGCCGCTGCCAGAGCTGACGCCGATGCCGCCGATGCCGCCGGCGTACCCGCCGTACGAGGACACCACGGGGGCGGAGTAGGTGGCACCAGGGATCACCTTCTTGACGGTCACCACCTGTGGTACATTCACCACTTTGCGGACCTGTACGACCTGGGGTACGCTGATCACCTTCGGAACGCTGACGACCCTGTTGACGGCGACCACCCTGGGGGCGGAGACTATGGGTGCAGATACGATGGGGGCGGACACGATGGGGGCGGAGGCGATCACTGGCGATGAGTAGCCAATGCCACTGTAACCACCGAGTCTAACTCCGCTGCTGATCCCTCCGCCATAGCTGCTGTACCCCAGCCCACTATAACCTGAGAGTACTCCGCGCTTCTCGCGGCTGTCCCCAGCTGAGGCAACGCCGGCCAGAGCCACCAGAGCACAGATAGCCACCTGTGACGAGGAAGAAACACTTTAGAGTATGTATTACATTTGTAACAATTGCAAAGGCTATAATATTTCTATACACCTTGCAGAGTACCGAATAACTGACTGTAGATTTGACGTATCATAAGAGTCTGTAATAGACCTACATGAATAAAGATATTTTGAATTTGAATTTCAGTAAAACATGTCAATAAAGACATATAGTTATATTACTGAATGCAAATACATTTGCAAAAATATTATTATTGCTTACAAACGAAGATTTAATTAAGATTAAAAGAAAAAATTAGAAAAAAATTAATATGCATACATCATGACATAAATAGAGTTTTATAAGAATTAGATAATAATAAAAATATGTTTTAGAGATAATAAACGATGACGACCTCGGTGGTCTAGCGGTTTAGCACACCGCTTTACGACCGATGGTCGCGGGTTCGATTCCTCACACGGCACAAACATTTGTATTCATGAGTATGATTGTTGTTACTTCTATCTATAATATGTATGTATTTACAAAAAAAAATATCTATGTATATGTATCAGTTATCTAGTACCCATCACAAGCTTTAGCTAGCTTAACTTGGGTCTAGATGGCACTGTGTGAATTGTACTGAGATTATTATTATTCTTCTAAAAAAATATTCATAAATTTGTAAAAATGCTAACAATAAGGGGCAAATATACCATTAGAAATTGTATACATAGTTAAAAACATTATTCAGTACAATTAAATGATAAAACAGTCCAAGAGATGTGAATAGTAAATATTTTATGGATAAAATAAGATGCAAAAGTATGTTTTAATTTCTATATGACTCTTCAAAATAGGAAACCTGTTTTAGAGTTTTAATAAGAAGCTAATGATATTGTAAAAAAAACTGCACGAATTTATATTAATAATGTAGTTTAAAAAAAAAATTTAGTTAATTGATTCATTATAAAAAATAGGTTTATATTCTAGATTAGATCTCAGTCTTGTTGTGGTAAATACTTACAAATGTTTTCATTTTTGTTGTTGTGTTGGTTGGTGTCTGAGAGACGAGCTGATGATGTGTGATGCTGTGGAAGCCTCCCCCGGACCATATATACTCACGTTCTGTGATAACATTACGCAAGTGTCCTCGCGAGCTGAGCCTGCGATGGACTCGGCGACTAGTTCCCTCCCGCTGCCTTGCTCGCATCTCACGCCATGTGACAGTAAATTTTGTGACGTGTAGCCGATACGATGAAACTGTTACAATCATTTCATCATACATATATCAGCTTTATATATGATCGTTCCAGTTGGTTGTCTCTTTTCTATCTGTCGGTATGGACTCAGACGGTTAAAATTATTAAACTGGATATTTTAGTAAAAAATATACAGCAGTTATCGAAATAAACAATAAAAATATAACTTCTCGCTGTCTGTGAGACAAAAGATATAAAAGATAACCAATTAGGTATTATTGGACTTTCTCAACGGAATAGTAAAAATCATTGTTACATTTTTGTCTGACTATCTGTGTTTGTGCGTGAATCTCAGAAACGGCTCATCCAATTTCAGTGCGATTGTCACGAACACCTCGTGATAAGTTTCACATTAAAATTTAGCGCATAAATTTAATTACAATCTGGGAACTATAAAAATTGAACGATTTGGGTGCGGTTGTTATTAACACCTTGTGATAAACTTCATTCAAAATTTCCTTCATAACTTTAATTGTAATTGTTTTTGGTAGGGAACTGACTCCTGATATACAGCCTACGCTAAATTGGGAGTCAGGACTGCATCCAACTGTACACTGAGGGAGGTTTAAATCTACACATATAAATAAAATTGGAGTGTCTGTTTGTAATATTGAAATAACCGTTTTTTACTACATGTCTATGAATATTTATACGGTATATATACCAAAATAACATTTTTTATAATTTTAATCTGTCTATCTGTGGGTCTGTTTGTTCCAGCTAATTTCTGAAGCGGCGAGATCGATTTTGACGGGACTTTTTGGCAGGTAGCTGATGTAATAAGGAGTAACTTAGGCTACTTTTATTTTAGAAAAATAAAGTTAAATTCCACGCGGACGAAGTCAGTACGTGAACAGCTAGTTCATTCATTCATTCATAATTTAAGAGCTACGCTCTTGTCGGTGGAGCTCTTGCCACTTTCCGCGATCTTCCATCATGCTCTTTAATTCTTGATACGACACGACTCCCATTTTGTCCTCAGTTTGTTTGATGTAGCTGTGCCTTGGTCTTCCCCTCTCCCTCTTTCCTTCTATTTTTCCCTTAATAATAATTTTCATGAAATCATCGTGCCGTATAATTTATATCAATACATTACGCTAATATGCAATGATACATTTATAACTTTTATTAAAATGTATTAATTATTAATAAATACCTACTCAACAAAATACTAGATTTATATACGCAAATAGTACTTTTAATTTACGATGATTTAACACGATCACAAGTTATAGGTAAAGGTCAAAGGTCAAGATGTCCTAACATTTTTCCTCGTCTATTTTCTATTGTGTTCAATATCTGCCTTTTTTCTTTTACCCTGTATAGTATTTCTTCGTTAGTAGTAGTCGAACAGCCAGTAAATCAATAAATTTGTAACTGTTTACAAACAAATAGGTTACACGGGAACGAAGTCGCGGATTGCGATAGTAAAGCATTGTAAGTGTAACGTTACAGTTTCGCAAACACGTTATATGTATATCTGTTCGGATGGGTCACTAACTCACTAGCCCCCAGCCGGTAGTATCAGTGTCAGAAGCATTAGTGCTATCTCTCATACGGAGCGTGAAAGTCCTCAACTTAGCCGCCTCTCAATGTGTGTCTCTCGATATAATCTTAGTCTGTACAAAATGGACCAAAATCCATAAATTAAAAAAGTAAGTATATACTCTTACGTTAAATAAAATTATCTAAACATATAAATAAAATCTGAGTGTCTGTTTGTAATATTGAAATAACCGTTATTTACTGTATGCATATGAATATAAATACGCGGTACATACACCAAAATAACATTTACAATTTTCGTTTGTCTGTCTGTCGGTCTGTTTGTTCCGGCTAATCTCTGAAATGGCTGGACCGATTTTGACGGGACTTTTTTTGGCAGGTAGCTGATCGAGGAATTTAACTTCATTTTTCTAAAATAAAAGCAGCCTAAGTTACTCCTTGTTACATCAGCTACCTGCCAAAAAAGTCCCGTTAAAATCGGTCCAGCCATTTCAGAGTTTATCCGGAAAAAGAGACAGACAGACAAAAAATGAAAAAAATATTATTTTGGTGTATTTATATTCATACGTATGTAGTAAAAAAACGGTTATTTAAATATTACAAACAGACACTCCAATTTTATTCACATCTATAGATTGTTACGATTGCAATAAAGTATATAAAATTAAATAATTTTGAAAACAACTATTAAGAACTACTATTTACTATATATCAGAGTTTCGCACGTAATCGGGTATTTAACAAAGATTTCAAAAATGAACTTTAAGATTTTATTACAAAGGTAGTTTTTTTAAATTACAATTAATGTGATCTAGTTTGTACCGGCGTTACTATTGCATATTTTAACATGAAAAATAGTTATTATGACATAAATATAATAGTTAGACGTATTGTATCACGGACTTCTTTGTAGACATAAATGTATTCTATAAAACTGGAGTAGATAACTTATATATATAACTCAAAGGTGACTGACATAGTGATCTATCAACGCACAGCACAAACCACTGGACGGATGGGGCTGAAATTTGGCATGCAGGTAGATGTTATGACGTAGGCATCCGCTAAGAAAGGATTTTGATTAATTCTACCCCCAAGGGAATAAAATAGGGGATGAAAGTTTGTATGAAGCTTTGTCAATTTTAAACCGATCGGGCTGAGACTTTGCATGCTTAAAGCTACTATGAGGGGGAAGGGGATTGTTGGTGATGTGGACTCATGACCCCTTTGCTAGCAATGTACCGTGTCAGGTTGACGCGGTTCCCCCTGGAAACCATCGTGATAAATTCCTGGTGAATTTGTCAGGATGGGCTAACTGACCTCACGCAAGCGAAACCGCGGGCAAAAGCTAGTTATTTATATAATTTTCATTTAAGGAGTAACTTAGACTGCTTTTAGTTATGAAAAATTCTTTTATTGATTAATGACTTTAAATTCCACGCGGACAAAGTCGCGAGAATAGCTAGTAATAAATAAAATAAGAATGTTTTTGTCATTATATAGTTCATAGGCTACGGCAACCATTTACCATCAGATGGGCCGTATGCTTGATTGCCAACATAGTAGTATAAAAAAAGAGTAGAACTGACAAGAAACTCGTATTCGTTTCAAATAAATGTTGTAAATGTTTATAATAATGCAGATTTATTTTTAAATTCAAATTTGGGAGAATATAGTGACCAGTGCTATTGCAATTTTGTGAAAAGCAAATAGTCCCTTATTTAAATATGCAATGTATAGCTGGAAACCCACACAGAGAAGAAGATTATCAAACAAGAAACACCATGTCATTGGAATAACTAGTCGATTACTAATAACTATGTGACACTAGGTCACAGTTATACATAATATGTCACCAATATATTTTAATACTAGCTGTACACGCGACTACGTCCGCGTGGAATTTAACTTTATTTATTTAAAATAAAAGTAGCCTAAGTTACTCCTTATTACATCAGCTACCTACCAAAAAAAGTTTGGTCAAAATCGGTCCAGCCATTTCAGAGATTAGCCGGAACAAACAGACAGACAAAAATGGTAAAAAATGTTATTTGGGTGTATGTACCGTATTTATATTCATATGCATGTAGTAAAATTATTGATAAAAATTGTAAAAAATGTTATTTTGGTGTATGTACTGTATTTATATTCACATGCATGTAGTAAAAAAGTGTTATTTCAGTATTACAAACAGACACTCCAAATTTATTTATATGTATAGATGTATAGATAATTCGATATTCTAATGTTATATCACGGCCGATCCATTAATAATATAAACAAGGCACACGAACTACATATATTCATTGACTTTGACTCTCCTATTTATTTGTGTAGGTGTCAACTTATATCACGGGTATATTAAAATACAAATATATTTAATTAGTTTTGATCTTTTATCGAGCATACTGTTGGTACAGAAGGCGGATATAATAATAAAGGATATACTAATCTATATAACTTAAAGGTGACTGCCATAGTGATCTATCAACGCACAGCCCAAACCACTGGACGGATCGGGCTGAAATTTGCCATGCAGGTAGATCTTATAGACTTATGATTCTACCCCCAAGAGGATAAAATAGGTGATGAAAGTTTGTATGAAACTTTGTCAATTTTAAACCGATCGGGCTGAGACTTTGCTTGCATAAAGCTACTAAGACGTAGCCATCCCCTAAGAAATGATTTTGATAAATTCCACCCCTAAAGGGATAAGATATAAAATTAAAATTTCCGTGTATTACCCACAATAATTGATTCAAGAACAAACATATTTTCTTTTTATAACTACACGGCAACGGAATAACCATATACAGCCTAAATATGTATAAAGAGAGAATAAGCTCAAGTATAATGGCCGATGGCGATCAGTGAAAGAAGAGGACCACACACTACGCCGACCACAAATAATGGGATAAAGGCAAGGCAATGACGATGATTATAATTAGGAAAGATATGTTTTGTATATTATAATTGCCTTTGTCCAGCAATGTACGTCTTCCGAGCTGAGATGATGATGATGATGAAAGAATGACTTAAAAAAATACGGTACTTTTTTTAATATGTCCATCTGTAAATAGTGAGTATTAGCGAGTAATATTGGATGTCCATCCTCCAGGCAGACATCGCCTATACACACACGAACAGTCCTCAGTAATGACACATTATGCAATTTAACAGTTTAGGAACTTTTACCATCGCACCGCTCGCCATCGACAGGGAATTCATTACCACACGCTGGAACCTAAGTGGTTTCGGATAGTGCGGTTTCAGAGGAGCTTCCTCCCGCGTACACTTAGGTTGTGGAATGAACTTCCTGCCGAGGTTTTCTCACCAGACTACAGCATGAGGTTTTTCAAGAATTAAGGTTTCTTAAGCGTCGGCAACGCACGTGACACCCCTAGTGTTTCAGGCGTCCATAGGCTACGGTAACCATTTACCATCAGATGGGCCGTATGCTTGTTTGCCACCATAGTAGTATAAAAAAAGAAAAGGAACTAGTCAATTGTATAAGAATAGAATAGAAATAGAATAGAAAATCATTTTTCAAATAAACTTAATTTAAGCACTTTTGAATAGTCAACATTTTTTTAAATCTACCGCTTATTCGGAAAGCTGTCTCATCACAAGAAGAATAAGCAAGAAACTTGTGTGTTGCTCTTTTAAACAATCCTTGTAAGTTCACATTTTACAAGTCGAAACGTGTGAATACAAACCACCAACCAGCACTAATTTATTTAGGCTCAAATATAAAAACACAATAAGATTAAATCAGTCGTATAAAAACAATTTAATGTGAATAAATAATGGGAACAAGACCCCACTCTTGGTATATTTGTTCTGCAGCACCACATATATGACGTGTTGCCAGTAAAACGTCTAGAATTCACTTTTACTTATTAAGCAAACAGTATCTTGATATCCTTACAATGCGACAATCCAAATAAAACCGGCAACACTTGCGCAATACCCCACCAAGTAAACAAGTGTCTCATTTTATGACATTGTTACATTATTTTGTAAACACCAACGAGTGCAATAAATGTATGATTCAGTTTCATTACACTGTAAATTGTAATTGAGGGACAAGTGTTATATTCTATTTGTTATTTTGTAAACAGCAACGAGTGCTATAAATGTATGATTCAGTTTCATTACACTGTAAATTGTAATTGAGGGACAAGTGTTATATTCTATTTGTTATTTTGTAATCACAAACGAGTGCTATAAATGTATGATTCAGTTTCATTACACTGTAAATTGTAATTGATGGACAAGTGGTATATTGTGTTGTGTTGAGTGATATGTGACTTTATGCTTTATGTTATATACATATATAGGTATGTATTTTTCATTATATTTCCTATACCACAGATAACATAACATTACTATACTATACAGTATGCGTTTTAATTTGATTTCTTCACATTATTACACAACGAACTTCCGACCGGCGGCTGACCGGCGCGTCGTCTTGCACTGCGTACACACTCGTACACCAACTACTTGTTACGTGGGTCATTGTCAAGTTCACACCAACACACATCTCAACAGGAAACACTATCTATACTAATATTATAAAGCTGAAGAGTTTGTTTGTTTGGACGCGCTAATCTCAGGAACTACTGGTTCGATTTGAAAAAATATTTTTGTGTTGGATATTTCATTTGTCGAGGAAGACTTTAAGCTATATAACATTACGCTACGACCAATAGGAGCGGAGTTGCAATGAAAAATATTGAAAATGGTGGGGGAATTAAACGCAGACGAAGTTGCGCTGGTCTACTAGTCTATACGTATAAATAAATTTTTGAGTTTTCATATACGAAATATACTGTATCCTTCGCAAGTTCTAAACATGTTACTTGTCGGTTCCTATTTTATTATTAGTAGTAACTAGCAATCGAAAGTAATAATTGGTATATGAGAACTAGAACAATAAATAATAAATAAACCTGGACATTTAACACAGCGCCATGTATTCCTACGGTAAGCAAAGCTTGCATTATGGGTACTAGACGACAGATATAAATACTTAGATATTTTTTTCTAAATGCATACAAAATATACATAGAAAACACCCAGACTGATACAAACTGTCATACTTATGAATACAAAAGTTTGCTCCGTGCGAGGAATCGAACCCATCGGAAGTAAAGCGGTCTGCTAAACCGCTAGACCACCGAGGCCGTCTAATGCCTAGTAGCTACCAGTATTATCTTTCATAGAGTAACATGAAGCCTACAGATAGCTTTCTAGCTATTTCTTTATAGAAGTCGAAATCTCTGAAAATTAGATAACTAACCTGACCCTAACCCACAAATTATGATATGATTGTCTATAATAAATATTGGACAAATCTCTTAGTTCTACAATATATTGCCCGAGTGTAGATATGTGTATATAGTGTAGTGGCATCATCAAGTAAATTAAAGATGCCACTGACGAAGCAATAGCGTATTCATCTGAATATATTACTACGATATGGCCCGTCAGGTAGTTTTCCATTATCTGAACGATGCGTAGAATCGTCCTTAAAATATTGTTTATAATTAAACCGCCGATATGTTTGTAAACAACAATAATTATCGCGCCATTTAGTGAGGCGGCCGTCAAGGTACGGTACATTAAATGTCGGTGGTTACGAGAAGGCACGTGCGTTGAGCTCCGCCCCGGGTGCGCCCGTGGAGCGTGGAGCCGCGCCCCGGACAGCCTTGTGGCATCAGTTCCGTTCACTGTTCTTGTTTCGATCAGTCTCAACATTTCGCAACCAACGTCTATAAGCTTATTCGAATATGACGACGACCTCGGTGGTCTAGCGGTCTAGTCTACCGCTTTACGACCGATGGTCGCGGGTTCGATTCCTCGCACGGCACAAACACTTGTATTCATGAGTATGATTGTTTGTATCGGTCTGGGTATTTTCTATGTATAATATGTATGTATTTACGAAAAAAATATATATCTATGTATTTGTATCAGTTGTCTAGGATCCATAACACAAGCTTTAGCTAGCTTAACTTGGGTCTAGATGGCGCTGTGTGAATTGTCCTGAGATTATTATTATTATAATATTATTTTTATTAACAAAAACTTCTATTTATACGACATTAAGTTTTCTATGTTGTTCTATTCTATAAATTTATATAAATAGGTTTTGAGTGCATGTGGTATATATAAGATAATATGTAAATAAGAATATTATAACCTTGTTGATATCTAATAAAACATCTTGGTTAATGAAATAATTATTATGTGGTATGGATATGTATTGGTCTATAATATAATTATAATGCAATTCAACACTTACTTTTATATTTATTTGAGCCAAATATTTTCATTTCGCATTCAATTGTTTATTATTTTATGTAAATGATTTCTTTATAAACTCAATATTGTATTATAAAATTTCGTATTTTTTTTGTATTTTTAGTGCGAGAAGTTTGCTTTTTTTATGTATTATAGGATTTTTGAACATTTTTCCCATAGATCCTTTTTTTTAAAAAGTTGGGAAATACTATTTCAGAGGATACAGCAACGAGAATTTATGCATAATGTTAAATTAAATGTTTAGTTTTTATTTAATACCTGCAATTAACACCTATGCATATCTCGTAAAAACCATTCCTTATTGTTTCACTGTGGATTACTATTGTTATTATATTGTTATGTTTTATAATTAAGACAGAAATAAATACACGTATCTTATTACGACAGTTTCGTTTTATTGTTGCTTCTTTTGTGTAACTGTGACCTATAATAGGAATATATTTTATTAATAGTAGCTAGACATCTGTGTGAAGGCATAGATATTAGCACATTTTATAACGGATTTATGTACTACTACATAAATCACATTATACAGAAGCTATTTTCTTCAACTTTGCCTGAGTGAATTGGAGTAAAAAGTGTGTCTATATCTGTGATTAGCTGTACCCGCGACTACGTCCGCGTGGAGTTACACATTATTTTTCTAAAGTAAAAGCACAGATAACATAATATTACATAGTAAAAGTAACTTAGGCTAAGTTACTCCTTATTACATCAGCTACCTGCCAAAAAAAGTCCCATCAAAATCGGTCCAGCCATTTCAGAGATTAGCCGGAACAAACAGCTAGACAGACAGACAAACAAAAATTGTAAAAATGTTATATTGGTGTATGTACAGTATATATATTCATATGCATGTAGTAAAAAACGGTTATTTCAATATCACAAACAGACACTACAATTTTATTTATATGTATAGGTAGTATAGTATCAACATATGTTAGCCAATTTCTATAAGTTTAAATCTGGGTATATCCTTTTATACGAATATTTAAATATCCTAGGCAAACTTTCAAATTTAGTAAAAGTAATTAGAAAGACTTTTTTCGACTGTGTATTGATTATACGTTGTTCTGTCTTTGCATAATATATTTAATAATCGACTCCAATCACAGGCCCTTCAAAAGAAAAGGTTTAAAAGAAACACATATAAAATTAATTGAAGAGTTTTATTGGCTCTCGCAAAACTTAGTGTTACAATATCACAGTTAAAGCAGAAATAGAATACATACGTGTATTGAATAAATATGTAGAAATAGCTCTAAATCTAATTTGAATAACGATCTCTTATTTTCGTCACGTTAGTTATGAGAAATGTGTAATTTTATAACTTTATCCTACTGATTCGAGGAGTGGCTTGCAAAATAATGGCACGGGTTTATTCATGGACGGCGACGGTCACTGCAGACAAGATCTCGTTATGTTGTCACTCGCGACATCGCGAAACTCGAATGCGAGTTGATACTTCGGGTAACTGGGGGAACCTTGGATTATTGTTGTAGACATATCGTTCAGACAGTAATTATCGTAGTCTCATTACATAAATAATATAGGGGAGAATATAAATAACATATACATATTTATAGATAATAAAATAGTAGATGAGCAACCTGTCTGATATGCTATCGCGGAATAACACGACTGGTTTGACTCAGTAGGGGAAAATCGGGTAGCCCCGGACGGCGGGGTAACTGCGGATATATCGCATTCTAAGATACTAAACATTATTGTTACGGAGTTTCCAAATATTGAACACATCCGAAAATAACATTTATCTAGCAAAACGCGATTTTAGTTTATTAGAAATCAATATGTCACCTTATGTCACGGGCTACCCGACTTTCCCCCATTGGATTAATTAATTACGATAGTACTGTCTGAAAATTATATCCAAGGTCACCCGGTGTTGTGTTGAATAGTCTACCACCATCCACCGCTGCTCCAACCGCTACCTCCGTAGCCGCTCCAGCCACTGCTGCGTCCGGATCCGCTCCATCCGCGGCCGCCGCTGTATCCGCCTGACCATCCGCCGTAGCCGCCGGATAATCCGCTATATCCGCCACTCCATCCACCGCCGCTTCGCCAGCCGCCGCCGCCGTAGCTCCTCCTGACCACCACGACGGGCGACGACCAGCCGCGGCTGATGTAGCCGGCGCTTACTGCGCACATGGCTAGGCAAAGAGCTACCACGAATGTCTGCAACAATTTTATTGTAATTAAAAACATATATAGGCCTGCTACTAACTTCCATAACATTATAAGATTACCTATAATAAAAAAGATATAATGTTTGTACATATGTCATTGAGTACAGGTTCCTTTACGTACATGAAGTAAATTTCAGGTTTTCAAATTCAAAAATCATTTACTCATGTAGGACATTTTAGCCGCTTATGAACGTCAAGTTTTTTATATTATAATTTTTTCCCTATCATGTTAGCACCAATATGTTTTAAAAAAAATGTTTATATATTTAAATATTATTATTTTAAATCCATTACCTACTGACATTATTATAAATTGTCATTCCTGTATGTCCTTTTATAATTTCCAAAAAAATGTATATTTTTGGACATCCTCGGTTGTCTAGCGGGTTCGAGTCCTTGCATGGTACAAACATTTGTATTCATGAGTATGATTATTTGTATCAGTCTGAGTGTTATCTATGTATAATATGTATATATTTACAATTAAAAAAAATATTTATATCAGTTGTCTAGTACCCCATTAAATAAGCTCTGCTAAGTTTGGGACTAGATGGCGCTGTTTGAATTGAACTCGTTACATATTTTATTACTATTAATTTAATAATTAATGCAGTTTGATTATTAAATTGTATGTGGTCACTTAAAAAAGAGGTGTATTTGAAAGAAGAAGGTAGTGTGGTCTGAGTAGAAACTCGGTACTATCTTCTGTTAAAAGAGAATCTGGGCATGCAGCTCTTTTGGGATTGGAATAATGATGAGTATATTCAATTATAAATATTTGAATCTTCATTTTGTTTTTAATTATTTGATTTATTGATATGTCAAATTTAAGATTCACTAGTTTTTTTTTATATTTTAAACTAGCTGTACCCGTGACTTCGTCTGCGTGGAATTTAACAAATAAGTTAATTAGAGAACTCTTCTAAAATAAAAGTTACTCCTTATTACATCAGGTACCTGCGAAAAAAAGTCCCGTCAGAATCCGTCCAGCCATTTCAGAGATTAGCCGGAACAAACAGACAGACAGACAAAAATTGTTAAATTTCGTGTATGTACCGTATTTATATTCATAGGCATGTAGTAAAAAACGATTATTTCTATATTACAAACAGATACTCCAATTTTATTTATATGTATAGATGTGCAAGATATCTTATCAATCTGTCTTTGTATCAGTTTATTAATAAAAATTGTATATTGCATATATAACGCATTATTTATTGTAAAAAAACTAAATATTTTTTATAAAAAAAAAAAAATGTAAAATACATTATAATTATATTGTACACAGTGTGATAATAAATATAATTGCATAAATAGTATTGTAATCGTGCAGTTTTCCAAATTAACTTAGGCGCAGAGTAATAATGAAACAAGTTCCCAAGCTTAATTATTTACACTATTCAAGACAAAGAAACGATTGTAACACTTACAGGATATAATGATTTGATCTCATCTCAGCACAATTCACACAGCGCCATCTAGACCCAAGTTAAGCTAGCTAAAGCTTGTGTTATGGGTACTATACTAATGCTTTATGTATTAAAATATATAAAAAAATAAATAAAACTAGGCAATTAACACAGCGTCATCTAGTTCCATGGTAAGCAGAGCTTGCGTTATGGGTACTAGACAACTGATATAAATACTTCGATATATTTTTTTAAACATACATAATATACATAGAAAACACTTAGACCGATACAAACCATCATACGCAAGAATACAAATGTTTGTACCCCAGGAATCGAACCCGTGATCATCGAAAATAAAGTATACTGAACCGCTACACCACTGAGACCGCCGAATATATAGATTACTAGCTACCCACCCCGGCTTCACACGGGTGTACATGTATTATACCTTATATAACCTTTATAACCGTATATAACCTTTCTCTAGAATCACTCTATCTATTAAAAAACCGCTTCAATATCCGTTGCGTAGTTGTAAAGATTTAAGCATACATAGAGACAGACAGCGACAGCGACTTTGTTTTATACTATGTAATGATAATAATAAAGTGAACTTACAAGAAGCTTCATGTTGTTAGTGAACAGTGAACTGCAGGACAGGCGACCACTATACTAACTGCATATCGCTGCTTCATCCTTATATATCAACTCATTACCGCATCAATAGTGACTTCTATATGACGCAGAATAAAGAATGAGGCTTTCGACACCAGTGCACTAATATTAGTATACTGCTCAAGATTCATATATATTTCGTGTGTTAGAGTTACACTGTGGTTAACAAGGCTCTCCCACTTCGTATGAGTCACGTCCAAATATTCATTATTGTTATTTATTTAATATTAAAATTTATGATTAACTTAGTTGCACAATATATCGACGGATTTTATTGTAAACTAGCACACGCCACTCCGTCCGTGTGGAATTTAACTTTATTTTTCTAAAATAAAAGTAGCCTAAGTTACTTCTTATTACATCAGCTACCTGCCAATAAAAGTCCCGTCAAAATCGGTAGAGCCATTTCAGAGATTAGCCGGAACAAATAGAGACACAGACAAAAATTGTAAAGAAAAATATTTTGGTGTATGTACCGTATTTATATTAATATGCATGCAGTAAATAATGTTTATTTCAATATTACAAATAGACACTCCAGTTTTATTTATATGTATAGATAATTACTTGTTCACGTGACATTTGGGTAGTGATTTCATACATGTAATAAAATGCCACTGTTTTTAAAAAATTAACTCACTATAGTTTGGGTTTTAATCTCGGAGACAAAATTGACAGGTGTAAATGTCAAATTTTCATATAATGTTACGATTACGACCTCTAGCGGGATAGTGATGCGGATGAGTGGCCACGCGTCTTCTGGATGCAGGACGTAAAGTCCGGTTTTTAATCCAGGAGACTAACTGACAGGTGTAAATGTCAACTTTTCAAATAATATTACCATCTATAGCGGAGTAGTGGTGTACCTGCGATACCGATTTGTTTAATCGGAAACTTTTATTTTAACATATTAGTTTTAAAGCTTTACATGACGTTTCCACAACAGCATTTAAAATGTACATACATCTACTAGTGTTTCCATTACTGTCGTCGTATTATACAACATAAAAATACATTTTTGTCGTTCCCGTACAAATAGTAATTTTTACTGTATTAAGCTACAAACCAACATTTTTTTTCTTTCAAACAGCAAAATATTTTAAATAGGCGTTTGTTTTACGACATAAAATAGGTCATTTGTTTATAAAAAAGGCAGTCAGTCTATATTTTAGTGAAAACTAAAAAAATCAATTTTGATACAACAATAATATATTTATGAATACCTATACTTTGTTAATTTTGTGTTAATGTGTTTTATATAAACACACACATTATTACGGTATAACCTATTAAAACGGGTAATTAATATTAATTTCCGGTAGTGCCACAACCCTATTTAACCAAAAATCTGGCAACATCGTAAACGTCAAATTTGTCTCCTGGATTAAAAAACGGCTGTTTTTGTGTGACATAGGTAATAATAATAAAAGCACAGATAACATAATATATGATAATAGTAACCCTGGACAATCCACATAGGGCTATCCAGTCACAGAGCTTGTGTTATGGGTACTAGATTACTGATATATAATTATGTAGATACATTATCACATAAAATATTCGGAAATACCATTGCAGGAAGGTGATTCCACAATGCGGTTGTGCGTGGCAAAAAGTTTCTAAAAACTGCACTGTGGAGGACCGCCATTCATCCAGATGATCAGGATGGTGTTTTAGTTTCTGGGTGGTACGGTGGTGAAACTCAGCAGCTGGTATTAATCCGAACAATTCCTCAGAACACTCCCCGTGATATATGCGGTAGAAAATGCATAAAGATGCGATATCTCGACCTAAAGCCAGTGGGTCGAGTTTTTATTCCATATATACTAATATTATAAATATGGAAGTGCTGTTTGTCCGTATATTTGTTTTCTTTTCAGCTGAACGTATTTCCCTGAAATTTGGCGTGAAGATAGAGTGGTATATACTGAGACTGACAGCATTGATAGCACCAAGGTTTAGTGGTTTATTGCCTAGACATGGATAGAATAGTCGTGAGTTCGAGTCTGGCCAACACTTAGTTTTGCGTGTCAATGTGCATTTCTAAGTAACGTTAGGGGTTCAAACACTGAATATAAATCAATTAATTTAAAAGACCGAGGTAGGCTCACCCTCTGGGGCGGATCTATCTAAGGGCTTTTTGGGCTGTAGCCCAGGGCCCTGAGGATACAATAGGTCTACAGTCCTCACTGAAACGATATTTTAAATATATGTGTTAAAAAACCTATCATAAGGTTGGCAACCCTAAGATCAATCAACCCATGCATGTGTGCGTCTATAGAAAGAAACGGGGAATTTCTGGTCGCTTGTTTTTGGTCGGTGTATTTTTTAGTTGAATAATATAATTAGGTCCCTTAGTAGATTTAACCCAGGGCCCCACAAATTCACGATCCGCACCTGCTCATCCTCTTCTACGTTGATTTGAATATACCACTACTTGGTATATTCACATTAAAGTGTATCAAGAGGAAGAACAAAGGCTATATTACATCAAATAGCAGGCGAAATCACAGGCAATAGCTAGTCTAATGTATCACACTTGAATTAATTCCATTAATAAAAGTGTAGATGTCAGTATTTTAGTTGCCAGTTGCGACATATAACATAAATCAATTAGTTATGATAAATATCTTTCCATTAAGTAGTGACGTATTTGATTCACTGAATATATATCTTGAGATTAACTATTAAATGTTGATTAATAGGAATCCTATTTTAAAGCAATAATAGAATAGAAAATCATTTATTCAAATAAACATAATTTAAGTACTTTTGAATAGTCATAACATTTTTTTTAAACCTTGATACGACACGACTCCAATTCTGTCTTTAATTTGCTTGATGTAGCTGTGCCTCGGTCTTCCTCTCCCCCTCTTTCCTTCTATCTCTCCCTCAATAATTACTTTCATAAATTCATCGCGCCGTATCAAGTGCCCTAACATTTTTGCTCTTCTACTTTCTATAGCATTCAATATCTGCCTTTCTTCTTTCACCCTATGCAATAGAATAGAATAGAATAGAAAATCATTTATTCAAATAAACTTAATTTAAGCACTTTTGAATAGTCATAACATTTTTTTTATCTACCGCTCGTTCGGAAAGCTGTCTCATCACAAGAAGAACGAGCAAGAAACTTGTGTTGCTATTTTGAATAATCCTTGTAAGTTCACATTTTTCAAGTCGAAACGTGTGAATACAAACAACCAACTAGCACTAATTTAATTTAATAAATAAATAAATAACCCTGGAAAATTAACACAGTGCCGCGCCGTCTAGTCCCACGGTAAGCAGAACTTGTGTTATGGGTACTAAATTCAAATTCAAATTAAAAAATCATTTATTCTATTATATATCTATATTATAATTTTAATTTTATATATAGATCAAATTGAGAAGAACTGACAAGAAACTCAATTGAATTAGACAACTGATATAAATACTTAGATGGTATTTTTTTGTAAATACATGCATAATATACATAGAAAACACCCAGACTGATGCAAACAATGATACTCATGAATACAAATGTTTACACCGTCCGAGGAATCGAACCCGCGACCATCGGAAGTAAAGTGTTAGAGTACCTTTTTAATATAGACTCTATAGGCAACGGAACTGTGTTAAAGAGCTATATTCATATTACTAAAAACTTTACAGCTATTTACAAAATATAACATTATTATAACATAAATTTATTATTTATTTTTTATTTGTCAGCATTTTTGGCGCCAATGTTAGTTTACCTTTTTAATATAGACTCTATAGGCAACGGAACTGTGTTAAAGAGCTATATTCATATTACTAAAAACTTTACAGCGACTTAGAAAATATAACATGAATTTATTATTTATTTTTTATGTGTCAACATTTTTGGCGCCAAAGTTGGTTTAACTTTTTAATATAGACTCTACAGGCAAAGAAACTGTGTTAAAGCGCTATAATTACATTACAAAACATTTAACAGACTTTTCCGAATTATAACATTTTAATAACATGAATTTGTTAATAATGGGATATGTAACAAATGTTCATAGTGGAAGTTTCCATTCACAAACTGATTTCCCCATGTTTGCTTCTCAATGCAATTGTTATTTTTTGTGTAAATTAGTTGTACGTGAAATGTCCGTTAATGCTATATTGAGACTCTGAGAGCATTGATAGCGTCAAGGATTTGTGGTTTATTGCCTAGACGTGGCTAGAAAGGTCGCGAGTTCGAGTCTGGCCAACACTAATAAGTTTTGCGTGTCAATGTACATTTCTAAATAACGTTTGCATCCCAGCAAATCTACACATATAAATAAAATTGGAGTGTCTGTTTGTAATTTTGAAATAACCGTTTTTTATATAAATATGCATAATTTGCAGATGAATATAAATACGGTACATGCACCAAAATAACATTTTTATATCATCTAATTATAGCATGTAATATATATATTTTTAATTTAATACACAATTTCTTTTTAATACACAGCACTATATTTTGCTGTGACTGTACGGCTCAGAACGAACAGACATATATTATAGTCAAAATTCATTCTAAATAATATAAATTAATCAGAAGAAGAATTGAACTTACTACTATGTACAATCCCACGAATTTGTGTATGGCAACTCACAACAAAGCGCGTCCTTGTTTTTTATTTTCTTAGAATCCATAATCTTATGCTTATCTTCTCTTTATTGAAATTTATTACAATGCGGTTTTAGAAGCAAGGATACCGACTCGGTTTCTATTGTGGAGATATTTTAAAATTTAATATTCTATCAAATATCCATTTAGATGCAGTTAATATCATTGATTGATACATCTATGCATATGGTATACTAGCTGTACACGCGACTTCGTCCGCATGAAATTTAACTTTATTTTTCTAAAAGAAAAAAAAATCTAAAATAAATGTAGGTTACTCCTTATTACATCAGCTACCTGCCAATAAAAGTCCCGTCAAAATCGGTCCAGCATTTCAGAGATTAGCCGGAACAAACCGACAGACAGACAAAAATTGTAAAAAATGTAATTTTAGTGTGTGTACCGTATTATATTCATATGCATGTAGTAAAAAAATGTTATTTCAATATTTCAAACAGACACTCCAATTTTATTTATATGTATAGATGTTACTTTAGAAACACTATATATAACTAATTCATATGACTCCATTAATTTTATGCATCGATATAAAAGAAGCGAATGGGCTTCGAACTTTATAATGATTGCCCAACTTTTTGCACAATTATATGTTTATATATACATATAGTAGATATTAGCTGAAAGTAAAGTGTATAAAATAGCTATAAAAATAGGGGTTGGTGGAAAGAAGGGTGAAAATGTTGTAAAACATGTACACCCGTGCAAAACCGGGGCGAGTAGCTAGTTCTATAGGCATTTAAACCTTCCTCTTGAATCACTCTATCTATTAAAAATCCATTGCGTAGTTTTAAAGATTTAAGCATACATACGGACGGACAGACAGCGACAGCGACTTTATATTATACTATGTAACTAGCTACTCATCCCGGCTTCGCACAGGTGTATTGTGTATGTTTATATATATGTATTATACATATAAACCTTCCTGTTGAATCACTCTATCTATTAAAGAAAACCGCTTCAAAATCCGTTGCGTAGTTTTAAAGATTTAAGCATACATAGAGACGGACAGACAGCGACAGCGACTTTTATACTATGTAATGATTAAAAAATATGAAGGAAACTTAATATACCCAACGCAATTTAGGAAGAACATAATGATGATTCGTTATTATCAATCCTACTTGTTACGAAACTACTCAGTCTATCTGTCTATAAATCGATTATGTATCTAAAAATAGAAATAGTATTTCTAAATATAAATAGACATTATCTATAATAGATTTATAATGTGGCAGCCGTGGGTGGAGGTCGTTGGGTCGAGCGGCGGGTGGCGGTCAACACTCGCCGCTGTTAATGAATTGAGTTTCAACTTCTTTCGTTAAACAAAAGATTTAAGTTATTTTTAAATAAAAAAATCATACTGCAATAAAAAAATAAAGATCTCTTCCGATGTGAATAGAAATAGAAATAATCTTTATTCAAATAAACTCATTACAAGCACTTTTGAATAGTCATATTTTGATTCTACCACTCATTCGGAATGCAGATTCATCACAAGAAGAATGAGCAAGAAACTTGTGTGTTGCTCTTTTTAATAGATGTTTTTTTTTTATATAAATAATTACAGTATAACAAATAAGAGGCATGCGATAATTCTCTGAGAATCTGATACATTTAATTATTTATTTTAAAATAAGCTAACGGTTATACTTTAATTCAAAATTCAAAAATAATTTATTCATGTCAATTTGGTCAACTTATGAAAGTCCGTTGGTATATAGATCCAATTGAGAAGAACTGGCAAGAAACTCAATTTAATTTATTGCGTAACTAAACTTAAAAAAACCTAACCTAACATATTTAATTTTGAGGCGGAACGGAGTTCGCAGAGTCAGCTAGTAAAAGTATATAATAATGTCGCATTTTATCGATAGTCGCGGCTTTCATCTCTGCACAATGCTAACATGTGTTCATAAATTTAAATGTTGTCATCAGTAATTATGTATTAAGTTCAAATTATATTAAGAATACTGCAGATGATTGTTCAGAAATAACAGCAAATATCATAAATGTAAAAGAACAACAATAACAAATAGGTATGTATAAGTTTATTCTAGAAACCTCTATATTGAACTCGTACTAAAATTATAAGTAATTACATTCACAATCGAAGAGTGGTAATGACCTTTTCGCCTCTTAATAAATAATAACCATGTTTGTGAGCGATTTAGTGACCCGAGACCTCAATAGTCGAATACGACGGACGATGTCACGCCGTACGCCGAACACCATGCTATGGAGAACGCAGCAGGGTTGACACTGCATTTTTTTTTTACTTATTATGCATAGATAATATGGAACACACTACCTAGATGCATCAAAATCTTATATATAAAATTCTCGTGTCACAGTTTTCGTTCCCATACTCCTCCGAAACGGCTTGACCGATTCTCATGAAATTTTGTGAGCGTATTGAGTAGGTCTGAGATTCGGCCAACATCTATTTTTCATCCCCCTAAATGTTAGGGGTAGTCCACCCCTAATTTTTTTTTATTTTAAGGCAAAACAACGTTTGCCGGGACAGCTAGTATATATATAAATATTGCATTTAATAATGGCTATTCAAATTAAATTATATTCAAAATATCTTTATTCATGTAGGTCTATTACAGACTCTTATGATATGTCAAATATACAATCAGTTCGGAATGATATCGAGATGAGAAGAACTGACAAGACTCAGTTCGTTTTTTTTTAATAAATGTTGTACATGTTTACAATAATACAGACTCATTTTTAAATTAAAATTTCGGAGAAGCGTGACTACCTTCATATGCTATTGCAAAAAACAAAAAATCTAATCAGTTTTTGCAACCTGAACAGACTAGTAGGACAAATCCAATATTGTGTACTAAGCACTGCCGTGTCTAAACTGTGTCACTTCACTTTACATTTTCCTATTGTCATTTAGTATATAAGATCAATATATTTATGTACATATTGTCAGTCTATTATCATCTATAATATACATCGTCTCTACCAACAACATAGTATTATTACCCCTCAAAAGCTTAAGTTATGGGTATTAGATAACTGATACAAATATATAGAAATATTTTTTTTCATACATTTCATTCTAAATACATACATAGTATACATAGACGACGACCCAGACGACGTGGATGAGAGGACTATGGGTATTATATAGACTTTTTCCTGTTTCCAAATTCTCGTTAGTGCTTTCTTTATCTCTGCATATTCGTTTATTTTTTCAGGAATTGTCTTCTGGAGATTATGGGTATTAGAAACTGCAATGTCTATCAGATAAGTTTTTTCATTTACTATATCCTGTAGTAGAATAGAATGGCATAGAAAATCATTTATTCAAATAAACTTAATTTAAACATTTTTGAATGTACAACAATTTTTTTTAAATCTACCGCTTATCCGGAAAGCTGTCTCATCACAAGAAGAATAAGCAAGAAACTTGTGTGTTGCTCATTTAAACAATCCTTGTAAGTTCACATTTTACAAGTCGAAACGTGTGAATACAAACTACCTCATTTATTATACTCATTTATTTAGGCTCAAATATAAAAACACAATAAGATTAAATCAGTCGTAGTGATAAAAGCAGCACTCGTTCACGAGTATGACGGATGAATAGTTATTATTATTATTATTGTTTTTATATATATATATATATATATTATATATCTCCCTTTGATGGGCTGTTAAACATGTCATTGCGGGTGAATATCACCGAACATTGACAATTATAAAAGAAATTATTATTATTATTATACAAGATAGTGATTTTTGACATTGGCAACCCTAGCTCTTGTGGTTCTAAACATATGTATCTCCAGCGTGCTTTCGTAATACCAGTGGATGCGGATCTTTAGCATTTTTATGCATCATAAATTACCCTATACTTGTTTATATCTGTTGGAGTCCATCTAGTTGTCTTGCGGTCAGATGTACGCAACACATGCTCCTATTTGGATGGCAAGGTCGAGTGTTATGTCAGAAGTGTTAAACCTTGGACCTTTAGTGACCCAAACTCGAATTAACTCTAACAAAATATAGTTAATCTCATTATTAATACTAGCTGTACACGCGACTTCGTCCGCGTGGAATTTAACTTTATTTTTCTAAAATAAAAGTAGCCTAAGTTACTCATTATTACATCAGCTACCTGCCAAAACAAGTCCCGTCATAATCGGTCCAGCCATTTCTGAGATTAGCCGGAACAAACAGACAGTTAGACAGACAGAAAAAAATTGTAAAAAATGTTATTTCGGTGTATGTACCGTATTTATATTCATAGGCATGTAGTAAAAAACTGTTATTTCAATATTTGTAATATTGAACACACTCAGACACTCCAATTTTATTTACATGTATAGATTCGTGTGTATGTACGTCACAATTTTTCTTCTTTAAGTCTTCTTCTCCTTTAGTTTAAATGGCTGTCACAATTTTGATGGGTGATCTTGCGAACGTTATGGTTTGAGAGTCACAGTGTAACTTTATATTGGCTTGGTTCAGTTTCCTCAATAAATTTTGACACACTTTTAGTCAAACCGATAACAGTGTGTCCTCCCTCGGTATTAACTTTCGTAACATCGCATGTTAACTTATCTATACATCTATACATATAAATAAAGTTGGAGTGTCTGTTTGTAATATTGAAATAACCGTTTTTACTACGTACATATGAATATAAATACGGTACATACACCGAAATAACATTTTTTACAATGTTTGTCTGTCTGGCTGTTTGTTCCAGCTAATTACTGAAATGGCTGGACCGATTTTAATGGGACTTTTATTTGTAGCTGATATAATAAGAAGTCTATTTAGGCTACTTTTATTTTAGAAAAAATAAAGTTAAATTCCACGCGGACGAAGTCGCGGGTACAGCTAGTAATGAATATAAATAGGTCCATAATAAGTTCTTGAAAAATTTTAACTTATATATTATAGTTATTTACTATTATATTATGATAATTTATACAATGGTTTTTTAATATTTATATATCTATCGATAACATTGGCATTAAAAATATACAGTTTCAATGTTTGATATGGACACAGACGCCGTGGGATCCGTTCCACCGCACTGCGCTGATACATACTAATTGCGACCTTCAAACTATACGAATATGGATTTATTTGAAGTACAATGTTCAAGATAACCATCAACATTGTTGAGTGAAACAATACCTTCTGTGTTTTAAACTTTAATTTTATTTGGTTCAAACAATAACACGAGCATTTACCAACCAGCGGCGTATCTGGGTGCAGACACGTATTTCGTTATCGGTGCTGCTCTTATGATGGTAGCGGCGGGCAGCAGTGGGGCTGAATGCACGTGAGAGCTGAGCAGGGGAGCGTGGAGGCTGGAACTGAGCAATGGAGCCGACAGCAGGGGGGCTGAGAGGGAACTGTGCGCGAGGGGCAGAGGCTCGTGGATGTGAGAGCTCAACAGGGGAGCGTGGAGAGAGGGGGAGCTTATAAGGGGGCCGTGGAGAGAGTGGGAGCTCAATAGGGGGGCATTGAGAGAGTGGGAGCTTAATAGGGGGGCATGGAGAGAGTGGGAGCTTACTAGAGGTGCGTGCAGGGAGTGGGAGCTCAACAATGGGGCAGCTTGTAGAGAGTGGGTGCTCAGAAGAGGAGCGGTGTGGAGTGGTGCATGTGAGCTGATTAGAGGTTGTCCAAGGAGACCGCGCTTCTCTCGGACCTGTTGTGACGCGCTCGCCACCGCTACCACAGCCAAGGTCACAATCTGTATAATGACATAATATTAATATTAGTTGATTCGACTCTCATGAACATTTCTAAATGTGGAGTAAATTTCTAACCTTGTCCGTGTTAAAAATTTAAAAGATTTTCGTTTTGTCCCAATTTGGTTAAGAACAACAGTTACTAATATAAATATATAATAATAAGTAATAAAACTTGTGAAAAATGATTAGTAAAATAAATATTATTACTGAGTACGTATGATTTTATTTAAAAAGACTGTACATTATATACAAAAATAAAATTATAACTGGCAGCCTATAAATATGTGTTGCCAGGCTTAAAACATAATAATAAAGAAGTTAAAAAAGAAGTAATTTTAACAGAGGTTATCGAGACTGTTGCGAACTTTTTTATATATTTATTTTTATACCAATTTTAAATGTATTTTCTTTTAGAATTGTCACATATTTTTATTATAGTGTTGTAAAAGTGATTTTACAACCATTTGTACTGGTATTTTCATTATAAGTATTTACCATTTTATATCCATTGTTTGATTTACATCGCACATACAGTCCACTCATTCTATCGCCTACAGAGACATTGTATGTTTATTAACTAAAAATAATTGAAATACTATTAACAATCCCTCATCTCCTAGGATTTAATAAAGACAGACAGATAGTTTATATAAAGTTATTAATAAATACAGATTTGCCACAATAAGAAACAAATAATATAATTTATGAAAAAAGAAAAACAGCACGCCACTACACTTGTGTTGTGTGTATAAAAAGTGGGCGTGTAAGTATTTTGTTTAGGATCCTTTGACCTTTATAATTGAAACCGTATCATCTAATTGTAATAAATACTCTTATATTACTTTAACATTCAATTTTATGTAATTCAACGTGAGGAGTAGTCGATCGGTTTATCATTAAACGTAACGAGATGTTCTGACTACACAACTCGACTATAAACATTGAATTTAATACAGACATCAACGGAATGTACTCACTTATACCAGTTATGGTTGCCAATCTATTCATCTATACATATAAATAAAATTGGAGTGTCTGTTTGTAATATTGAAATAACCGTTTTTTACTACATGCATATGAATATAAATAAGGGACATACACCGAAATAATATTTTTAAAAATGTTTGTCTGACTGTTTGATCCGGCTAATCTCTGAAATGGGTGGACCGATTTTGACGGGACTTTTTTTGGCGAGTAGCTGATATAATAAGGAACAACTTAGGCTACTTTTATTTAAGAAAAATAAAGGAAAATTCCACGCGGAGGAATCGCATGTACCTAATAAAATATTTCTTAAGATTCTCGTATTTTGATAACTTGTGACCTGTTTATTTTGAAGTTAAATAATTAATAATATTGAGGTTTATAATATCTTAACTACCCTAATTTACAAATTCAATTTTCCCACATGCAACAACATTAAGTAATTATTTAAATTTATAACTAACACTCTGGTTATGAACCATATAATAAACACCGTTAGTTAATCAAACTAATATGTACTTGAAGGGAGAAGGACTACGAAGGTGTCTGCTTGAAGGTGGACTAATGTACCCATTGCTAGCAATGTCCCATGTTGAATTGACTTCCACGCGGTTCCCTCTTCATACCATGGTTATGAATTCCTGGTGAATTTGCCACGACGAACTCATTCACCTGACTTCATGCTTATCCTATCACCACTGGTACTGCGCCAGCGTAAACCATTAGCGCAAGCGGGTGCACCATTCCATTATCATCCATAAAAAAAACAGGGACTTGTGACGGCGCGGCAGGTTGGCTCGCTGATAGCGCTACCGAATTAGTTTCAGGGATGTGACAGTATATCAGTTTCAAATTCAAATTCAAAATATCTTTATTCATGTAGGTCTATTACAGACTTATATGATATGTCAAATCTACCGGAATGATTTCGAGATAAGAAGAACTGACAAGAAACTCAGCTCGTATTCTTTTCAAATAAATGTTGTGCATGTTTACAATAATACAGATTAAATTTTAATTTAAATTTGGGAGATGGTATGTTTACCACTAGGATACGTCGCGCTACTCATACCTCATCTGAGATTACGGTCGTAGCGATACGTATATATTGTTACTGATAACTCCTGAACTAAATTGCTTCATAAATACATTCGCAACATTATCAGTTTCATTACGGTAGCAAACTTACAAAATTCAGGTCCTAATCAAGATCACCACCTTCTGTTATGACCTCACCGACACAACACGAGCTCGCAGCATCAGATAACCAATCTCGAATGCTCAAAAACGAAGAGAAGGAAGGTAGTTGTTAATAATGTGGACCGATGACCCCATTACTTTACTTTTTTTATATTTTTCATGGATGATAATGGAATGGTGCACCCGCCTGCGCTAACGGTTTACGCTGACGGGGCACCAGTAGAGGATGATAAGGTGAACATCAGGTCAGGGCAGTTTGACCATCGTGATTAAATAACCAGGACTTAACCATGATGGTTTCCAGGAGGAACCGCGTGGACCTGATATGGTACATTGCTAGTATTGGAGTCAGGGGTAAGAGAATTGTTAGTAATGGGGTTAGTGTCCCAAATGCTAGCAATGTACCATGTCAAGTTGACCTTCACGTGGACCTGGAAACCATCTTGATAAATTACTAGTGAATTTACCATAATGGGCTAACTGACGTGACCTCATGCTCATTTTATCATACTCCACTTTTTTTTTCGGACTACTCTAAAGCTGTTGGCCGCAGCTGGCCTTTACAGCTTCACCGGACGATAGGGGGCGAGTGCAGATGGCACTCCAAACCAAAGGAAGGACTTATGGAGGATACGACTTTCGTCTGAGGGCACCGCTAGGGGTTCGAAATTCGGCTCAGGCCATCGTAACATCGGTCCTCGTTGGAATTGGACGGGGGATCGATCGGAGACAGTATCATCAGTTATCAGAAAAGAAACCTATGTCAGCCAAAAAGCTTTTACTGGTGTCCCGCCAGCGTAAACCGACAGCGCAGGCAGTTGAACCATAAAAAAATAGATCATAAATTTGCACTTCTTAAACTTTATAAAATGTGAACAGTTATAAAATACTTACGAAGAATTTCATGTTATTTTCGTTGATATGTGAATCGGTGCTGGTACGACCCGTGGATGCTGCGGAGATATTGCGATGGACCATAACATCGATCCCATTTATACCACATTGATTAATTAAAAAAGGTGCAGTTACGTAATCCCGTCCCTCAGATGTACTCTGTGATGATCACAATGTACCACATCAAACTGGTAATGTTAAGAAACACATTGTGACATATCATAAACTCATAAGTACGTTTATGGACCAATGTTAAATGATACTTACTGTTCTCATTTGCATTTTCAAATAATTTTTGGACGCGTCAGTAAAGTTATGATGAAAGACAACCCAGAGAGACAACCTCGATCTGTTTCTGAATGTGTTATAAAAATAACAGTTGATAAATCATTGTTAAAACTAGTGGTCGCTCAGTGATCGAAATTCGACAAAAATTTATTTCAATCACAAGTTTCAACGTTATTAGCACATCGAAGACCGCATTGAAAAATCTTATTTCTCACATAGGGACCAGTATTTTTTAATCTTTACTACCTTCCCTGGCTTCACCCGGATGTACATGTATTATACATATAAACCTTCCTCTTGAATCACTCTATCTATTAAAAACCGCTTCAAAATCCGTTGCGTAGTTTTAAAGATTTAAGCATACATAAGGACAGACAGCGACAGCGATTTTGTGTTATACTATGTAATGATATATTGTTATCTAATTTAAATTGTATTTTCACTAATGGTAAGTTTAGTATTTATGTACAGTTGTAATCAGTTTACCTGTACAGGTATACATTTTTAAAGTCCAATATATTATATTATATTAATATTTAATTCAGGTATAATTATATTATTTAAATTTTGATGGTCCGATATTTTAATATTTATTATTATATTGACGACCTCGGTGGTCTAGCGGTTTAGCACACCGCTTTACGACCGATGGTCGCGGGTTCGATTCCTCGCACGGCACAAACAATTGTATTCATGAGTGCGATTGTTTGTATCGGTCTGGGTGTTTTCTATGTATAATATGTATGTATTTACAAAAAAATATATCTATGTATATGTATCAGTTATCTAGTACTCATAACACAAGCTTTAGCTTGCTTAACTTGGGTCTAGATGGCGCTGTGTGAATTGAGATTATTATTATTATTATATAAATATTTAATTCAAGTATAATCATATTATTTCATATATATATTAAACATTTAAGAAATAATTAACTAAATAAAATTAAAACTACAATGCAGTAGATATAGTGCGCTCGTTGATGTCTTTTCAAGCGCTACCCGTTTCTACACTCCCAATAAAGAAAAATTTGTCTTTGTATCCAGTCATATTTACTATTAGCTGAACCCGCGACTTCGTCCACGTGGAATTTAACTTTATTTTTCTAAAATAAAAGTAGACTAAGTTACTCCTTATTACATTAGCAACCTGCCAATAAAAGTCCCGTCAAAATCGGTCCAGCCATTTCAGAGATTAGCCGGAACAAACAGGCAGACAGAAATAGGGGATGAAACTTTGTCAATTTTAAACTGATAGGGCTGAGCCTTTGCATGCATAAAGCTACCATGACGTAGGCATCCCCTAAGAAAGGATTTTGATAAATTCCACCCCTAAGGGGATAAATTAAGCGAAAGCTAGTATGAAATAAACATAAAACTAATCACTATCAATTACAAAAAGAATCATTAAATTTTAAGTGTTAGTTAGTTTATATAATATTGCCTTTCATTTTAAGCGATTTGTATATGTCTGTATGTTATTTCTCAAGAAACGCCTGACAGAATCCTAACAATTATTTCTCATTAATGGAAGTTTGCCTACACGTACAATGAAAGCAATTAAAACTGAATTATTACTAATAACTGTTGCCCTCGTATCATATTTTACGTTTGTAATATTTGACTACAGTCTATGTATAAAAAAAAATAAAAAAAAAGGAGCTGGATGGACTGTGTGAAAGATGATATGATAAGAAAAGGTGTAAATAACGAGATGACTGAGAGCAGGGATGAATGGAAGAGAAAAACATATTACGACGACCACAAATAAATGGGATAAAGATGAAGCAGATGACGATGAGTTTGTGGGGTCGGTAGTAATAGTAATGTAAATAAAAGAGACCCTCAACTAATGATAAAATGTATATTAGGGAATTTTATAGAATTGAAATATGGAACGTGTCTGTGTTGTCTGTAAGCGGCCAGTTGTCATGAAAAGAGGTAATAATGTGAAATGATTATAATACAAATATATACAGTACACCATAAGTTTGTGCATCTAATTCAGGTAAGGTTTCTACGGTACTCATTTAAACTCATTTATTCTTGTAGGACCTTTTGATCTCTTGTGCATGTCATATCTGTTATCACTATCATCCCTACCGTCCAGTTCTCGTAGCTACTTAAGTCGAGAAGAAGGCAAGAAACACAACTGGTATATTGTGTACTTGGCATGTATTATTCTTGATTGTTTTCTTAAAGAACAAATTTAATTAGAATTATTTGTAGTTCTATTTTTATATTAATGTTTTAAAACTTTCTTTTTAAAACACATATGTGGTGATTGGAAACCTTAACTTTTTATTTAGATATTTTTTTATTCTGTAACATGGCAACATTTTTCTCTATTTGCAACGGAACGGCGATGTGAATGCAGGAATATACAAGCCTTCTATAAATTTCATTGTTTTTATTAATAAAACCTTAACGATAGTTCATAAACTAACATGAATAAAACATATAATGGTGTTATATATGGAAGAGCGGGATGCAGGACAGTTTATTATTATAATTTAATTATTTTTTAAGGAAAATCATCATCATCATCATCATCGCAGCCCGGAAGACGTCCACAGCTGGACAAAGGCCTCACCCAAAGATCTCCACGACGATCGGTCCTGCGCTGCTCGCAACCAATGCCTTCCAGCGATCTTGAACGGCCATCTGTCCCACGAGCTATGTGCTCTGCCCATTTGAAAGAAATAAACATCCGTCGACTATTAGTTATTAATTTAATTTACTAATCAAATTTCTTTCAGTGTATATAATGTTTTTTTTTTTTTATAGCACAGGGGACAAACGAGCTTGCGGCTCACCTGATGGTAAGTGATTACCGCCGCCCATGAGCACTCGCAACACCAGGGGAATTGCAAGTACGTTGTCGGCCTTTTAAAAAGGAATAAGCTCTTTTCTTGAAGGTTTCAATATCGTATCGGTTCTGAAATATTTTCCACAATGTGCGAGACAAAAAAAATTGTTTAATTAAAATTATTTGTTTAATTTTTATTAGTCTTTTTAATTGTTACAAAATTTTGTTGGAAGATTTCATTAACAAATCTTAATCTTAATAATATTATAGGAAAGTGAAAGTTTCTTACTCTTCCACGCTAAAACTACTTAACGGATTTTGATGAAACTTTACAGTATTATAGCTTATACACCAGAATAATATACAGGCTATATTTTTCATTGAAATTTAACGCGTCTGAAACCGCAGACACAGCTAGTAAATATTATGTATTTAATCCAATCTAATAACATACAATAAAAAAACAACGTTATGGGTAATAATTATTACAAACGCCACATCGAGACAGTGTTAAGATACTGGCAGCCCTTTACAGTCAAGTACCCAGGGGCGGATCTACCTAAGGGCATTTTGGGGTGCAACCCAGGGCCCCAAAGGTACAAATCGCCTCAGTGCCCACTAAAACGATATTTAGAATATAAAAAAATATCTAATAGAATGTTAAAAAACGTATCATAACGTTGGCAACCTTGAGATCAATCAACCCACGCAAGTGCGCGTCTATCGAAAGGAACGGGGAATTTCTTTCGCTTCTTTTTATCGGTGTATACTTTTAGTTGAGTAATATACTTAGGTAGGCTCCTAAGTAGATTTAGCCCAGGGCCCCACAAATTCACGATCCGCCCCTGCAAGGACCTAATTAATACCTTTAGGTATATATATCTAATATCAATGAGAGCAACATAACACATACTCGTATGTAGCATATGTCAGTCGAGAGCTGGTTGCATTATATAAGGTGCAGGTGTACTCGCAAGTAGATACGGTATCAAATGTTGTTCCCATACTGTATCGAGTTATGTCCACTAAATGTAGTTCATAGTTTACTATATACTGCAGTCCGTACAAGTATATAGTTTATTAGCTGTGCCGCAGTTTCACCCGTTATATCTTATATATAAAATTCTCGTGTCAAAATGTTAGTTATCGGAGTATGGTATCCCAAACGGCTTGATCGATTTTTATGAAATTTTATATGCATATTCAGTAGGTCTGGGAATCGATTACTATCTATTTTTCATACCCCTAAGTGATAAGGGATATCCACCCCTAAATATGTTTTTTTTTCGACATAATATTTTATTTTCATTTTATTGTTATTTAGAATTAGAAAATACATACAACCCTAAATTTTTACCCTTCCAGCACCCCCTATTTGTTATTAGCCTATGTGTTATTGATCTATCCTATATCCTATTGCTGATGCATAATCTATATTACTGTAAAGTTTCATCTAAATCCGTTCAGTAGTTTTGCGTGAAAGAGAAACAAACATCCACCCATCCGTCCATACTCACAAAGTTTCGCGTTTGTAATATTATTTTATTCTATCGTTTGAGGTTGAGAGAAATAGAAATAATTTTTATTCAAATAAACTCAATACAAATAACACTTTTGAATAGTCATATTTTTTTTATTCTACCACTCATTCGGAATGTAATTGGGCGAAAACGAAAGGTCATTGGGCTCTCTAAAATATGGTCGAGCGCAGTGATGGCTGGCTCATCCGTCATACTCGTGAACGAATGCTGTTTGTAGGGACGAATGCTGTTTGTAGGGGACTGGTCTGCTCTTATCACTACGACTGATTTAATCATATTGTATATTTATATTTGACCCAAAAAAATTAGTGCTGGTTGGTAGTTTGTATTCACACGTTTCGACTTGTACATGTAAACTTACAAGGATTATTTAAAAAACTGGAATTATATATCTATTTTAATAGCAAATTTAAGTATTTATTTATCAGCGTATAAAACAGATTACAATAAATATAATAATTTAACTAGGAGCGTGTAGTTCAGTATAAAACTGGATTGTAATCCAACACTATGTATGCCCAAGATCTATATTATCACATCCTATGTGGTTGTAGCCCACTCATGCATAAACGAAATATCTCCTTTGGAAAGTTTACACTCTTTCCCGAGGAGATAAAAACGATCGCTCCTAAGAATATCCTTCAATTCTTGTCCCTGACGGGTCTAGGTAGCGAACTCTGAAAAGGGCGAGCACAATAGATCTATGTAGGTCGCAGTGCTACAGGTGCTACAAACATCTGACAATAGCCCAAACAACCCAATAAAAAAAAAAAGATCTATATTATATATATTATATATCTATATTATATATAGACGCATTCAATATACGCTAGATGGAGCTAGGTAATTTGATAGATAACTTATACTATGTAATATTATATTATCTGTGCTTATACGAAACAGGTAGAGACCGAATGTAATAAACTGGTGTGACAGTAATTAATAATAATTATGTTACCTGATGGCGGTGTTGTAACCGCGAGATGTCGCCATGTGTAGAGGTCGCAGTGGTCCCGCTGTTTTTTTCGAAATCTGTTACCCCTCCATTGTTAACATCAACATACTTGAAGTGAAAATGACCTCTAGACGTTGCTTTTAATTACTTATCTGTACGTACGTATATAATCGACGTAAACTGTTACACTTGTATGTATATAGGAGAGACGTATGAATATATGATAATATATAAGGGACACATATTCAATTCAAATTCAAATTCAAAATATCTTTATTCAAGTATGTCTATTACAAACTCTTATTTGTCAAATCTACCGTCAGTTCGGAATGATTTCGAGGTGAGAAGAACTGACAAGAAACTCAGCTCGTATTTTTTTTTAATGTTGTACATATTTACAATAATACCATTTCATTTAAATAACATATATAGTCTAATATTGTAGTCTATACATATAAATAAAATTGAAGTGTCTGCTTCTAGATAATATTGAAATAACAGTTTTTTATTAATACAAATAAGGTACATACACCAAAATAACATTTTTTACAATTTTTGTCTGTCTGTCTGTTTCCGGCTAATCTCTGAAATGGCTGGACCGATTTTGACGGGACTTTTCTTGACAGTTAATGTAATAAGGAGTAACTTAGGCTCCTTTGATTTTAGAAAAATAAAGTTAAATTCCACGCGGACGAAGTCGCGGGAACATATACTATATAAATACACAAACTAAACAATCTGACAGTCAAACAACAGAAAATCAAAATATAGGGTAAAGAGAAATGAGAGAAAAATAAATAGCTTACAAATTTAGATAGCAGTCCCACAGTTTACGTTTAAAAGAAAATCTACGCGTGGCGGTCTTTTTTTTTTTTTATGGATGATAATGCTATGATGTTCCCGCCTGCGCTAACGGCTTACGCTGGCGGGGCACCAGTGGAGGATGATAAGATTAGCATGAGGTCAGGTCAGTTAGCACATCGTGACAAATTCACCAAGAATTTATCACGATGGTTTCCAGGGGGAACCGCGTGGAGATCAACCTGACACGGTACATTGCTAGCAATGGGGTCATGAGACCACATTACTAACAATCCCCTTCCCCCCCGCGTGGCGGTCTAGATTTTGTATTATTTAGATGTCTAGATATATATATATATAAAAGGTAGAGAGACTAATGGGAAAGACAGGGAAGATAGAGGGTAAAAGACCTCGAGGCCGAAGTCCCACTCGACCCCATCTAACATGTTATAATAGAAAAGAAATTTAATTGCTTTTTACAATAAGTCGCAGGGAACTACTCGCACATAACTCGTATATGAAGTAATTATATTTTTACTTCACGTTTGCGACATTTCTACAGAAAATTCTTGCAATGTGTCTAGCTTTTTAACTACACTATATTTGTTACGTTGACTAATACAGTCGCCCGTACTGGGTCCATGATCTTTATAAGGAAAACTATTTTATGGCATAACCATTTGGTTAAATGTAATGTAATTAACAGATACTATTATAGGTAACAGTATGTACCTTTTGTGTATATATACTACTAGCTGACCCGGCAAACGTTGTTTTACCATATAATAATAATAATAATCTCAGGACAATTCACACAGCGCCATCTAGTCCCAAGTTAAGCTAGCTAAAGCTTGTGTTATGGGTATGGTATAATTGTTTTCTTCTTTTTATTATAATTGAACATCTGGTCAATATTGCAAGTAATCTAAATAAATATTATAGTATGATTAATAATAAAATCTTATTTTAAGAGCGCAATATCGTGTGACCAGTGCCTCTCTAATTATAGATAACCGTTATCTGTGATAACGCTGATATCAAATAATTTCATACAATCATGTAGACCAGGGGTGAGCAACCTTTTTAATAATAATAATCTCAGGACAATTCACACAGCGCCATCTAGACCCAAGTTAAGCTAGCTGAAGCTTGTATTACGGGCACTAGATACCTGATACAAATATATAGATAATTTTTTTTTCGTAAATACATATTATACATAGAAAACACCCAGACCGATACAAACAATCATATTACGCATGAATACAAATATTTGTGCCGTACGGGGAGTCGAACCCGCAACTATCGGAAGTAAAGCAGTGTGCCTAGACTTCTAGACCACCGAGGCCGTCAAGAATTAATGTTTTGCTAGCTTATAACAGGAGTAAGTTACCAACATGGAGTGATCATATAAAACTAGCACTGGTCAATTTCTAACATCAGTAGGTAATCGTACCCATGTATAAAATGCTCGGATGATTTCATAACTATTTATATAGTTATTTTTTAATGTACCAATGATATAGTATGCAAAATTAAATATTATTTTAACATTTAAACAATAGTCAATAAAGTTTTATTTAATTTATTAGAATTTAAAAAGTGATATAACATTTGTGGTTGTTTAGGAACATTGCTTGAAGTTTAAACTGGGTCTATAAGTTTAAACTTCAAGCAGTGTTATGGACATAATTATGTACCTAACTCTTCAATTTAATGTACATAATAATAATAAAAAGATTATTATACTTTAAAAAGATAAAGATTCATATAACTCTCAAAATTAATGCACAATATAAATAATATATGGCCATGCTTTAAAACACTAAACATTCAATTAATTCCAGCTGTGAGTCAATCATAATCGCAGGGATCCATGCTGGACATAGGCGTCCCCCAAAGATCTTCTTGATTAAATTACTATTTATATTGTTTCCGATTTATTCTGTCCTACTATTAAAATTTAATTAAAATTATGAAAATTTATTACTATTAGAATTACTATGGGGCCCATAGTTGCGACCACGTCAGTTGTGAGTAATATAATAGGATTCATTCCAGTTGTGAGTGATATAATAGGATTCATTAACTAATGAATATTATATTACTCACAACTTTAATATATTTTGTATTGGTGAAATAGATTTTATTTGATAAATAGCAATTTACTCAGGAAGACAATGAATCCTATTATATCAGTCACAACTGGAATTAATTGAATATTTAGTGATTTGTATTGGTGAAATAGATTTTATTTGGTAAATAGTAATTTACTCAGGAAACTCAATTAATCCTATTATATTACTCACAACTGGAATTAATTGAATATTTAGTGATTAGAATAGATTTTATTTACAGTAAATTACTATTTACCAAATAAAATCTATTTCACCAATACAAATCACTATTTAAAAATACTACAAAATGTAGCGTTGTGTGGCAGCCTGCGACGGTGCGACGGTGCGACGGTGCGGTGGCGGTCAATACACGATCACCTTTCGCAATTTTCCGCTGCAAATATCAGTTTCCGCTTGCGACACTTGAAATGTAGGAGCGTGTTCTTTTAACTATATATAGGTAATTAGCAATTCTGACAACACTTTACCATATTAGGGTAAACATATAGGACTAGATGGACTTAGAACCTAATGAATTTAAATACAAAAAATGTGATAGAAATAAAAAATATTCTTTACGTAAAGAATAAAACAAAGTCGCTGTCGCTGTCTGTCCGTCCCTGTATGACGGCTCTTTGTAATAGTTCTATTGTAGAGGATCTGCAACGTGTCTAGGTGTTTGCTAAGACTTCTTGGTACAATTCCCTGGATGACAGAACTATGTGGATGGTGTGTGCTTTTCATTGTTTTTTTTAATTCTATTGCTAGATAACACATTGTTACTTTTTCATTGACGTTGCTTTGTATATTGTGTGTTTGGGATGGCTATATCTACAAGATATACTTTTTTGTTGATTTTGTCGTCTAATGTTATGTCGGGTCTATTGAGATATACGGTTTTGTCAGTAATTATTGTTCTAACCCAGTACAGTTTACAGTGATCATTTTCTAATACATTAATAGGGCTGTATTTGTAATATGGAACTTTACTTTCTATGGATTTATGTTTATGTGCTATATATTGATGTATAATTGTAGCAACTATTATTATTTTATTTTATATATATAACAATAATAATCTCGGGACAATTCACACAGCGCCATCTAGACCCAAGTTAAGCTAGCTAAAGCTTGTGTTATGGGTACTAGATAACTGATATATATAACTATATATATTATATATCTCCCTTTGATGGGGTAATAGACTTATCATTGCGGGTAAAAATCACCAAACAATGACAGTATAAATGATGAATGATGAGGATGGAGAATTTTTGAGCGGAAGACAAAAAATTGCGAACTATTCTACACGTGTTTAGTATTACAGCTTTTTGGAGAAGTATGAAAGTAAGTGGGTGAAGTTGTAATATCTTGAGGCTAGTGTGTAGGGATGGTGGTGGTTGGGATTACACCTGTGGACGAGATAATATTTGGGAGAGTTTTCACTGTTTCTACCTGCCATTATTATTATTATTAATATTAATAATGGCAGGTAGAAACAGTGTAATATTTTAAGTCGATATTTGTAACTTTGTATAAAATTCACCACTAGTCTAAACAAATTTACATGACTATATAATTATTGTCTTTAGTAAACTGTGTTTTATGTTGTTGGTGATATATTTATCTTTCATCTCATCATACATTGTATGTATATATAATATTGTATTACTGTTTGTTAGTTCAAAATAAATTTATAAGAAAAGTAAAAAACAATAATAATTTATAGTATATATTTATAGAACAATAGAACCGATAGCAACCTAATAATTTGGCACTAGATTTAACCAGACCTTACGGTCTTACAGCTTCAATGTAAGTAGCCGTGACCTAGACCGAGTAAAGGGGAGGCGTAGGGGCTGTGGCTGACGAGTGGAGCAGACAGCGGCGCCGCCAGCGGCACCCCGTGGAGTCCAGCCCCGTAGAGACCCCCTCCGTAGAGACCGTGGCCCAGTAGACCGTTGCCGTATATTCCATTATTGTATAACCCTAATCCGTGGCCGTAGTAGCCGCTGGAGACGAGCGGGGAGGAGATCGGCGCCCCCAGCCCGTACCCGAGGCCGAGCACGCCTCTCTTCTCGTTCTTCTTCTCTTCTGCGCCGTACACGACGGCGGACACCAGTAGTAGGACACACAGCTGCAACATCACATTGTATTATTGCTTTGTATGCGTGTGATTCGCAGACATTCGACATAGGGCTGGCAATAGAATGAAATAGAAATAATCTTTATTCAAATAAACTTATTACAAGCACTTTTGAATAGTTATATTTTTGATTTGGAATGCAGAATTCAGAATTCATCACAAGAAGAATGAGCAAGAAACTTGAGATGAATGAATGCATGAATGATGCAATGAAATTATTGCTACTTCTAGTATTTATGACAATTGTCTTTGGTCGAGTTTATCTGTAATGTTTGTAGTCTGGGATTATAACGTACTCTGTGCCATATATAGAAAGGGAGTCTGTATTGTTAAAAGTGATGAGACAAGTATCGTTTAGAAAAAGTTAGTAGTTCTTTTATGGGAATAGGTATAAAAATTTACAATAAGATACCAATGGAAATATTGGAATTACCCTTAAATAAATTCAAAACATCTGTTAAAGCATATTTACTGAGCAAAGCCTATAACTCACTAAACGATTACTTGAATGACGAGCGTGCATGGCAGTAGTTTTCATGCACGGGATTTTCATTTAATGTTAGACATAGACACCTATATAAATACCTATGCATTGTAAATAAACTGGCTTTTAAAAAAAAAGTAATTCAATTGAGTTTCTTGCCAGTTCTTCTCAATTGGATATATACCGAACTGGACGGTATAAAATTATAATGTAAAACTTCACGTTCTTAAGCGGCTAAAATGTCGTACATGAATAAATGATTTTTGAATTTGAATTTATATTTGACAAAACATGCTTCAATGTTTTATTTGAATAAATGTTTTTCTATTCTATTCTAAAAGACGGGAGTTGCCAAAATCAAACGTATAAATATTCACCCGTCAACTATAAAAATAAACCTGAACAGGTTTATAGCGGACTTGACATAGAAGATTTTACATTACAAAGTCAGTTTCGTGTAATTGCAATTTATTATAATCTATACATATAAATAAAATTGGAGTGTCTGTTTGAATATTGAAATAACTGTTTTTTACTACATGCATATGAATATAAATACGGTACATACACCAAAATAACATGTTTACAATTTTTGTCTGTCTGTCAGTATGTTCCGGCTAATCTCTGCAATGGACCTATTTTGACGGGACTTTCTTTGGCAGGTAACTGATGTAATAAGGTACTCCTTATAACAAAGTCAAAGAAAGTCCCTAAATTTTTAAAATTAAAGTAGCCTAAATTACTACGTAGGCTACTTCAATTTTAGAAGAAATCGTTTATTTTAGAAAAATAAAGTTAAATTCCACGCGGACAAAATCGCAGGTACAGCTAGTCTACAATACAAATTGGTAGTAGTGATTTTTATTGATTGATTGGTCCAATAATATTGATTATTATGAACCTAATTTTATTATCCTTTTTATAATCAACTAGCTGACACCGCCAACTCCGTTCCACCTCAAAATTAAATAAGTCAAAGTTTTTTTTAAGTTTAGTTACGCAATAAATTTCTGAACGCACTCTTTTTGACAGGTATAAGCCGTTTGTATTAGAAAATATTAACAAACAATTATTCTCTGCACCACCTATGGTTGACTGGTAGAAAATGCCGCGTGGTGTTAAGTCCGCCAAATGTACTATACTATATATTATATTGTGTGCATTAAAGTTAAATAAATAAATAAATAAAAATATAATTGTTGTTTTTACTATTTTAAATACAATTTCTTCATATTTTATAACCGTTTAAACCTTCCCTGGACTTTCATGAATAATTTAAGACTGAAATTAGCTAAATCGGTTCAGCCGGGGCGAAAGGGGGTTGTTAGTAATATGGCCTGAAGACTCCATTGCTGACAATGTACCATGTCAGGTTGATCTCCACGCGGTACCCCCTGGAAACCATCATGACAAATTCCTGGTGGTGGTGAATTTGTCATGATGGGCTAACTGACCTGACCTCATGCTCATCTTATCATCCTCCACTGGTGCCCCGCCAGCGTAAACCGTTAGCGCAGGCAGGTGCACCATAATATTATCATCATTAAAAAAAAAATCGGTTCAGCCGTTGTCGAGTTTTAGCGAGACTAACGAACAGCAATTCATTTTTATATATATATATATATAGAATGGGATTACTTTCATATTATTTAAATTTAAATTTTACCACCATTGAAAATTGGCTTTTTTTTTTTTAATTTTATCAATTAGTCAGTTACTATATCTGTGTTTTATATCTCTATATGTTATATATTTGTAGTGTTATATACTTACAGCAGCCTTCATATCTTCAAGTTGTGTAGAACGGGAGCTTCCAACAAGCACTGCTCCCTCCGTGCGCCCTGCTGGCTTTATATGCGACTTGGCCGGTCCTAGGCCCCTCTTGCTTAGTGCTGTAGGCAGTAGGTGCCCTATAGGTACAAGCCTGTACAGTAAAAAAAATCGTACCAGTAGTTCAACATCACGAAACATGGAGAAACACCATCAATACATATAAACAAAATTGGAGTGTCTGTTTGTAATATTGTAATAAGAATTTTTTACTACATGCAATATAAATACCGCACATACACCAAAATAATAAATTTTTTGCAATTTTTATCGGTGTTTGTTCCGGTTAATCTCTGGCTACGTCATAACATCTACCAGCATGCCAAATTTCAGCCCGATCCGTCTAGTGGTTTGGGCTGTGCGTTGATAGATCACTATGTCAGTCACCTATGAGTTACATATATATTTAGATTTGTGGTTGGCGCAGTATATCGTCTTTCACTGATCCCTATCAGCCGTCATATCTGAGCTTACTCTCCTTCTATATATATCATTTTTACAGCATCCATCTATCTTTTTTTGGTGTCCTCTTCATTAGACGAAACTAATCCCATTTATTTCATAGATGTATTGATTTCAAATTCAAATTCAAAATATCTTCATTCATGTAGGTCTGTTACAGACTCTTATGGTATGTCAAATCTGACAAGAAACTCAGCTTGTATTCTTTTTAAATAAATGTTGTACATGTTTACAATAATACAGATTCATTTAAATTCAAATTTGGGATATTGGCATTACAGTTCGAAACCGTAGAGGTGCCCTAAGACTGAAGTGGTATCCCTCCGGCGGCAGTTGGTCTTCAGCCGCTCCATAAGTCCTAAGGTTTGGAGTGCCATTTAGTGACTCATTAAGAGAGAAATTCAAAGAGGCAAATATTCTCACCGTTGCTTCTCAATTTATAAATTCAAATATCCTATATGTTCATAAAAATCTTGACTTATTTCCAAAAAACAGCAATATTCACAATATTAATACTAGATTTAAAGACAAACTTGCTGTCCCCAAGTATCGTTTAGAAAAAGTTAATAGGTCTTTTATGGGAATAGGTATAAAAATTTACAATAAGATACCAAAGGATATGTTGGAATTACCCTTAAATAAATTCAAAACATCTGTTAAATCATATTTACTGAGCAAAACCTATTACTCACTAAACGAGTACTTGAATGACGAGTGTGTATGGCAATAGTTGTCCATGCACTGAATTTTCATTTAATGTTAGACATAGACACCTATATAAATATACATTGTAAATAAACTGGCTTCAAAAAAAAGTAATTCAATTGAGTTTCTTGCCAGTTCTTCTCAATTGGATCTATATACCGAACTGGACGGTAGGGAAAAAAATAAAATTATAATGTAAACATTTGACGTTCATAAGCGGCTAAAATGTCCTACATGAATAAATGATTTTTGAATTTTTTTGAATTTGGACTCGCCACTATTGTCTGGTGAAGCTATAAATACCAGCTGTGGCAAATAGCATTACAGTTATCTATATACTTATTTAATTTGGTTGAATTGAACTACTGCTCTTGTAATTTTAATATTGTGTGCTCACGTTCGGCGTGTGTCTGCGCACGCGCATATTAAGACCGCAATCATTTCATGAACTCAAGTCCATACATTGGTATTGTTTTTGGTTCCCTTGATTAATGGCTGCTGATACGGTTGTATTGAGAATGTATCTGAAAATATAGACACCACGTGTGCAACTCTACCAATATCAATTGACAGCCTCGGTGGTCTAGTGGTTTAGCACATCGCTTTACTATTCGACGGTCGTGGGTTCGATTCCTCGCACGGTACAAACATTTGTATTCATGAGTATGATTGCTTGTATCGGTCTGGGTGTTTTCTATGTATAATATGTATTTATTTACAAAAAAAATGTATCCATGTATTTATATCAGTTGTCTAGTACATAACACAAGTTCTGTTTACCTTGGGACTAGATGGCTGTGTGAATTGTCCTGAAATATTATTATTATTATATAGTTTATGTTTAAAGTTGTATGCATATCTATGAGTTAGGTTTTAGTACATAGGTACGTACTAAAAATGGTATGTACTAAAAATTACGTGTCACGTTGTTGATCCGCGATGGACTCCTAAACTACTGTACCGATTGCAAATTTGATTTGCGCATTGTGTGCAATTGATTCAACTTGAAAGATAGGATAGTTTACATCTCAATTTATAGTCGCAATTACAAAAAAATCTAAATTGAAAATATCTTTATTCATGTAGGTCTATTACAGACTCTTATGATATGTCAAATCTACCGTCAGTTCGGAATGATGTCGAGGTAGAAGAACTGAAAAGAAACTCGCGCTCGTATTCTTTTCAAATAAATGTTGATGTTTTCATGTTTACAATAATACACAGCCATTAAAATTAAAATTTGGGAGAATTAAGTTTGTTATAGTTTTATTATATTTGTATATAGGTAAATGAATAAAGATTTGGTATACGTAGAAACTATATATATATATATATATATATACGATATATATATATATATATTTGGATGATATTCACAATAGAATAGAATGAAGTAACAAACAAGAATGTAATATAAAAGAAACTATACATTTAAATACAAATTTAGAATACAAAATACATTTCTGATTAACCAGTTACCACATGGTTTGTTTTATATACAGCTTTCACGCTGGTTAGAGGACTGCATCAAATGTACACTGGTGAAGGTTTAAATAAATAAATAAATAAAAAAAATATATATATATATATTTGTATATAGGTAAAAAAATAATGACTACGGAGAAAGTATATATTTGGATGGTATTGACAATAGAACAACCCTCCACCAACCCGGGCCATTCCAACCTCTCGGTTATACTGGCTGAATGAATAGCCAGCTGAATACAGGGAATGCGCGCTGAAAAGCATAGAAAAATACAATATTAGAATATAAAATACATTTCTTATTAGCCAGTTACATCAAGACCACCAGCATATGCTATCGGAAAGAACAAAAAAAATAATTGTTCGCAACCTGAACAGACCAATATTATTTTATTATCTGAGTCCTGCTGAATAGCAATGCAGTGATAACGCTAGTGTCGCATGATAACTTGGTCTCCATAATGCTGTTCATGTATATATACGACAGTTACCACTTACCGTCGGGTGGACTTGAGCTTAACAGGTTAGCTTGTCATAACTTGCCAATTATAAAAAGAATCATCTGCATGTGGGGAGGAAAGAAAAATGCAAAGTGTCACCAGTAGGAGAACAAAGCAAAACTATCGGCAATTAAAAAAAAATGACTGGAAATCAAACCCTGTAGAAATCCGGCTGGAGTGCGTAATAACTTTTGATAACAAATACAATGCTAAAATCTTTCCCTTGTCTAGTGTAGTGAGTTCAGTAAAAATTATGATATATGGTATTAGCAACGATTAAAGTGTAATTAAACACTGGAAAATAACAAAATGAGTAAATATATGAAAATTACTTTTCTAAACGCATTATTTCATTTTAATTTTTTTAATATATAACTTTTTAAAAATAGATTAAACATTTTTGAAAACAGTTTTGTGTTTTAAATGTCTGCAAAACTACGAAGAATTCCATAGATACCAATCACGCCATCTATATGCAATTTTTTAGAAATTACCTGAAGTTCCGCTTTGCACCACACTGATATAGATAAAGTAATTAAATCTTATTAATATTATAAACACGAAAGTTTGTAAGTATGTTTATTACTCTTTCACGGATAAAACTACAGAATGAATTTTGATGAAACTATACAGTAATATAACTTATCACGAGGGCGAAACCACAGGCACAGCTAGTTTAATATAAAAATAAATCTTAATGCTTTCAAAATTAGGTTCAAGTTAATCTGTCGTAGGATATTGCATCCGATATTTAATCGTTATTCTAGGCTAAATGTATATTAATTAAGTTCAAGACACTTATTGACATCCGTTGTTTCCTGCGTAGATAATTTCAATGCAATGAGCAAAATAAAATTTTATTTGGTTACATTTACAGTTCATTTTCGCGTCGTATTAACTTTATGAAGCTCAATTTGCTTTTCATTTGGTATTCCGGATTTGAAATTAATAATAATCTTAGGAAAATATCCTTATAAGAACGTAATTCATACGTATATATATATACACTAGTACAGGGTAGGCGAACCTTTACGCATCAACGTGGCATTTTTTCCATAAAATATTTATTGGGGTCATTGACGTGCCACCAAATAATTTTAACTTTCTGATTATTTGGAAAATAATAATAATAAATACTATCAAAACTCTCTATGAAATAAAGTAAACAAAAGAAGTACATTTTGGATTGTTTTCATTACACGCATATATTAAATTACTGTAAAATTACTGTGACTTCTGTTGCTGCAGGTTAGATGACAAATAATTTATGTCAGGCTTGTACGATGTTACTTTTAGCAAAATGCATGCTGAACTGGATTCATCTGTTAAACGGTTTCTAACCGAGTTTTTAATGTTATTCATCTCTGAAAATAATGACTCGCAGGCATAGGTAGGTGAAAATATTGTTAAAATAGCATGAGCCAGCTTCTTCAAACAGTTTTATGATCGACGACGTGCCCAAAATATTGGGTCGCGTGCCGTCAATGGCACGCGTGCCATTGGTTCGCCTGCCCTGTACTAGTACTTCCGTAAAAAGAACTCTATTTTTTTTTTAATTTGCTAACAGAATAATTTAAAATGGCACTAGTGGAGAATGACAGTATGTCCCTGAGGTCAGGCCAGTCAACCCATCATGGTAAATTCATTACTGGCAATGGGGTAGTTTTTTTTTTTAATCATTTATTCATGTACGACATTTTAGCCGCTTGTGAAAGAAAGAAGAAAGAAGAAAGAAAAATATTTTATTCAGTGCAATGTAAAAATACAATATAAACAACAAACGAAAAAAAAAAGCAAATAAAATGTACATATAATTAAATTAATTTGTGAACCAATATGTTCACAAATTAAGTTTATTGCTTATAATTTTAATGGGATATTTTTTTAATTTGTAATCATTAATTTTTGTAGGACATTTTAGCCGCTTGTGAACGTATATTTTTTTAACGTAGAATCAATTGAGAAGACCTGGCATGAAACTTAACTGAATTTCTTTTTTTTTAAGACAGTTTACTTTGTATACCTACCATATACAGGTGTGTGTCTAACATTAAATGAAAATCCCGTGCATGAACTATTGCCATACATGTTGGTCATTTAAGTAATCGTTTAGTGAGTAGGCTTTGCTCAGTAAATATGACCACAGATAATATAATATTATATGACTTAACAGCTGTTTTGAATTTATTTAAAGGTAATTCCAGTATAACCTTTGGTATCTTATTGTAAATTTTTATACCCATTCCACCCATCATTTCCACTAAAATTGTGTATTTGTTGTATATGAACCTCGTCTTTTTCTTTCAGCCGACGACCGAGTATCCCGGTTTATCTATACATAAAAATAAAATTGGAGTGTCCGTTTGTAATATTGAAATAACCGTTTTTGACTACATGCATATGAATACAAATACGGTACATACAAAAAAACATTTTTTACAATTTTTGTCTGTTTGTCAAATGACTGGACCTATTTTGACGGGACTTTCATTGGCAGGTAGCTGATGTAATAAGGAGTAAAGAAGGCTATTTTTATTTTAGAAAAATAAAGTTAATTTCCACGCGGACGAAGTCGCAGGTACAGCTAGTCATCCATAAAATAGAAACTACTTTTACTAATCGTTATCATTACATAGTATAAAACAAAGTTGTTGTCGCTGTCT